TTGTAGAGGAGAAAAAGTGATAATGTTATTGTGCAATTTATTTTCGAATATCACTACAAATAAAGCCCAGAAAAAATTAAAACGGTTTTGGGAAAAATCGGTTTTTTTCCGTCTCTCTCCGGAAGTACTTTGAATTTCGAAACTTTCTAAGCGGCATTTTGTTAGTTACCCAAATAGGCAACTTTGCGCCCATTTAAGCGACTTCGTATCTCTTACCGTTTCCGAGATACCAATGGTGAGCGTCGAATTTGAAACCCCGGTATACGACCAAAAATAAATCCACCGAATACGGCGCAACTATAACCACAGCCTAAATAACAATGGGAAATTTCTGTTCGATTCATTGCCCCTTGCCAGCCGACAATCCAAATAGGGGTCGCGGTTTGTTGATTTTCCTGCAGGGAACGAGGAGAGAGGTCTGGAATGCATCCCAGCCTAACACAATCTGCGTTACGTTACATTATGGGGAGGAGGGAGACGGTAACAATGCCTGAAATACTCCAAACCCCATGACAAAATGGTTCTCTTTTTCCGATTTACTGTTTATTGATGAGACATTCGATATGGGTTTCATTAGGGATGTTTTTGGTGGCATTTTTAAACAATACAGCTGGAACATAAGCGTATGTTTTACGTTAATGACACACTTACAAGCAAAGACTGGAGGTATTTTTATCAAGATCTTAGTTATGTTCCGAAAAAAGTACTGTAGCCTATCTATTTACCCATAGTTCGTAGTTGTTTCATTTCATCGATTTTATCAGTTTTATCACGAACAAAAAACATACTTTTATGGAGCATCTAAACGAGCAATATTTGTGGGGCCTGCCATAATATATCTCGGATATATTAGCTATGCCTGGACTATATCTTGGCAATATTGCCTGACATGTGTAGACGCTTACCTGTTCAGAATGCCTCATCAGAAGGTCAACAAAACCAAGCAAAAATGTCTGAAGAAATTGTAGTCATCTCGGCAGCTAACATACAATAAATACATTAAGTAGGATTCTAATAATTTGGCAATTTACATCAAAATAAAGTCGAAAATGTCAAAAAGTACATACAGGGTGGCGCATCGAACGAAACAGGCACATTTAGAAGTTACATAGTTTTCGATTGATTTGACCAAACTTTGTTGCTAAAATAACTTGTAACGCTTTATTACATAGATTAACCATGGTATATTCCACAGCAGAAAGAGTTGAAATTATCGAAATATTTTATATCAGAAATATGCGGAGTATTGTTTGTATTGAATTAATCCAAAAAGCCACAGCTCCCTTACACCTAGTACCCGTCAATCCAGAAGGTTGGTGAGAAAACAAAAGTGATGCTTTGTTCTTAGCAGTTGTAAAGTTATTGGTCAAAATTTCACTATAATACCAAGTAGATAAAGACTGTCGGACGGAAAATAGCAACTAATACCAATAACACTTTGTCAAACTTCCAATATATAATTTTCAGATTAAAAGCTGATCGTATACTCGAACATAACTTCGATATTCGGGAAGAAAATAATATCGCAAAAAATTAATAGCCTAATCTATTTTTGTAATTACTGTATTATTGATTGTCGATATACGAGTAGTTATTTTCGTCATGTGTGAATGTTCCTACAGGTTCAAATTACTAGAAATACGCATAAGAACTATTTTTTTCATATGTAGCAAATATTACAAACACTGTGGTCTTATAAACATATCAACTAACAGTTTATCTTCGCATATTTACGACTTAGCAGGATTACAGGTTGTTTAGGTAATAAACGGAGAAAATTGTACTAGTAATTTTTCAGGATTATGGTCAAAATTATGAGTTTTCAGATAAATAATATTCTGGTTCATGAATAAATTTAGATTCCTAGTCACCAAATGACTAAGTGGCATTGATTGGTGGTCAAGAAAACATTAAAGTTAGGGACTGATACTACATCCAGTTTATATACCTAAATTTTGTAATATTTTACTGATGAAATATTCAATTGTTGTCAGTCAAAACATAGCGATTAAAGGTAGCTAGCTCATGGTAAAGCGGATTTAAGATGACGCACACGTCACACTGTGCGCCGCGTCCCGGCGTGGGATCCCCAACGCGCTTCCATCCCGAACATAGAAAATCTGTTTTTGCTTTGGATCCTGGGGCCCAAGATTCACCACTGGTGATATGGTTTGACACAAAACTCTAATGCATACACCAATGGACTGACTGGATGGCACATTTCTGTTAATTTTTTGTGTGTTTTATGTTGCTTCAGAGCTACCTGATATGCGGCTGTAATGTGGTTAGTGCATTGGTTAGCGGTACGTGTAGATATACGAGCCCCTTCCCACTTCAGTTGGCCCAACTATTGAAATCTTAGTTTTTTTCTTATCAAACATAAATAATAAAAATGTAGCAGGGTGTTATAGGTTTAAAATATTAACAATGAATATTTTGATAATATATAGTAGAAAACACCAACTTTATCACTCCCTAATCAAATTTGCAGCATAAAAATAACACAGGTTGCAATTACAGCATATCAACCTATTTTCATTTCAATGCAAAATAAGTCTATAACGCATAGGTGGCTGTGAAAAATAAATTGTTTTTATGAATCACAGCTGTCAGAATACGTTTAAAATAGTTTTGGGTAGTTAAGGTTTTCAAAATGGGTAGAGGAAAGGTTATTAATGAGAAAATTCGGTTACTGATAATTAATTTTTTTAATTCTGGGAAATCAAACTCAGAAATTGCAACTTTGTTAGATAGAAGATATAACATAACTGGTTCAGTTAATATTAAGCCACGATATGTGAAAAAAAGTACTATCACAAATGCCGACCGAAGAGCATTAAGAAGAATAATCGTGAAAAACAGGCGTGCCAATTACTTACAATGGAAGGAGAATTTCGAGGTCCACAACTCATAGAGAGGCCCACAAACTGGGATTTAGCACTTGCAAGATAAGTTTTCTTATAAAAAATAGTGAAGTACAAACAATAAATTTGCACAACTTGTTTATAGGCCAAAGAAAAGCCACTATTAACTCCACTGCAAAAGAAAATTCGGCTTAGATGTGGTAAAGAACAATGACAATGGACACCTCAATACTGGTGTGCAATACAATGGAGTGATGAGGCCCGATTCGGAATTTCTGTTGGTGACAGTCGCAGTAGAGTTATTCGCAAAAAAATGAAGCATTCCATGTTGATTGTCAGAAGAGAAAAGTGAAATTTCCAGCATCCATTATGGTCTGGGGCAGTATGTCATCAAAAGGAGTAGGAAAACTTCATTTTATTGATGGAAATGTGGATACAAAAAAATATTTGGCAATTTTAGAAGAATCGCTTTTACCAGTGATGGAAGAATGTTTGACATCCGGCCAAGATTTTGTGTCTCAGCAAGATGGTGCAGTGTGCCATACCTCAAAAAAGGCTATAAAGTGGATGGAAGAAAGTAATGTACCACTTTCGAAAAGGGTTTCTAGCAGTCCAGATCTGTCACCTATTGAAACTTTGTGGCACAAGATGAAAAAGGTTCTACGACAACATCCTGCTCGTACAATCACCGAACTGAGACAAAAGCTTCAAGAAATATGGGATTGTTTTACACCAAATTTTTGCCAAAACTTGGTAAACACTATGCCCCAAAGAATTTCAGCCGTAATAAAAAATAAAGGTGATGTTACCCAATGGTAATCTTTCAATTGTTGCTTTGTTAACTTCGCGCATTTATTCGCACATTGTTTATTTGTTCAGATGTTCTATTAGTTATAGGTCTAAGTGATTTCAAATATGTATTTTTTACGACTAGAGTGTATGTAAAATGTTTTTGAGAAAATAAATTGTTTTAGAAGTACATAGTTTCGTCATGTTTAGTTTATAAGCGCATATTTTGGTGCAAATCTTGAAGTGGGCCAACTGAAGTGGGAAGGGGCTCGTATATAAAGGTTAAATATATACTGCATATCACTTGTAACTATTATACCCATAAGGCACAGCAAATGAACACTTTTAATCTAGTAGATGATTAATTCCTTTGGTTTAAAAACTTGACTGTGTTGTGATTTGTAGGGAAGGACTGAGGGGTTTTTAGTGAGTGTGCTGCTTCTGGAGAGTCCCATGCGTCGGCCACAAAAGACTGACAGTGCAATACTGCCAAGCTTTTAGGCCTGAGAGTAGCTATAAAAGCTTTCCCCTATCCAACAGAAAAAAATAATCTATTATACAATTGCCAAGTTTTTTGTGGAAATGTTGTGTCCTCTTACCGGCTAATTACCTCTCTAATAACAAATAGCGTGTATTTCATAGCACTGATACTAATTCAACTGAACTATGATCAATGAATCCAGCCTTTAAGTAGTATGTACCAGCAAACGCAGTGAGATATAACTACTCTTTGGTGAAACCAAATGGTCAGGGACATGCAGCACACATGGAAATTTGACAGCTGAACACGCTCGGGTTGTTTTGTTATGAATCATCACGGTTGAGTCGGCTGGTTCTGGTTACTGTCTCCCGCTGTGCCGGTCAAAAGCATGTCAAATATTTTGAACAACTTAGATATCAAGAGATTATGGTACTAACCAGAACTTTGGTGAACCTCCGTTCAAGTTCCAATGGGTCCGGCATAGGATGCTTCGCTTTGGGTTTGATAGTACTCTGTCTGATACTGGCCTGCCTGCTGTGCAATTTGGGGGAGAGGCAGCTCTCGGCCTCCTGGACCGAGGAGCTTTCCTTCGATACTGTTAGTCCCATTTTGATTTCGCTAAACGTCCCGCGCAACACGCATTTTTCGATCGCGGCTAATTTCGGCAAAGTTCACATGAAAAGCAACAGGTTTTTGTTCCGAGTAGAAGCGCGAACACTACACCGTACAAACGACAAGCAAAACTGACTGGAAAAAGGTGAATTTTAATTCAAGTTCCAGACAAGAAGCGCGTGCGCCAGCGACTGTTTTTGTGACTGCGCTGACATCTATTGGTGGTTAAAATAATGTTGAAAGACTAGTAGAAATGTGATACATGTTTGAATACAATACTTTGCGAAGAGAGTTTCCGTGAAATGGTAAATATGACAAGTATTAACGTCAACGTCGTCAACTGTCAAAATTCGCTTGTTAACCTCATCAACTTTCCCTCAAAAACATTTTCCATTTATTTCTCATTCTCATTAGTAGATGAAAAGTTAAACTATACAACACTACACGATGAATCACTCAAAAAATGAGAACTCTTCATCTCCTGGGTTTGTTTACTTCAACAACAGTAATTATCAAAGCCCTAACGACACGGGGGACTTCTTGTCCTTTAATAATACACCACCACAAAAGTCGCCAAACAATAAATTTTCGCCCAGTGGCTACAGCAGCCCCAACTCCAAACACCATTGTAGTCCTAACACCTTCCAACGGACACCGAACTTTCATAAGAGTCCAAGGAAATTCAATCTAAAGAACACGTTTCGATATACTGGAGGAAGGCATTCAGGAAGCAGGTAAATGTATAAATGGATCACAGCTAATATGGTTTAACTTAGAATTTTTAAAAAAGAATAGATGATTTAGTTTAAGTAAATGAGACTACCAAATGTGTACTAAATGTTGAGGCGCCCAAAGAACCCTCAGTCTAGGGATCTAGTTACTTATAAACTAAAAAAATAGACTGATACACATCTCAAACTTATCAACATAATACCCTCTACATTGGAGAAGTCAAAAGAAAGAGTTTCCAGAATGTGGTATTGTCCACCTAAGCAAAATGAAATTTTCAATAGCTGAAATGGATTGCTTACATCCATTTTTTAAAGATGATGCAGTTTATCATCTTTTTTTCTGCTTAATTGATATTGTAGATTAAAACAAAACTTATTTAAATCCTCTGTACATTTTCCTGAGGAATTAAGTTAATATAATTTATTTAATTGAGGCATCAAGTTGTAAAACCTACCTTATCTATTTTTCAAAATAAATTGAGATAGTAAATAATATTAATGGTAGACTTTGAATCTTCATAAATACAGCCACAAAATGTTACAAAAGCTGCTCCTTCCTATTTAAAATTGAGTGTAAAAATGTATAACTGTCAAAATCTGTCTTATCGGTTGATACACTATGGGGAAGAGTGGCGAGATCAGAAAGACCTAATGTACTACCAAGAATTACTATTTGGACTTAAGGCAGCCCCAGAAAACTTTCAAGAAGATAATGATGAAGCTGCAATTGCAGAAGTAGAAGAAACTGATTTAAGAATTTAGATTTTTTCTGTCATATGTTCAGAGTTTTATTTTTGTTTAATACCTACATAAGCTTTATTATTCTTTTAATAACATTATGTTACCAGAGAAAACTATTTTTGTCATTAAAGCATTGGTTAATGTTTAATTTTATTAAAAAAACGCAAATATACAAGTTTGGAAGCAAAACCAACAATATTCGCACCTTGCTGTAGCAAAACCTGCAATATGCATCCTACTGCAATAAAACTTGCCTTATCCAATTTGTTTTGTTTGTTTTTTCCTTAAAAAATGGTAAAAATTCAATTATTTCTGGACAAAATAGATGCAAAATTACAACTCCACACAATGGGCTTATATTTTTTTGAATACTGCTTGTAACTTTGGGTAAAACGGTTTTAGTCGCTTATCTCGAAATCAAGTTTATGGGATAAGGCGGGTTTTGCAACTTGACGCCTCAATTGTTATCCTAGATACTGATAGAATGTCACCATACTTATCATGTTAAACTACCACTTCAGAGAATAAAGGTTATTTTACTCAAGTCTAATTTCCACAGCTTTGGCACAAAATTTAATTTTCAATCCAAGGAAATTATTAGCAATTCTTATAATCATAAAAAAATTAAAAATACCAAAAATATACATATATATATATATATATATATATAAAAATGAAAATGTGGTGGGTTATGATTAAAAAATGAATGAAAAAAGGCAGAATACTAGATTTATAAAAAAAATAAGAATATAGTAATGTTGCTGGTTATACTATAGTGATTATTATAAATGATTTTACAGGTCATTCAACAAATCGAGCAGTAGTGAATTTGATTCTAGCTTTAGCAATACTCCACCTCATTCTAACTACAAAGTTTCATCAAGAGGAAATCATTCACAGGGAACACATAGACACAATCAAGTAAGCATAGTTCCATTTTATAAACTTCTACATTTGTAGTTTTAAGTAGTGTCCTTATGAAAAGCACACCACATATGCTCAATTCCAACCACCACCACATGTATTATTCCCAGAATCAGCAGGATCTAGCCATCATAGTGATGAATTGGCTGTTAATTTAGATACCTTTACAGCTTCTACAGTAACTATTTGTTTTGCAGTAGTTGGCACCATTTAAAATATTATAGTGAAGTATCCATAGGAGCATCAAAAGATTATTAATCTCACTTCTGTTAAAATTATCTACATTTGGATTCTTCAATTTTTTAGCCTCACCAACCAGTAATAGTAAATGGGCATGATGTGAGCATGTTCATAGACCACAGTTGCTTTGAAAACCCATGGGAAGAGCTGGAACGTCAATTAGAAGAGGCAGAAAGCTCCATTGTTGCAGCTCCATTGGATGAGGATCAAAATACAGAAGCCAAAGAAGAGTCTTCAACATCAGACAATGGATCAAGTAGTAGTGAGGAGGAAGAACAAAAAAATGGATAGCAGTCAAAGATAGGTTAAAAAGTGATGAAGTTCAACACCTAACATAGTTTGTTTTTACTTTAAATGAGTGATTCATTTATGTATAATATTTTAATTTTTATGACAACAGATATGTTTGTTTTTAGAGTATGAAATAAAGGGTATCTGAAACTTGAAGGATAATCCAGCAACTGGAAATATGATACACAACTGTTCTGCAAAATTTTGTTATGTTAGATTGTTGCTATTTCCACAAATATCAATCCTTTTGAGGCAGTTGTGTTTCGAAATATTCACAAATGATTGTTTCATCGCAATCAGTGTTGTTTAATTCTAATGTTATAGCAAAATCCACAAAATTATTCTAATGCAACATTTCAATGAAAACACTAAAACCCTGACTCGCTGCAGTAGCTAAGAATGGGCTATGATCACCACCAAATACTTTAAAAAGTTACCATTCTCTTAATGGTACTATTGTCCAACATTTTGTTAGCTCTTTTCTTTTTTATAGCAATTTTAGATTCGTCAACTGATTTGAACATTTAAAAACTGATTTTAATGTGAACAAGATGTAATGGCATTTTACCATGCAACTGTACTATAGAATCCATTTCTGTCTGATACATATTGTCTTTTAGGCAATTCTAATAAAAAACTCCAATGGATTCTGATCCGGCGATCTTGGTGATAGTAATTTTAGATTCGTCAACTGCCTGGAATATTAAAAAACTGATTTTAAAGCGAACAAAATGTAATGGCTTTTTGGGACGTAAAATGGCACTGATCACTTAGTATAACAATTCCAACACCTAGAGATACAGACTTAACCAGAAATCAACATTATCCATGCAAGTAGAATGGACGCCTTGGTCCTATCCATTGGAACTAAGTTCTCCAGACCTAAATCCATTGGATTTCATTGGAGTTGCCTTAAAGATAATTTCTATTAAACAGGGGTGACTTCTGTAACACAGTTATGTACGAAAATCAGATGGACCTCTCGGAAAATCTCGCAAAGGGGGTATTCTCTCAAACTAAAAAGATAATTTAGTAAAACGTGCAGAGCATGCATAAGGGGCAATGGTGGTCAATTTGAACACTTACTCTAAATAATTGAATAAAAACTAGCCATTACAATATCAAAAATGTCCCTCATTCCTTATTTATACCATACGAACATTTTTTAATATTCAAGAAACAAGACGATCCTCCATAAAATTGCTGTAAAAAAATAGCCAACAAATTGTTAAAAAAACATTTCAATTCTGAAAATCACATTTTAAAGTATCTGGCACGATGATCCTACTTATTCTGTATTACTGCAGTATGTCAATGTAAGACATTCAAATTGGTTTTCGTTGAAATGGTGCATTAGAATAGTTTTACCTGATGGTTTTGCTAAAACGTAACCTCTTCAGACCCAAAGCAATTCTACTTCTAAACGATTATTGATTTTTTAGTCAGGTTATTGTTTAGACATACAAAAGCCAAGCGCCAATGTATTTTTCAAAAATTTTATTCCCATTTTGAAAAAATCAGGTATCACAAAGGATACTTTGGGTCTCTAGGCATACAAAAAAAAAATGTCCAAGCAAATGAAAAAAATGTCAGCTATTTGTGAAAAGTTGAAAAACAGTTTCTTTCGACGCTACAACATAAATACACTCCACAAGATTTACATTTTGCAAAAGTTAGTTTATCGCACGTAGGCAAACGGCATTTGGATCGAGATTTCTGTTTGTCTTTCATAAATTCTACCAAATGTGTATTTCCCTGAATCCTGCATCTCTTGTCGGGAATGGGTTGGACGCTTTGTCGTTTGTTCCCTGGTTGAACTTCTTCTTCAGATTCTATATCTTCCTGGTCTTGATTTTCTAATACCAGTGTTTTGGCAACAGATAGTTTGAAATCAAAATAATCCATAATATCCTTTCTACGTAAGCCGTCAGCTTTGGCATTTTCACAGCATTCCAGCCAGCCTGCTGCTACTGAGAAATCGATAAAATGAAAAATAGTTCGCACAGTCCATTTGTTTGTCCGATTTCTCATTGCATATTTTCCAATTACGCGATCTAGAAGGGTCTACTCCACCCATATAAGCATTGTAGTTTTTAACAACTGCTGGCTGTTTGACATCAACACGCTTTTTCTCAACCTTAGACCACCTACTACAAGTTCCTTCTGGGTCCACGCCAATGCAGGATGAAGCAAAGTTTACAGGTTTGTTATCGAACCACTTCATGAGTATTATTTTGCCGTCGTCCCGCACAAGGTGATCATAGCTTCCTCTCTCTTTCTTTTTCAGTTCGTTGTCAGGTAGAAGACTAGCACTTTTAGGAATTCTATTAGCCATTATCGTTCCGGCTAAAGTAATGCCACGTGAGGAAAGAAAATCTATCAGGGGGATCGAAGTGAAATATCTGTCTGTGAATACTGAAACTCCTACAGGAAGAGTATCTGCCAATTTAAGGACCATTCTCCCCCCAACGTCCAATTTTTCTGGGGCTGCTAATAACGCCGATTCCACCAATGAGCCCTTACCTTCATAGATGTGAAAATCAGGCGGGACTCCAGTCGGAGTTGCCATTACGAAGTCTTTGAGGCCTACTGGGTTAGGCTTACCACGCACAAATTGTCTCATGGTGACTTGGCCAGCAAAGGGTATCATCTGTTCGTCGATGGACACCTTGCTAGTTCTTTCATTCATGCGACATCCTTTTTGTACTCTGTCAAGGAGAGGTCTTACCTTCCAGAATCTATCAAGCGATTTGGCCTCTGCGGATACCCGATTGTCATCTACAACTTTTAAACGAGAGCGTAACTTGAAAAATCGATTTCTTGTAGTGTTATCCGACACTATGGGTACCCTAGTGCTGTTAGCCCAAAACATCCGCAAACGTGGAAGTGAATAAATTCCTATTAGCATGGTACAGCCAAATAATTTTCTAATCTCGCTAGCAGTAGTATCCAATGAATGTCCTGTTTCTCTTACTTCCCTCATATTTGTAAGTTCAGAAACACTTTCAAAGAAGTCATCACTGATTTATTTTTGAAAATATTCAGAAGGTCTTCCAACTTGGTCGCTGTAATTTATAGAATCCATGTGGTTCGGCGGAACAAAGACTTTATTGCGAATCCACTTTTTGGAATGTGATGGAATTAAACTCGCTAGGGGCAGGTCATCTTCAGAATCGAAACCATCATCGGGCTCTGGATTGTCTTGGTCATCAAAAGCTTGCTCGTCCAACAAATCCTCCTCAAGGTTATCACCATCAAGGTCATCTTCACTAAGAAGTTCTTCATCTATATCAGAGTTATTTAGATCTATAGCATCAGCCAATTCTTGAAGCTCTTTTCAGTCAAAGGGCCTGAAACAATACAATTTCTATAAAGTAATCTTTATCTATCTTTTTCTTGTTTTTTTTTTAATTGTATTGCTAGAGACCCAAAGTATCACCTGCGATACTTCTTCTATATCGTCTAGTCGGCACCTTTAGCGAGAACGTTCAGCGCAATAAAATAGCATACTTACATTAAGGAACATTATAACAACTATTTAAAACGAAATATATTCAGGAATGAATTGTACTTACGTCTATTTTCATTAAAAGTCATCCCCACGTGTTTCACACAACCACATCAACATGTAAACAAACGCCCACTGTCGACGCACTGAGCAAAACGAGCGCGAAATAAATTCTACGCATGCGTTGACTGTGTATCGCATGTGATACTCTTAGGACCGAACAAATTCATGCGGTCTAAGCGCGATATAAAAAATAATTTTCACGACTATCATATATGATACCCTGGGTCTGAGGAGGTTAAGAAAAACAACACTGATTTCGATGAAACAATTACTTGTGAATATTTTGAAACAAACCCGAGTCAAAAAAAATTGATATTTGTTGAATTGGCAACAATTTAACTAGACAAGTGTGGATTTTTGCTAAAAAATGATTGCTTTATATCTCGAAAACCATGATACTTTTGACTAAAAAAATGTTTGCCAAACAGTAACTCATGATGTGACTTGTTTCCAGGGTTATCCTTCAATGTCCGCACACCCTGTATATAGCAGTTGTCTGATTTGGCGACCTTTGCCATATATTTCAGTTAGATTGGCTACAGATGCTGGCGACGTCACCATGGCCTCCCGGTGAGGGAGAGCTCTTATGTACGGCTAGGAAAAAGACATTACATTCTATTTTTTATTTAATACACTGGCGGGATTGCCTTCATCCCCAAGTGCCTTTTTTTGTGTTGTATGAACATAATTCATGGTCATGAAATTTGTAGAAGCTAGATCACACTTGTATGGCCCTGCAGTCGTTCGTTTGTAGTTAATGACGAAGGATTGGCATTTTACTATACATTTTTCTTTTAAGTGTTATAAACTTGGTGTAGGTTGAACGGTCATATTACTCATACATAAATACTCACAAGGACACTTCAAAAAGACTGGATCACACCTGCATGGCACATCAGTGCTTTTTCTCTTAAGTTTTGATGGTCTACTTTAACAATTTTTACAGCTGTTTATAATAATAATAATTCCGGCTTTATTATGGCAAGCATAAGCAGCCATAGAACTATGCGACAAAGCAGTCTGAAAATCAGCAGTGTAAATAATTACGAAAAGTAGATGCCTCAGAATTATATGCTGGGGATTTCCTGAAACAATTTGTTCACTCATAATATCAGGGCATCTAATATTCTAAAAAAAAAAAAACGAAAAAACACGTTGCTAAGTATTACTCGCGTAGGTGAAAAAATCATCGTCTTCGACTCGGATTTTTGTTGCAACCAGCAACAGAAGCATGAGTTCTTTTTAAAAAAATATTACTTTGCATTGTTTTTTCGATTTTTTTCACAGGAAAAAATTAGATGCCCGAATGGTATTTGACTATTGCATGAGTAACAGATTATTTCTGGTGTCCTAGGTAACCATAATTACTTGTTATCAATGGTATTTTAATTTTTGGTGACAATAGCCGTCAAGTTTTGCCGCGAGTCAACTCGAAAAAACTGCTGACAATTTTTCCATCTAGATACCATTTGTAATTTAACACATCGACTGTCCAATGAGCCACATATGGCTCATGGACCACATTCTCCATGCGTCCATGAGCCTTATGTGGTACATAAATTCATACAACTTTTATAAGTTGGACGTGGTAGTAGGCACACATTTTTTGTATGTGGATGTAAGAATATTTCTTACTCGACACTTTAAAAAAAATATTAAAATCAAATAAAAAATAAAGATTTTACAAAACTTTTTTTTTCGGTTTAATAGGTAAAAACGTACATTACTAACATATATCTAATGGTTTTCTCCAAAGCAGGGCACGCAAAATGCTTGATTGCAGGATTTGCAGATAGTGTTGACCCTCTTAGCTTTTTCTGCAGATTCTGATGCCGAATAGTTTCCGCGCAGTTTCCCCATAGCATCCGTGGCAACGCTTTCTGTAGAGTTTGTTATTATCTCTAGGCAGTTCATCCAGTATGTGAATAGTTTTTTTGGTCTTGCCTCCAGATCCGCCATCGTTATTAGATTTTCTTTTTAACATCTCGCTTATTATCTCATTTGCAAAAGAGATAGTTGTTCTTTTTTTGGACGTTGTGCATTATATTTAATCAGAGTGTTTACAACGAGTGTTCCACAAATAATCTCTATGGCGAGTTTTTTATACCATGTCAATGACTTTCTCAGACAAGTGTAGTAGCTGGCAAACTGATCAGATATTTCAACCCCTTGTTTTCCATTATGGTAGTCCAAAATGGCAGAAGGTTTAATCTTATCTTCGCCATTTCTTTTTTTTCCACAAGTTCATGAACAGTTGAGAGAAAAGGAAAGTCACGCTGATCTTTCCATTTTGAAACAGTAATATAGCCATTTTGTCTTAAGATTATTTCGCGCTTGCGTAATTTGTGTATAATTACTTCTTCTGGCAGACGACGCCTATTTTTGCGTAATGTTCCCAATAGGTGGATGTTTTGATCATACAGATATTTTGCAAGTTGCAGGCTAGTGTAGTAGTTATCAGTAATTGCCATTCTGCCTTCATTTAAAAGAGGTCTCACTAATTCCACTACAGTGCTTCCTGGTAAATCAAGCCCATCAATGGCGGTTGATACACCGTCATATATTTTTAGATGCCAGGTATACAAATTTAGAGTACATACCTTGTACAACTTGATTCCATAAGAGCAGCGAGCTTTGGAAGGATAAAATTGTCTGAATTTTAGACGTCCGCGAAAAGGCACCATTGTTTTGTCTACCACCACAGTATCACCAGAACAATAAACAGTTTTTATGTTGTTTTGAATGATGCTCAATATTGGATTTATTTTATCCAGCCTACTGGTGGACGGAAGAGTAGAGTAGAGTTGGTGAATGTGGAATACTTTTCATTTGAAGCCTATAATTCTATACTAATTTGAGGCATTCAAATAAATCAAGTAGTTCTGATATCTGTGAGGTTCTGTCAAATAGCTGAAATAATTTAGATCGCATATATTTACTCCATGCATTTGTAAAAATGAAAATATTCGAAGCATGTAATATGTAGCCATCGAAAATTAGTATGGTAATGTGGAATACTAGGGTTTGGTAATGTGGAATATGGCTTGGTAATGTGGAATAAGGCATGGTAATGTGGAATAATAATATTTTTGTTGGTTTGTACAAACATTGAACAATATTTCACAACCAAAAGTGCTACATAGTTTTTGTCTATAAAACATAGTACAGCGTTTTTAAAAATGGTGAACAATAATAAATAAATGTATATTCTATAAAACAACGAAGGAACCAAACGATGTCAAAATTTGCATATCTATATATTTTGGTTTACTTGCACAAATCGCATATATAAATATCTTTCTTCTCCACTCCTCCACATTCTGCATGCGCCCAATTGTTACAGATCTCACATCTAACCCAGACTTCCCCGCGTACATCTTCTGAAAATTTTCCTTCGCAAAATATGCAGCTTGCATCACCACTGGTATTTTGAATGGAGATATCATTTTCGTCATCTGAAGAGTCGTGAACCGAGGGAGTGCAACTTGATTCCGAACTACTTATTGAGAGTTTTTTTTGTCTTTTGGATGGATGACCTTTAGAGCTAGTTGCTTGCCTAGATGAAGTAGTGCATGGATTAGCCAGATTTCTCTTCACTTCTTTTTTCTTGTTATTTGAGATGCTTATAGAAGCTTCAAGTTCATCTTTGTTCGGTGTAGATGTAATGATTTTCGCTTTCCCTGATTTTCTTCCCCTATTGGATTGTTTCTTTTTTAGATTTGGTATTTTCATTATATCTTCAGGGAGTACCAGGGTTTCTGATCCAGGAGATGTCTCTTCATTCTGGATTTGTTCTCTCAACACGGGTTCATCTTCTGTTTCTTTATGTTCACTATTATCTTCTGCTGCCAAATAGTCGTCTTCTGTGAAAACGTTGCGTCTTACTGGATAAAGGCCCGTAACAGCAAATCCCTTGACCGCGCGTTCTCCAGTTTGCACTTTCAGGTATGCCCTGCCAAATAGCTCAGATATGTCAAAATGAGTTACAGCTCTTTGATTTGCTCTTAAAAATATCCTGATTTCTTCACTGTAATACGTTTTCAATGCTGACATCACAGTTTTATCTAGAGGTTGTAACTTGTGGGTAGTTTTTGGAGGTAAACATAAAATAGTTACATGCTTTTCTCTAGCTTTTAAAATCACATCCAAATTTCTGGTGTGACTGTAATGCCCATCTAGAATCAGCAATACAGGATTATTTTCGCTTGGCTGTGTAAAATCAATAAATTGATTGAACCAATCTGTAAAAAGATTTGATTGAATCCACCCGGATGGATGAAAGCGAAATATTGTCCCCGGTGGTGCTCCTTTTTTTAGTTGTTCACTGCCCTTCTTTCTTGGAAAAATGATCATTGGTGGCACAAAGTTGCCAGCTGTGTTCATAGACAAGACAACTGTTATTAAAGATCCACGTTCAGCTGAAGTTAGCGCTCCGACTTGACGCTTGCCCTTTACAGATATGACATGGGGACACTTTGACTGTACTATGCAAAGGCCACTCTCGTCAACATTATAAATCCTATTGGCCTGGAATTTTTTCTCGTCCATCAAGTTCTCCAGGATGTCAAAAAATTCAGCAACCTTATGCTTGCAGAATCCAGTTGCTCGAGCTATGGAGGTGCCGGTCGGTTTCCTAACACTAAGTACATGTTCGTGCCTTTTTAAAAACCTTTTGAGCCAATCTTTTCCTGCTGATTCACTGAGCAGTGAAAATGGGTTAGGAATATTGTTCAGTTTTGCCAACTGAAAGGCTATTGAACGCACATCCCTTCTTGTAAGACCAAAATATTTCTTATCCATCATTATAAGATATTCAACCAGCTTTTGCTCTAATTCTTGCGATAATATTGGTTTTCTTCCTAGTTTGTTTTCTTAGATTTTGATCATCTTTAAGAATTTGACAATATCTGAAGAGGGTAGCCCGTGGAACGCTAAAAGTCTTTGCAGCGAGAAGGTAGCCCATTCTTTTACTCTGTACTGCCTTAACTGCTTCTAACATATTATTTTCTGACCAGTTGTGTTGTTTTATTCCTTTAGAAGGCATTTTCTGAAATGAAACAACACATATGGTCAAAAACATAAACAAATTCAATATTCTTAAGCAATAGGTCCGATAATGTGGAACACTCGTATGGTTGATATTGTGAAATATTCCACAATACCATCCCACCTTAACTTAATCTCAAGTTTACAGCTAGCATGTATAAACATAAATTTGATAATGAATTCACACATAACTTGATAATGCATGTATCTGAGCCTTAATAACAAATAGTAATAATTAGAACAAAGTTGTACTTTACCTAGAAATACACAAAAATTGCAGCCAGTTCAATGTTTCGATAATCACGTTTACCGGTTTTACCAACTTTTTTGAGGTTATGCGCGTTAATCGATAAAATAGCTTGTATCAGATAGTTACGCTACTAATACAAGAGTAAATAATGCCATCGAAGTGCAGATGCCGCTACTAGTTTTGAAGATATTTGTCTATTCCACTCTACCTACCTATTTCACATTCACCAACTTTATTCTATTGTCCTGAAAATGCCAGCATTTGAGGAGTAGTGTAAATCGAGTGTAGCTGATTGGCATTTCCTGAAATATTTCGTGGTAATAAATTGGTTTTTTTTTTCCAGTAGCTCTCTATGGTTCGAAAATTTATAACTCCCATTAGTATGATGACTCCTGAAAAGAAAAACAAAGAACAAAATAAACGTAAAATTAGGCTATATAAAACAAATATGTTCGTAAAGGATCACAATCTTTGTAACCAAATTTTAATGAAACTGTAAAAAAGAAGCTTTTTGTTTATCGGTGTAGGGGCTATTGTAAGGCAGTCAAACATATTGTAAGGCAGTCAAACATATTGTAAGGCGGTCAAACATACACACAGACTGTATGAACCAGAGACCGCTAATTCAGGTCAAAAAACCCCAAAATATTACATTGTTGATGTAAACCCAAATACATAGTATTCACTCACCAATAAACAATTCCATTTCATCTTCATGCCATCTGGAAAAGCGGGTAGATGTTCGTGGTTTCTTATTTGCTATTATTTCACGTGCGCGCACATTGGTTTGCTGGTCCATTAGTTGTATTATTTCATCTGTCAGAAATAACCTATATATATATATATATATATATATATATATCTCGTACATCTTTGCCTTCAATTGGAATTAATGTTCCTTGGGTTCCTGTGAACTGAAATTTTCTAAACTGCAAAACACAGTCCGACCAAAATAAGCTCAAATCTTCATTCTGATGACTGAATCCAGCAAACCCAATATGATCACTGTCTGAATCAATCTCCTAATCACTCTCAGGCTGCTTACTCGAACTTTTACTGCCGCTGGAAAAGTCTAGATCGGCAATGCTATCATCGGAATCGAAATCTACTGATCCATCACTTATTTCTGATAAGTGGTTTGCATAATACTCTAGCTCCTTATCGGTAAGTTTTTTCTATTTTCAGACATTGTTAGTTCACTAAGAAAACTACTAGGTTCACCAAGTAAATAAATAATTTAAGGTTAAGTTAAAATCTTCTTTTTTTTGTTTTTTGGTCTAATGTGCACGAGCCAAGACAAGGGAAATATCTCCCAATTTTGACTTTTTTAAAATGATCTGCAAAAAATTCAAAGATATGCCATAGAGGCCATAAGATTGGAGCTTAGCACAAAGCAATCCGTGATCAATTATATCAGAAGCTTTGGAAATCGTCTGATTATAGTAGTGATGTTGCGTTACTGTGACAAGCGCGAAAGCCAGATTGCAATTTTGTCTAGCAGGTTAGAAAAAAAAAGGAAATAAGCTGGTTGGAGGCAAATTAGATATATTTGATGGCAATGAAGTTTGTAGGTACAGGTGCAGTTATTGATTTCTTCCATTGTTTAAGGAAGTAACCCGATTCTAGACAACAATTAATTATGTGAGTAATGTAAGTTAGTATTGATATTGATCATAATGATAGAAACTTCGTCAGTACTAACAGCACATCGGATTTGGTTGATTTCAACGATTTAGCAACATCGCTAACTTCTGCAATAGAAAACTGGAAAAACTACATTGATTTAGAATAATATAGAATGAAAAAATATTGGGTTCTAAACAATAGCGACAGTGTAAATTGTCGGAAGGACACAGGCATCCGCTTAAATATATCGTAGTTATGTTTTCGATACGAGTTACAATTTCGCTCGAAATCACGAAAAAAAATCGTAACGTCATGAACTAGTGATTTAACGTTTATTATGAGAAAATGCAACTTCTGCATTAGTTGCAATTAACAAAATAAGTACTTATACATATAACATTAATAATTGTCACATTAAAAACGAAAAAAAATGTTAAAATGGAGTGTTAGTTAAATCTTTTGCAATTGTCCCTAAAATACGACAGTTATAAATAAATTATAATAAACATTTGTGCTGTATTTATTTTAATATCGATTTTTTGTAGCTTTTTGAAAAATACCACACATATACATTAGTCTTGGAGCAGCCTCTAAAAACACGTTTGCCGTAATATATACCCTCAGTTTGAAAGCGGGGCATTGTTGTACAACTATAAGAGAAAGAGAAAATCAGGTTGGACGCCATATAAAAAAATGGTCGTAAATCGGTTATTCCATATATCTTCGGAACCAGTCTCCCTTTTTAATAACAAACCTATTTTATGATTACACATTTTTTTAATAATCCAGTAGTATTCCGATATCGCAAGGTCTTCAATGTTTATCAGTTTGTGTAGTTATTCAAATAATACTACTTTAAAACTAGTCTAGTTTTAGTGGAGTAAAAACCAATTTCTAACAGTAAAAATTATTGAATTCAGAAATGCTATTGATTAACGAACGTATTCCACCTGAAGACAACCAACATAATCCTATATTTGTCCGAAAAATCATCCGACATGAAATGAGGTATCTTTATGTATAAGAATTTGTCACAGCTCTCTGCAATAATTAGAAATCTACTTCAAAACGGTCAGTGTCTCGCATAGATGGCGCTGTAGCCAACTATATATGACCATATAGCTTCATGCCAACAGCGCCATCTATGATACACTAACCTTTTCAAACTTATTTAATTATTGCAGGGAGGAGAATTGTTAGATTAAACGAACTTACCTTAAGTGAAGTTCTATCTTAATTATATGCGGGCCTCGTGAAGTAAATAAAACACTTGTAGTTTCCCCGACTGGGTCGAATTCCACACGTTATCCAAGCTAAAAAAGAGCGACAATGTTGCAACCCTGCTCCCGCGTCGCCGGTACAGTCATTCTTCTTCAAAGCCCCACGTTGTTGCACTTTCTAGGGTTTAATGGGTTTTGGGTGGGCGTTATTTACTTCACGAGGCCCGCATATAATTAAGATAGAACTTCACTTAAGGTAAGTTCGTTTAATCTAACAATTATATGCGGGCCTCGCTTGTAAATAAAACACTTGTAGTTGTTTAAAGCGAGTGCAACAACTAAGCTGATCTTAAACCTTTATTAGAACATATTTCCATAGCTTAATGCTAGGTGGGCAACACTGCCTCAGCGAATATCTCGGTTGAAGTTAAAGGCCTCTGGTAGAACCCTGCAAAAACCTTTGATTTTTCCCTCCAACCTGCTGCTTTGCGGATTGTATCATAGTTAAAACCCCTTCGCGCTGCGGCTGAGGTAGAGGCATGTCTGGTAGTATGTGAGCTATACTTATCTGTATCAATCCCACTTGCCCTCAGCATTGCTTTGATCCATCTACTTATGGTCTGCGTGGAGGCGCTACGAAACGGTGGCTTAGTTGTAATAAATAATTTCTCTGTGGTGCCCCTAATGGGTTTTGTTTTTTCCAAATATATCTGTAAAGCTGTTGCAGGACAAATATCTTTTTCGGAATGGAAAAACGGTAGGATTAGTGTAGGTTGTGGCACGTTTCTACCAGAGGACTTGAGCCTCTTAGGTATTTTTATCTCTATCTTATCATCTACGGTAACAATGTTTTGTACTTCGATATTATGGAGAGTCTGGACCCTCTGTCCAGTGCAGATAGCCAAGAGTACAGCTAATTTCCGTGTCAGCTGCTCAAGAGTGATACCGTCATTAGGCAGTTTACGAGCAAGGTTGAGAACCAATTCCGGATCCCATGTGTCCTCATACTTCGGAGGGTTGGGACGTATATTGTACGCACCTCTGAAAAATTTTTTCACTCGAGGATCTTGTGTAAGTTCTCCTCCAATGATATGGCCTATCGCAGCTCGATAAGAATTCAGAGTACCGTATGAGACTCCTTTTCCAAATACGCTTGCAAAGAAATCCATTAACGCGCTTAGAGTAGGTTTGAATAAGTCAATGTTCTTTGCCTGGCAAAACTCCCACCAGGTCCTGATGCCAGAGTTGTATTGCTTTAAGGTTGAGTCCGTTACTGCGGCTAGGCAAATTTCTAACGATCCATCTGGGACGTTGCCCTGTTTAAGGCCTTGTAGGATAAGCGCCCTGCCACCAGGGAAATGTTGTGCCAAAGCGGGTGTGACCTATTATTCAGGGAGAGAAGATTGTCAGATGGTTTAAAAATTAATGGTTCTTCTGTGAGCATCGAGGAGAATATTGGATACCACGGTTGAGCCTTCCAAACTGGTACAACCAATATTCCCTCTGCTTTATCTCGAATAATTTTCCGTAGCGTGCGAAGGACCAATGAAAAAGGCGGGAAGGCATAAAAGTATAGGCCATGCCAATTTACAGTGAATGCGTCGACGGAAACACAGTGTGGGTCGCCTTGCCACGATACATATTTATCACATTTCGCATTATCCTGTGACGCAAACAGGTCTATGTCGGGTATCCCATACCGTAAAGTTATTTTTTCGAAAACCGTATGGCTGAGTGACCACTCCGTTTCTGTCTGGCGTATTCGCGATGCGGAATCCGCTTCCTTATTTTCCGCTGAAGGGATATAGGTTGCGTAAAGGAACATATTTCTGTCCTCACACCACTTCCAAATCTCTTGGGCCAGTGCACTCAATTTTGGGTATTGTACACTGCCCATTTTATTTATGTATGCCAGTGCTGTGGTATTGTCCAGACGCAATAGTATGTTGCAATTGGTCATTTTTCCCGCAAAGGATTTTATAGCATGGAAAGAGGCTAACAACTCAAGATAATTAATATGGTGTTCTCGTTCTGTACTGTTCCAGAACCCAGATCTACTCTCATTATTGGCAGATGCACCCCAGCCTGTAAGGGATGAATCTGAGAAAATTTCAATGTCATAGTTGTCCACGCGAATGGTATTTTTCGCGAACGGCAATTTCTGTAACCACCATTGAAAGTCTGGTAACAGCGAAGCATCAATTTCCATGTTGGCGTCATAGTTATTGGCTGCTTTCCTGAGAGCCAAATATTTGGCCCGTTCAAAGTTTTTCGTGTATGCCCACGAATATTTGATCGCGGGGCAGCTTGCGACGATATTGCCCAGAAATTTAGCAAACTCCCTAATTTTACAAAATTTGCGTTTTGTAAATGCGTTTACAAGCTTCTGCATTTTAACCCTTTTTTCTGGTGTCAGGCTTACCGACATGTCTAGCGAGTCATAATGCATGCCCAAATAGTCGATGTGCCTTAAAGGAACTAACTTGCTTTTGTGATAGTTAATAATAAAGCCAAGATGCTCTAGAATTTTTGTTTTTTCTTGTATGTTTCTCAGGCATTCGGAGTAAGTTTTTCCTATCATAAGGAAATCATCGAGATAAAGCACAGACAAATGGTCCTTGCCTCTGAGGTATGCCAATATGGGCTTCATTAGTTTGGTAAATATTAGAGGAGCACAATTTAAGCCAAATGGCATTGCATTATATTCATAAAGCTTACGGTTAAATCTAAATCTGAGAAATTTCCTATATGAATGATGTATTGGTACCAAGAGGTATGCATCTTTGAGATCTAATTTGGCCATGTAACAATTTTGTGACATTATTTTCGCAACCGTTTTGTGGTCCTCTAACTTGAAATGTTTAACTTGAATGAAGTTGTTCAAACGTTTCAGGTTTAAAATTACCCTATCTGAACCATCGTGCTTTTTTCGGAGAAATATATTTGAGATGTATTGCCTATTTGACGGTTTGGCCGTGCTGATTGCCCCTATGCGGCTCAATTCTTTAAGCGCTATTTTAATGGTGGCTTCTTCCTTGAAAGACCATTTAGGCTCTTTAGGAAGGCATCGTTGGACTGGCTTCTGCGATAGGGGTAATTTTACCCCTTTAATCCATGACAAGATCATTCTGTCATTCGTGAACTTTTGCCACTCGTGATAAAAAGAAGCTAATCTTCCAGCTATGCTAACCTTATCTACTGTCTTGGGTTCCTGGTTTTGAGTTTGTAGCTGTTCTGACTCCCCTGGTTCAGTCGACGTGGTGGCTCTCGACGTGGTTTGTAGCGGTTCGTGGAGTAACTGGGGCGCTGGTGTTGATGTCCGCCTCGACGTGCCCCCTGCTGATACCGAGGCAGACTCTGGTAGTTTAACGGCTTGGCAGCATTCTGTAGTGGCTTAGCCTTAACGGCCTTCAGCTCTCTGCCCGATTTCTCCAGGTCTTTGGAAGATTTTAGTCTGGCTTCTAAGTCTGTCCCAAAGAGCAGCCCATCAACTGTGGCTTCCGATAGGATCTGTTTTACGTCAGAGTTCAGGTTAAGGGCTACTAGTTCGCGACGAGCGATGCTTTCTGTGCGATGCAGGTCAGTCAATAGTTTGCTGGCATCATTCAGCAATTGGATGTACGTTCTGTTGCCCCCTCCCTCTTCTTTGAGGATGAGGGTCAGAGCGCTGCCTATACAGGACAGGCTAGCGCCTATTTGGCGCTGTAAAGCAGAGAGTCTCTCATCTCTCTTCTGCACAGAGCTGGAGATTGCAGCTTTGACCTCCAAGTTAAGTGTTGGAGCTTTTACCTGAGTACAATTTTCAGGGGGGAGGTATTTTTCTAATAATCTGTTCTTCTCTTCCTCTTCCAAACCCATCTGTATGTTATGAGCCCAGCGAACTGCCAGATCGTTGTGGATAGCCGGTCCTACATCTGGCTGCTTTATTGTATTTTTCCCCAAGATGTTGAGGATATCTTCCTCTAGTTGTTCCCCTTGAGGCGGCGTATTCTCCTTACTGTGTTCTTCGATGTTTACTATAAATCGAAAATCAGAGAGTCAGTCAATCATTTTTGACATGTTCTGAGTTCGTGCAACGTTACACGTGGCTCGCACAGTTGAGCTGCATAAATTCCAAATGTCAATGCCAATGTAGATGTAGTAGTGAGCTGTCACAAGTTCGTGATGTACCAAACTGTTTCAGGTATCATAGCGAGCTGTCATAAGCCCAGGATGTGCAATGCTGTCGTGAATATCGGAGCGCGGTGTATAATCTGTAATAGGGATCGCTGTCATAGGCATTGTAATGAGCTGTCATAAGTTCATATTGTGCAATGTTATCATAAGCATTGTGGCGAGCGGTCACGAGCGTGTGCGAGGTAGGGCGATAGCGAGATGCATAATCTCATAAATTCAATATTATCTAGGTATTGCAGCAAGCTCGTGATGGAGAATATTGTCCTCAGCATTGTAGGGAGCTGTCGTGAGCTCATAATCCGTAATGCTATCATAGCATTGTGGCGCGCTGTCTGTGATAACCAATACTGTCATAAGTATTTTATCAGAGTTTCATATGCTTGTGATCTACCATACTGTCATAAGTATCGTAGTGAGCTGTCATAAGCTCTTGATTATAACTATTATAACAATCTGGTATCAGTTGTAGATTGGCCTCCTAACATATGTTCGTGACTCAAGTATTCAATTATTGTTCAGAATAGGTTCATTGAAGCACTTTGGTATAAGCTATGTAAGAATGTGACTCCGTGCCAATGCCCTTTTGAGTTGATTTTGCTTACCTGGAATGTTTTCGAAGATCTCCGAAAGTTCGGAAGAGCTGGCAATGCTGCATGCGTCTGTGCCTGGGACGGGTGGTTGCCGCGGCGGCGACAGCGTCAACGCTGATCGAATGGAAGATGGCGGCCGGGAAGATCCTCGTGAACGAGATCGCTCAATTTCACTCAATCGCCGCTCCATCGCAGCTAATTGCCTTTTCAGACGTTTCTCCCGACTTCTATCACCACTATTGCTCCTGCTACGGCGGCGTTTCTTATGCTTGGGCATTTTTCTGGTCACTAAACTACTTTGTTTACGCGTACGTGCGAGTTTATTCGACACACAAACGAAGAATGACTGTACCGGCGACGCGGGAGCAGGGTTGCAACATTGTCGCTCTTTTTTAGCTTGGATAACGTGTGGAATTCGACCCAGTCGGGGAAACTACAAGTGTTTTATTTACAAGCGAGGCCCGCATATAATCGTAGCTGTGGCAATTTTCATAGATCATGCTACCAAACGACCACGTTTTGGATTGCGTGACCTTATTTTTATATACTCCTATATGTGTCTAACAATGCCCCGTATTCTAACTGGGGAAAAACAATGGCACAAGTGACCTTAGTGGCTGCTCCTACGAGACATTGTAAGTTATTGAGTGATCAGTGGTCATGCGTTCAGCGCATCATGGTTTATATTGTATATATATATAATAATCCGGGTTCAAATTTCCGGTAGGAAAATTTCGCATGTGAAGCACCAAATGTCAGTGAGCCGATACACAAACATTAATTCATGCATGGGGAGCGTTTAGCGCAAAAATTTGTTCAGTAATACATGCCTCTTATATTGAATTTATGTGTCTGACGTTAGAGCAGCAAACAAAATATTTTGACAAAAACCTCAAAAAGCTATATGATAGACACAATCGTTGGTTTGGATCCTGATCATAATAAATATATTTCACCATTTCTAACTGTTCTTGTAGTTTTAACAAAATGGAAAAAATAATATAATTGTACATAAAATATTGTCATGTGTTCATAGATATACATAAAAATATATACATTATTTAAATAATTTATTTAACTTTTATGTTTACACTTAGTGCATGAAATTTTGTTCATCTCTAAAAACCATAAAAACTCTCACGCTAGATTCACAAAATCAGAATATCGTTTGTAGTGTGCATTTAATCAATACATGGCAAATAAAGAATCAAGAATAATGGTTTTATTTCCATCTGCAACCATGGAAACTTCTATATTGGTTACATATAGAAAAAATGTTAAAAAATTCAACATTTTGAGCTATTGTAACATGTGAAACTTATTTCATGATTTTCATGCTAATAGAAGTCCATATTGTCTGACCGCTAATTAAAACCACATCTGTGGAAATTATTTTACTGACGTTTATTTTGGGTTGATTCACAAATGCAAAATAAGTCGTCACCTAAATCGATAATCGAAGGGAGTCGATTCAAAACTGTAGATCACCTTTTGCGTAACATTTTGGACCTTGTTTTGGAGCTTCTCGCGAAAATATAAAAAAACACTGATAGGCAATATCTTTCCGACGGAGCCGCCTTCTTCGCCTCAAATTTCGACTACATTAAAAAAGGAAACTTATATTTTTGAAAAAGTGGGTACAGTGGGGAAAACAAACGTTTACTAAATTAATTTGCCAATGTTTTGGCTACCCGCCCAGTCAGTCGTTTTTGAATATAAAGTTTTAAAGCAAAGTCAATTTATTGTTTTATTTTTGGGTACTATACTTCAAACAAGATGACTCCAGGAAAACAAATTTGTGGTGTGCTGGTGTGGTTTCATGCATTGGCTAGGAAAATACGAAGATGAAACGTTTTCATCCATATATCCAGGGAAAAGTAACAAACACATTGTAACTCGTGTTAATACTTATTCTTTTTAAGACCTCCGATCTGTGGAGTGTGGTGTCTTCTGGAAATAGTGAATGATTTTCTAACATTAACAGCATACAGTCTGAAAACTTAATTATTCAAGAAGTGGAACGGTATAAAGTTATTGATATTTCGGGGATATGAAGGAAATTAATAAATATTTTAATTATATGGGTGTTAAAATAAGAGATTTTTGTCTTATTATATTCACTCAGCAACTAAAAGTGTTTTTATAGAATAAAAAGTTGTATAAACATTGACATATTATAAATAAAAAATAAAGATTTCCTATAGTAAATTTACGGTATTGCCTAAAGTATTGAACAAACAATGTGTTTTATGAGTATATACAAGAGCCTTTAGACTTAAATTATTACTTGGTTGTTTCCTTAAAACTACACATCTTAAAATTCTTATTTATGACAGTAAAAATATAGTGGATATATATATAATCTCGAAGCCTCAGCTGTTATGTTCCCATATTTCATTAGACGCCTCGATTTGCTCTGCAGCATAACAGAAGATACCAAGTTACCATCAGACGAAATATAGGAATGCAACAAGAAAATCCAATAATGAAACAGAAAACACATTTGACATAATATTTGTGCTCAACCAATAGACAGTTAGGAAGCACACGCAATTAGAATTACGTAAAAGATACATTTTAGGTAAGCACCCCTTTCTCTTACTGTACTTACAAAATGGATAAATATATTTTATAACCTAAACTTAGTTAATCTTTCACCAAACAAAACGCTAAGGGGTGACGCTTCACTTTTCAATTTAAAACTTTCTATACTTCGTTTGCATATGTTTTTCTTTTCAATTTATTTGGTCATAGCCTAAAGTAATTTGCTCTTTTTCCATCCATGAGTTTCAAGATACAAATGTACAAAGATGCATATATCGTTAACCGTTTTTGCACTGCATCTATCACGATTTTAACCACAATAACTGACCCAATAGCTATAACGCCCACTCACACATTTATCTTAAATGCATGGCAGCAGGATAATTTGTTCTGTTGGATGCTTAGAGCGTATGTATATTTTCAACATCAATTTACTTGTGCGTATTTTCATCAAGTTCCAAATTTTTCAAATATTCTCATACCGCCTATAAATACGTGCCATAGCCGCGGTCTGCCCAGCACGCAACGCACCCCTAGACGTTCACTGCGCGATCTCCATTTGCTTGACCTCCGTTGCCAGCTACTGCCAAAAGATGTCTGAAAAATAATAACACGTTGGTTTGTACGGTAGCTTATAGATAAATAATTATATAGAACACCAATACTATTGATCACTGCGAATAAAAAAATTGCATAGAACAAATTCGAGTTAATAGCCGTACGCAAGAGGAACATCTTTATGGAATTATATATTGTTACCAGATAAAAATATGAATCAAATTCAAGCGAATAACCAAATGAAAATAGTATTTATCATTTTGGATTGGCATTTATACTGTATTTCACGAGTATCCATCACGGTAGAATGACAGCTGGTTATCTAGTAATATTTCAGATTTCCCCATATCAGCAAAGGACATGTAATTCTGAAAGATCCGTCAATGCCATGTAGACAAAGCCATATCTTGTTTTTTTTGTAAGCTAAAGATTCATTTTGTACTTGCTAAAAGCTCTTTTATTTAGAAAAGTTGATTTGCATAAAAAAACTCGACAACATAATGTTTGCTAGATTTACACCCGATTCATTATAGCCAACGTCACAGACTAACACAACAATGTCACTGGCTGATCAGCTGTTCACCACAGTAGACGTCAAAGCGTGATGGCTACTCGTGAAATAGGGTATACCGATTCGTTCAAGCGAGTGTGGTTATCAGTTTGGTTATAAGGTCCGTGACGTCATCAATCAGCTGTTATATGTCATAGTTATCACTGTAAAATTGTGGTATTTACTCAACTCCAGAGTAGTTTTATATTTCTGGTTATTATTTGAAATGTGACAAGTTAGAATTTTGGCGGGTATTTGATATTTTTGTTGTATTTCAGCTTCAATTTTGGGAAATTTGATACAGGCTGACTTCAGTTTTAGCATAAAGTAGAGCACCTTATCAGTTATACTCATTACTGTTGTTGGAAACACTTTAAATCTAGTTCCTATATGCTTAACAAAGTAGCCATATACCAGAAGAAGATTAACATACGGCCATATAAACTCACTGGATAGTGTCCACCTGTTTTGCGAATACCTTTTTTTTCTTCGTTTTTTTCTAAGTTCTGCTAAATCAATAAACGTTTTCTTTGACATGAGGAAAAGTTATCCTAGCTACAAAGCCATGGTTCTACCATTAAAATTTTGGGAGTCATATTTTTTATTTTCATGACAATCTTGTTTCAAAATAAAAGAGACTTTCTCAAGTGATTTAACACCTGAACAATATCTTCTGAAAAAAAAACATTTTTCCCATTAATATTATGAAAGTTTTCTTTTTTAAATTTTCCATACCACTGTTGTAGACAAAAAGCACCAACTAGTAGTAATAATAAAAATAATAATCAAAATTATATACAAACTCGTGTGTCATCTTAAACCACATTATAACCGCGGAAATAATACAGAAATTTTGGTTATTCGCTATGGAGTTGAAAAAAATGGTCAAGTATTTATATGAGAGAAATAGTAAGGGAGCATGTTAGTGCGGGCGCCAATGAACCTGCTCGACACCAAGTACAACGAGTCTATGAACGCTTGATTTGCGTTCTCGCTCTAAAATACATGTTTCTCTTTCTATCTCGCTCGAACGGGACATCGATGATTCGCTGCTGCTTCTGTATAGCGACGTATTGGCGTAATTAGAAAGTCGTATTTCGTTACGAATTCCAGAATTCTGGGTTGGAATCTCCCAACTCTACCTTTCTCATGTTTTTCCCTACCACGCCAACTGGAGAGGCATTATTGTAATCGCTAATTATTTTGATAATGAGATAGTAAGTTTTTTTGATGTTATACATGTACATCAACTATGTCACACATTCTGTCGGCCAGCTGTCTCTCGGTCTGTCTATCCGCTAATCATTGACACCGTTATAGGTATCTAGGAAAGTACCAGTAGTATTTTGATGAAATTTCGAGAGGGCGTCTCGTCACGTAGGTGTTGGACAGCGTCTGTGCGATTAGTCATTAGTCTATAGACAATTCATAGGGCACACCTGTGCGCTAGGACACGTGGTTTCCAGTTGATAACTATTGAGTAGTGCGTCACAAGTCACCACAAGCATCTAGATATGTGAACAACAGCTCTTAATAAGGTCCTGAATTTTACCAGATTTACACCCGATACATTATTGCCAACGTTACAAACTAATACAAAGATGTATCTTGCTGATCAGCTGTTCACCTCAGTAGACGTCGAAACGTAATGGACACTCGTATATATATATATGCTTCTAGCCCCAGTAATTCTACTCGTCTTAACAAATGGCAGGACATATTTCAAACATAGATTTCCCCACATATCAAAATAGTTCAGCCCTGCGCCCAGCGTAACGTACAGCACAATCTGACTGAACGAAGTCGAAAACTACCCACAGGATTTTTATACGGTTTTCATCGGACAGTCGACTCATGAAAAAAGTTAGATTGTATATAATTCATTAGTTTTGTGACAAAATTGTGATCCAAGGTATCCAAAAATTGCCTTCTAAAAGTCATTAGCTCTTAACGAACAGGACTACATTTTTGAAATTTGCTTCTGGACCAAGGTATTTTATTTCCCAAGGATCCAAAATACTAAACGCCACATTCAAATACATTACATCTGAGTCCCTATTGGACCCATATGACATGAAACATCAGCGTTGACTATGCCCACATAGGGACACATGGCCTGAACCGAAAATAGAGTGCGCACCAATATGATGCACATGGTCGTGAACTTGTATTGTACATTGTAAGGAGTGGGGAGGGTATATATCAGTTTTTTTTATTCTAAGTACCTATTAGACATACTTTACACATTATAGATGCCACGCCTACATCAAGGTTAGACCAATGTCAACAGATGGTCAATAGGGCAGGAGAAAAATTTCCAGACTTCAATGTTGACAAATGGGTATGGGAACTGTTTAAGTGACTATTTTTTTTTGTCATACCTATTTATAGCTAACTTATCTCTCAGAGACGCTATCTTGTGCCTTTATGAACTGATGACAGAGTCGCTTGAGATGTAAAGAGTCAACCTACTTGACGCCATTTTTTTAGGTTAAAGGTATTCGTTAATTCCATTGTACAGATAATGATCCTAAAATGTATAAAAGGAACATTCAAAAACAATGAAAATATGATAATAATGATATATACCTAGTGCTAGACCCACTTGCATAACTATCCTGACTGCTTCTAGCACTTGCGTGAGACATTGGAGTACCAGGCAAACGTTGAGGTGTACTTTCCAATGAACCTCCCTCGTAGAGGGTACCTGCAGCTGGAGCAGGCTCATCAGGGGTGTAATAGCAGTCTGAGTCTTCACTGCGCTCACCACCTACACAACAAATTTCCATGAAGTATGGTACTGAGGAAATAGGTGTAACAAAAATAGGTGCTGTTCAAAATATGTGATAAGCGTATATGAATGTATGCAAAATGTTTTAAACAGGAATAAATTCCTTTGACATTTTTGGAAATGCAAACCTTCTTAAAAACGAGCGCGTTGCTCGATTCTAAAGTATTACTAATTCTAGGACTTCCATATACCCAACATGAAATAACCTGTCGGAGCTCATAAATGTTTCACCTGCGCAATAATTATTTATTCAAATCCAATAGTTTTTCTTATCAAATACAGCGTGTTCAGAAAAACGCAATCAATTTTTCTAGGGCGTAAACTAGAACTAGAAAGTTTATAAAAAATATCCACATACCAGGATAGAGGGTGTTGAAATTATAATTTTTAAATCTTAGGAGTGGATTAATATATTTGAATTGATTTAAAATTTTGTACATATAGTACTGACATCATAAGAAATACATACAAAGATAGATGTTCGTGACTCAGATTATACTAGTGGAGTAGAAATTGGGAAATTTTGACCCTTGAAAAAAGAAAATGAAAATTATTTTCTTCACCACTTCATAAAGTATACTATTCCACACGAATTGCTCCTGTTGAAAAAATTTTGTTAGTATACTCTTTGCGGAGAAAAACTGCCTTGAATATTTGAGCTAAAATCAGTATAAAAAACTTCAACCCATTATACTTTAAGAATACGCTGAGGTTAATGAAGTTTTACAGTGAAAAGTGTATGTACTCGTAGTATCCCTACCTCACCATATTATCATTATTCCAACAATGATTATATTTTGTCCCTATTCAGTCTCATCAGTGGCGACACCCTGTATCTTGGTAATGGAACTCATATAGCATGCCTCAGAATTCATTTTTATCAAGGATATTGAGAAAAAGAGATCACGTAAAGTCAGAAAAATGTCAGGAATTTTGTTTTGCATTGAAGGTGGACACTGATGATGTTCAGTGAGAGAGTACATATGATTATAAAACTGTTATCCTGAGCTATTTGAATCATTTTTCTTACCGTAAGGTTTAGATTTTTCTTTAACTTGTATATTATGTTCCTCTTGGTCTGTATCTGCATCATCAATAGGGTCTACTACATCTACCATATTTAAAGCCAAATTGGTTCCTCTACCAGACGTATCAATCTTTTGAAGTAGTGGCGATAACTTTTCAGCTTCACTATCTTCATCAGCATTCTAGAATATTAGAAAATATAAGGTACAAACTTCAGCTTAAACAGATTAACAAACCTCATCTTTCTCCAATTTCTCATTGACCAATTTGACGCTGTCTCGGGAGCGATGTTTGATTCGAGTTTCTTTTTCCAAAAGTGGATACTTCGTCTCTTTGTTCTCTTCGTCACGCCGTGGTGCAGTTGAAAGACCGTACTCGGGACTGGAAGGCTCACTTCCTCTATCACATTGCCTGTCAAACATTTTTGATACACAGCGATTAGAGAGATAAAACTCAAGCATCATAGGTAATGAATAGCAATATTGACAAGGTACTGCCATTCAGCGACGAGAGAACGTCTGACTCAACCCCCTCATCCTGGTTTACCATAATACCGAGTCAGAGTATTGCCAATTACCCAGATGCTTGACATGTATAGCACTACGAGGGATGTCTTTTAAGTTTTGCATATGGAAATAAAACAACACGGTAGGTAGTTTTAAATGACTTATTGTTTTTCTAAGTATTGCTCTGGTGACTGGAACCTTTGACCACGCAGTCTGTTTTTAATTTTCGGGAAAGTATAGAAATCGTTAGGACTTAGATCGGGACTATATGGAGGATGGTCCAATAATTCCACGTTTTCTTCCGTTAAATACTGCCTTATTTTTTGGGCTGTGTGCGAGCTTGCATTGTCTTGGTGGAGGATGATTCTTCTTTCGGGGTTGATTTTTCGAAGCTCGGTGATGACTTTTGGCAAACAAATGGTGGTATACCAATATGCAGTAACAGTTCTTTGCTCATTAAGAGGAATTGTTGCAATATGGCCCGCTTTTGACACAAATGTCGCGACCATCTTTTTCGAAACACTTCGTGAACGGATGACTTTTGTTGGCTTTTCTTCACCTTTCAACACCCAAACGGCCGACTGTCGTTCATTTTCTGGTTCATAACAGTAAATCCACGATTCATCACCACTAACAATGTACACATTTTTGAGTTTCCGGAATTGAAACGGTCAAGCGTTTTTTGACACCAATTAACCCTGGCTGCTTTCTGCTCTTCAGTCAACAGGTGGGGTATCCAACGAGAAACTAATTTTCTTACTCCTAATTCTTCATGTAAATTTTTTTGAATTGACGTCTGAGATCTTCAAGGACGCCTCAATCTCGCGATATGTCACATGTCTATTTTCAATGATGAGTTTGCCCACAGCATCGACGTTTTCCTGGGTGACTGCCGTTTTTGGTGCACCCACCCTGGGATCGTCGCTAAGACTCACCCGTCCACGTTTGAATTCTCCATACCAACGCGAAATTGTCGACTTCGTTGCTGAAAACAGACAGTAACTCGGCAAGGCATTCTTGTTGCGATAATTGTCTCTGAAAGTTGTAATAAATTATGGCGCGAAAATGTTCTCGGTTGAGTTCCATTTTTCTAATGACTTGGTGACACTTAAAAATTCACTGTAGTGAGAACACTGCACGTATTGTTGTGAAACTTTGAATTTAGGTTTACTAAAAAGTGAGGTTAAGATTCAGTACTTTACTACTTAAAAGACATCCCTCGTAATCGCCTTACTGTTACGCTAGAGAAAATTAAAGACATGCAGTGCAATTCAAAAACAATGTCAATATTTCTAGAGCAAAAAAACATCCAAAAATAACACAAAAGGTTCCTATACAAATTGATGACAAACCATAAATATTGTTCACATGGCTCTGTGAGGAGATGAGACTACTCTGCTAATGTGTTACATACAATTTTTAATATCATTGGATTCAAATATACAAACAATTCTTTCGCCAAAAGCAATGCCGTAACAAAAATTACTCAAGAGATCCAAGTTATGTAATATCCAATACCTTGTATAAAAATGCATTAGATGTTCAGTCATTTTTGTACATACTTTCTGTCCTAAAAATACTGCCATTGTTTTTTAATCATCCTGTATACACTGTGCATTCAAAAAGTTCCGGGGCTATTTTTTTCAAAAACATACAGATAACGCGATCTATAGTCAGAATCACAAAAGATGACCTTTACGTCATACCATAAATTGTACTGAAATAATCAATGGACGTACGTCGACGATAAAATCACGATGTCAGTAATGATAACAAATTTATATTATGACTTTGCGAAGTTAGGTTATTTCACTGATATTTTTATTTTCATTTTATTCCATGGTTTTGAGTAATAATAATCTTAGTGTGGAGTTTTGGAAAAAAACAGTTATGATTAGAATACCTTAAGACAGAAACACCAAACACCAAAGTATTATTCGGAAACAAGCGAACCTACTTTAACATAACCTAACTATTCATCTTTCAAATATGATCGATCATGCAACATGAAAACATCGTATATCTTTATCGGATACATGCATATTAGGAATACAGTTTGTTTAGACAATAAAGTTCTGTTTGACTCTGTCTAGCATATCTGAAACTTCATTAAAAATATTCACAAATCGCTGTCGTTTGTCTTTACTAAAATGATGACGTAATCGTCATCTTTCGTGATTTCGACTATATCGGACAACGGCTGAAGTCCGTAGAATGATGCCTTGTCAACCGACTGTAGTAGTTTCATTAAGTTGACGCGAACGCGAGGCGTGCAAACCAGTGATAGAAGTTAGAACCATGTTAAGATTTGTTGTCACGATTTTTAAATTGGAACAAATCAGAATCGTTTTAAATGATGCAAACTGCATATGGTGAAGAGTGTTTGGGCCGATCGTAGGTATTCAAGTGGTTTTCAAGATTTAAAAGTGGACGTGAGCTGTTAGATGATCCGCGAGCAGGTCGACCATTAACCAGCACAGAAATGTGGGACGCCATCAGTGTATGGTCTTTGCTACACGACAATGCGCCATCACATTCCTGCCTCAACGTTAAGCAGTTCTTGACGAAAAAAGAGGTAACTGTGCTCGAACACACACCCTACTCACCTGATCTCTTTCCCACGGGCTTCATGCTGTTTCCTAAACTGAAAGCGGCATTAAAAGGTGAACGTTTTGATGATATCGAAACGATTCAGCAGAATATGACGGCAGTCTTGAAGAGAATTCCTACGGAGGACTTTGTTGACCAGGCATTCCATAGCTTGTATGAACGTTCTAAGAAATGTATAGAGATAGGGGGGATGTATGTAGAAAACTAAATTAATAAATTATATTTTTCCATCGTTTACTATTTTTTTTAATGTAGTCTCGGAACTTTTTGATTACACGGTGTAGTTTGAAAACACGCGGTCAAAAGAGATAGGTCTTTTGGGCAACTTCCCGCCAAAAAAATTATCTGACAATGCCCTTGAGAGACAACATACAGTTTGTACAAAAGTCTGGAACGCATCGAATATCTGACGAATGACTTATCTATTTTTGTTTTGACAATTGATAGGTTTATGTTCGAAACCACGACGGATCCGTTGATGATATCCGCGATGTTGCCAAGTCTACCGTTTTTCAGAAACTGATAGCAAATTTTGTTTTTCTTATGGAATGATATACATTTTATTCGATATTTGTATTCTGCGATAAATTCTGAATACTTTTTATTAAACATACTTTGTCGTAGACCTCATAGTTTTCGAAATAACAAAAGGTATTTGTTTCAATTAAGAACTCAGCAATAATCGGAATGGAAGATAATTTCCTGTAATTTCTGACATTGAAAAGTCCATTGAGTTTTGATAGTAGAGTTAATAAAAATATGATTTATTTAACTTAAACCAAGAGTTTGGAAATTCTAATATTGATTAAAATAGTGTATTTGATATTCCAAGGAAACGAGAAAAATTGAAAACCAAGAAAACGATAAAACCTAGTTGTTAATTTAAACTTCAAAACAAGATAAAAATCATATTAAATGTTTAAATTGCCGTCCATAAACTTCATGGCAATACGGTAGAATTGCGGAAAGAACATTTTGAACATTTTGAACACATCGGCTTTCCTCGATTCTTCTGCATTCACTTTCTATTCGTTGTTTTAGTTCCTCCAAATTTTGTATAAATTCTTTAAGTACCCAACAAAAAATGATCGCGGGGTGTGAGGTCAGGAGACCGAGGTGGCCATTCAATCGTACCTCTTCTACCTATCCATCTTCCAAAAATTTTCTATTGTTGAAACAGTATTAATATGTTTTATTGTTTGTGGTAATAAAAGTTACTTACAAGGATTGGGAAATATTTTCGCCAAAACTGGGACAACGTGATTGCTCAAAAGATAAATAAAGATATTAATATGTTTTATTGTTTGTGATAATAAAATTTACTTACAAAGATTGGGAAATATTTCCGCCAAAACTGGGACAACGTGATTCCTCAAAAGTTGGAAATATCTTTTAGCGTTTAAATTTTCTTCCATGAAAAACGGACCGATTTTCTTTTTACCTATGACACAGACCCAAATATTAATCTTTTGTGGATATTGTGAGATGAGGATTTTCCCTGGCCCAGTAGAGGACGTTATGGCTATTAAGAGTTCCGTTCAAAGAAAAACTTGACTCATCCGAAAACATTATTTCGAACAAAAAATGTTCATTTATATTACACATGTCCATGGTCTCCCAGAATTGTAGCGTCCTGTCAAAATCATCATCTGATAGCTCTTGTACCAAGGTGACTCTGTAAGTATGGATCTTTTCGTCTTTAAATTGCGTTGCACAGGCATGAGAGATGTATTGTTATCTTCACCAAGTATTCTAGAAGAGAGGTGGGGGTTTTCCGCTAGGCTCACTAAAATATTCAAAGCCTTATTTTCGTCAGTGGCTGTGTTGGGACGGCCAGATCGTGGAACATCCTTTACATGTTATGTTACTACAAATTTCCTCAAGACTTTTCCAACAATAGACCTTGTTATTGGGTTCCGGTTCGGATATTTGTTATTAAAAATATCGCAAACTTCTTGTTGTTCCAGTTAAATTAATCATTGTCAATAACTCTACTAACAAAACTCAATGGACGTTTGAATATCAGAAATGACAGGAAATTACTCGATACCGGTCGTTGCTTATGTGAAAAAAATACTTTCCATTGTTTCAATATCAATGTTTGACTGCGAATATTTAGAAAACTATGAGGTCTACGTCAAAGTATGTTTAATAAAAAGTATTCAGAATTTCTCGCAGAATATAAATATCGGATAAAATGTATAGCATTCTGTACGAAACACAAAAGTTGCTATCAGTTTCTGGAAAATTGAAAACCAAGAAAACGATAAAACCTAGTTGTTAATTTAAACTTCAAAACAAGATAAAAATCATATTAAATGTTTAAATTGCCGTCCATAAACTTCATTGCAATACGGTAGAATTGCGGAAAGAACATTTTGAACACATCGGCTTTCCTCGATTCTTCTGCATTCATTTTCTATTCGTTGTTTTAGTTCCTCCAAATTTTGTATAAATTTTTTAAGAACCCCACAAAAAATGATCGCGGGGTGTGAGGTCAGGAGACCGAGGTGGCCATTCAATCGTACCTCTTCTACCTATCCATCTTCCAAAAATTTTCTATTGTTGAAACAGTATTAATATGTTTTATTGTTTGTGGTAATAAAAGTTACTTACAAGGATTGGGAAATATTTTCGCCAAAACTGGGACAACGCGATTGCTCAAAAGATAAATAAAGATATTAATATGTTTTATTGTTTGTGATAATAAAATTTACTTACAAAGATTGGGAAATATTTCCGCTAAAACTGGGACAACGTGATTCCTCAAAAGTTGGAAATATCTTTTAGCGTTTAAATTTTCTTCCATGAAAAACGGACCGATTTTCTTTTTACCTATGACACAGACCCAAATATTAATCTTTTGTGGATATTGTGAGATGAGGATTTTCCCTGGCCCAGTAGAGGACGTTATGGCTATTAAGAGTTCCGTTCAAAGAAAAACTTGACTCATCCGAAAACATTATTTTGAACAAAAAATGTTCATTTATATTACACATGTCCATGGTCTCCCAGAATTGTAGCGTCCTGTCAAAATCATCATCCTTGTACCAAGGTGACTCTGTAAGTATGGATTTTTTCGTCTTTAAATTGCGTTGCACAGGCATGAGAGATGTATTGTTATCTTCACCAAGTATTCTAGAAGAAAGGTGGGGGTTTTCCGCTAGGCTTAATAAAATATTCAAAGCCTTATTTTCGTCAGTGGCTGTGTTGGGACGGCCAGATCGTGGAACATCCTTTACATGTTATGTTACTTCAAATTTCCTCAAGACTTTTCCAACAATAGACCTTGTTATTGGATTCCGGTTGGGATATTTGTTATTAAAAATATCGCAAACTTCTTGTTGTTCCAGTTAAATTAATCATTGTCAATAACTCTACTAACAAAACTCAATGGACGTTTGAATATCAGAAATGACAGGAAATTACTCGATACCGGTCGTTGCTTAGGTGAAAAAAATACTTTCCATTGTTTCAATATCAATGTTTGACTGCGAATATTTCGAAAACTATGAGGTCTACGTCAAAGTATGTTTAATAAAAAGTATTCAGAATTTCTCGCAGAATATAAATATCGGATAAAATGTATAGCATTCTGTACGAAACACAAAAGTTGCTATCAGTTTCTGGAAAACCACATTTGGCAATTTCGAACCTGAACCTACCAATTTAAAAAAAAATAGATGAGTCATTCGTCAGATATTCGATGCGTTCCAAACTTTTGTTACACACTGTATATGGTCAGCATGATTTAGCTGCTTACCTATTTAATATTTGGGCTGCTTGTACAGCATGCTCATTTTCAGGTGTTTCGACAAGATCAGGCATGGCAGACGGTGGCTGCCGAGGGATACAAGGTCCATTCAAAGCTTCTATCAGAGATACTGCTTCATATCCTGGTGGGATGTTATCGCAACTTCCCTAATAAATAATTACAAGTTTTCAACCTTTATCTGATTTTATTTTGATCATTCTACTATCATTACCTGGCAAAGACATATTTGCAACCTATACACGAGCATTCATTATTGCCATTCCTGATGTGACGAAACGCAGAGCGTTCTATAAGAGTACCTTTTTCAGACAAGAATGTTCGTGAATAAGGTGCAATTGAGTTACTTTCCCTCAATATTTACGTCCACATTTAAATTCCTCAAAGTATTACAGTAAAAAGAGAATGAGACAAAATTTGTCAACAGTGCTCATTCAACAAATATCTTACTTTGATATTCCTAGATACTGTGTTTAATATTTTTGTATCTGGATTTGATAACCATTCTGTTACAGTGGATAGTCTTGGTCATAATTCTGTTTGCATTTGAGTAGCTTTAGCTTCCCTTTCTAAGCCATCTAAGCTGAGACTATCAATTTGTTGTGGAAATTCGTCATGAACTGATCAACAACAAGTTTGCATTGTTCATCTCCGTTGTACTTAAGCAAAAAAAGTGTTGAGTGCTGAGTTCAATGTTTCAGCCGTCTCTGCTACATACAGTTTGGTACCGTCTTCTATTTTGGGATGAGCTTCAAAGATTTTCCCATGAGCAATCATGGCACTGAATATTCTTTGTTCTGTAAAGGAGGAAAGGCGATCCGACATAGGCCTCATTGCGTATGTCCTCCCCAGGGGTCACTCAGGCCTGGATGGTCAGTCATCCCGAACTATAGAAACAGGTGTTGATGCAATCCAGCAGAGTGTCCTCTATATAAGGATGTGTCATTCAGTCACATGTTATACAGATGCTTTGTAAGCTGACAGTGTCCAGTTGCAATGTCAGTTGTGGTCTCGACATAGACATAGTTTTTTGCAACCTCCTCACTAGGATATCTGAGAAATTCCTTAGCGAATGAACAGCCCGATGTATCATCCCACATGTTCTTGAATATTTTGTGCATATGCTCTTTCAGCATAGGTATCATGGCTCCGATAGATAGAATACAGAGTAGCACTGGGCACGCAATTATAGTTTTGGCAGTCCTTTTTGCTATATTATTACACTTGTAAATGAATGACCATTCATACACGTAACAGTTATGTTATTACTAGTAGAGACACTTACAAGTGGCAACTGATAGTCTAATGCTGTTCTCGTTGTAAGCTTGCAGCACTTGAGAGTCAGTATTGCTTATCTGCTGTCTGTGCAGATCTTAATACTTTTGCCTGTCTGCACATTCATGATTATCCCAAACATAGCAGACAGCCCAAAGCTGTATGTAGCAGATCTAGAACCTGAAAGGTTGAACTCAGCACTCGATAGACTTTTACAAAAGTATTATAGTGATGAACAATGCAAACTTATTGCCGATGAGTTCATGAGGAATTTCCACAATGAAATTTATAGTCTGAGCTCAGATATCTTAGAAAGGCAGCTAGAGCTGCCATATAAAGTTAATCAACATTCCTTGTGGGCATGTTTTATACATATTTTATTCAAATGAAATCATCAGAACCATGACCTAGACTATTAACTGATACTAGGGTTTTGGTTTGAATTTTATATCTTAAAAACTCGTTAAAAATCTCAATAAACCCTATTGTGTGTTTGTTCGCTCATGGAGATTAATATCAGTTATATTTATGTAAAAATTTTAACCTTCCTAAAACACTGTACTTTTTTTATGAGGAGGAAAACTTACGTCTGGTGCACTTATTGGTGCTAAGTTGGAATTAGCACTTTTTTGAAGGGCGCGAATCTGAAGAAGGGCCCTGAACGGCGCCCTACAAATTGGACAATTGTTAGCTTGATATCGCAAGGAGTCGGCACATGAATTGCACAGGCACAGATGACGACATGGCAGAATAAGTGTATCTCTTACATCACACATACATATGACACATTCAGAGCCATTGTCTTCTGTTTCATCGTCACCTCCAGCCTAAAAGCAAAAAGTTTCCATCCGATCATGATGTCATAAGTTTTTTCACAGAAATAGATGAGCATAACATGAATTCACTTATTGGTGCTCTCTAGTCTTTTTTCTCACCTTTTCATTATTTTTATTCTCAATTCCATAAATTTCTTGCAACAAATAGCATAAGCCATCCACAAATAATTTCTGCTTCAACGCTTTTAGTAGGTAAGTTCCATCTGTAATTTTTTCTACTGTAGCTATAGTTGTATGAGACTGCCTCACATCCTGTAATAAACAGAACATTACTAGATAATACAATTATTAGAAAAAAGACTACAGTTGATGAGTATGCACGAACTTTGGGTTCTTAAAAAATAGCCAAAAGATTGTCCATGAGGGTTTTGTTGCGTCCTTTATTTAGTATAAGCATCTTTTGTAGATATATGATATAGGCTCTTGTTCATGGAAACCCAATTATCAGTAGATCCACTAGAAAATTACAAGCACAATGAGCTTTTTGAAGCCAAGTTTTTACTCTATTTCAACATACTGTATTCAATTGACTTCATTATATCACATAAAATATGAGTACAGATATATTGCACGAATATCCATCACGCTTTGACGTCTACTGAGGTGAACAGATGATCAACAAGTGACATTTTGTGTTAGTTTTCAACGTTGGCAATAATGAATCAGGTGTAAATCTAGTAAAACTTTTTTGTAACGTTTTTTGTATGGAAATGACCGTTTTTAAATAAAGGTGGTTTTAGCAAGTACACAATGAATCTGTAGCGTACAAAAAAAACAAAACAAGTTATGGCTCTGTCTACCTGGCATTGATGGACCTATTAGAATTATGTGTCCTTTACCCATATGGGGAATTTTGAAATATTACTAGATAATCAGCTGTCATTCTACGATAATGGATACTCGTGAGAAAGTCTGTATACCCTATTTCACGAGTATCCATCACGCAGGTAATGCGGGCCCCACACGATGCTTCCAACGTTGTATACAACATTCGACACCCCACAACTGGCAAGTGTGTTTCCTACACAATGGGATGAACTTTCTAGTTTCGGACGTTCGACGCTTAGTGGCGCCAACGTCTATTATCGGTGTCAGCGCCGGGCTTGAACCTTTACAACTGAAGGAAAAATTATACATACAAAATGAACGATGAAACAATTTCTTCGAGCGCCGAAAAATAATTTCAGATCTGTCTTCAACGGCTAAAACTTATGTCGTAATTAACCTAGGGTCAAAATTTCATCAAAATCCTGATAGTACTTTCAGAGTTATCATTTATTTAATCGTTAATCGTAACATAGCTATGGTTTCATCAAAAAATAATTTTACAAATTAAGAACAATTTTAGCAACAATCTCACCATCTTAGTGAGTAATGATACTCCTTTTAATTACTTATTGTTGCTACTTTTCAATTTTTTTCCAGTTCCAGATGATGATGGCATAGACTGTGGAAAGCTTGAGTTAAAAGAGTGTACTCTTGCAAAAAAATTTGCCTTCATCCCAAAGAATTTCATATATATATATATATATATATATATATATATATATATATATATATATATATATATATATATATATAACTTGAGACGTGGTCATTGTCGTCTAGACCAGTTAGGTGAAAAATTAAAGCTTCCGCCTTTTGTTGGGTACTTCGACAAGATTTAAGCAAAGAGGACTCTTTATACTTTTTTTAATTCTCTCTAGCTTTCAATGGACTTTGCCATCATCATCAGGAGCTGCAATTACAATGATAACAGTAGCAACAAAGGTGTAAAATGAATTTAAATTGACTCAACTTACAGTAGTATGTGAGGATGTTGCTAATTGTTGTTTACGTATAGGATGAGGGAAACGTCCAGTAACATGGTGAGAGCTGGATAGATTGTACAATAGTCAAACTTATATAAAATATGACAAGAACAAGTTAAAAACAGATTAAAAAATTATTTAAAAAATTTTAGCATTACATCGTGAAGCCACCTGATGATTGCACAAATTAGTGGTCATGGAATGATGAATTGATGAGTGACATGAAACCCTTTGACAGAAGGCCGAAGGATGTCAATGTCAGTATTGAAAGATGGAACGAATTGTGGGCGTGTGCCAAAACGTTGCCAAATCACTTCAGATGATGAGATTTTCAGAATTTTATGTTAGAATTTGTTAAACCGACCAGAGGCAGTTGAATAAACTATATTATTATTAATGGGAATTTAAATTAACAATTATTAATAAATCGTGAGGAGAGAATTATTATATTTTGAGTGGAATGAAATTTACTGGTGGAATCGGCCAAAACACAGATTCTAATTATGGTTGTGAAGAGTTGAAATTTGGGGAGATATGTAAGTTCTCCAATTTTTCGCAGTTTAGCAAATATGAGTAAATGACACTCAGTTGTTTAACATCTGTCTTTTTGTTGATACAGTTGTTATTCATGAAAATGTGGGACATTTCCAGGAATAAACGTTTGGAAAGGTGTTTTTCTTTATCAAGAACTTTGATACTTGTGTAATTCATAGAATGCCCTGTTGTGTTAACATGAGATGCTAGAGCGCATCTTTCAGGATGAAGTCTAGCATCACTTTTGTGTGATGTAATCCTTCCTTTAAGAGATCTGGAGGTCTGACCTATGTATATTTGGTTGCAGTTGTTGCAATTGATGGAGTAGACTGTGTTGGTTAAGCCAAGCAGCGGGACTTTGTCTTTCATTTTTGAAAAAATGCAGTTTATAGTGAGGACGGATTTGCAAGCAATTCGAAAGTTCAAAGGACTGCACAATCTGATCAGCTTAGGGGTCAGTTCCTTGATGTAGGGCAGGACAGCAAAACCAGGTCTGGAGTCCGGGGTTGGTGCTTGTACTGTTAGGATTGATGTTATTATTGGGAATTACATCAGTTCCGTTATTAGGGGTTGTGCGACTATTACCTGCATCACCAGAGTTCGGCAAAATATTGGAAGGTGAACTAAAAATGATCTTGTTAATCAGACACTTCGGATAACCATTATTGATGAACAGTTTTGATAGTTTACGTAAATTTGAGGTGTGGAAGGTATTATCTGAGATGCTGATTACCCTTGTTTTCATCTGTTTTACCAAATTGATTTTAATCCCTAGCTTATGGTATGACCTAAAATTGAGAAACCGACCTGAGGCCATAGGTTTCTGGTACCAGTCTGCCAATAAACTGTTGTTGTTGGTGCGAATGAGTCTTGTGTCTAGAAAGGGGACAGACAGGTTCTCATCTTCTTTTTCAATGGTAAATTGGATGTAGGGGTCATAGCTGTTGAATTCTCTGACAATACCATCCAGACCTATGGAAGGGAGGCATAAAATAATGTCATCTACGTATTTTTTTTATGAAGAAGAGGTTATAGGGTAGTGTCGGAATAACAGTATCAAGCAGATCATCCATGACATATTCCGCCAAAATTGGTGACAGAACAGATCCCATAGGACAACCATGTGTTTGAGAATATATTTTGTTGTTGAAAGAGAAATAATTGTTATGAAAAAGGAATGTTATAATGTTGGTGAAAGATTCTAGAGATATGTTGCAGTGTTGACTTATCTCATTCCAGTGTTTATTAATAGTTCTTGTACATGCATCCAGATAGATGTTGCTGAATAGCGACACCACATCAAGACTGGCGATAATATGATCGGCTGGTATTGTCAATTTGTTGAACTGACGAGAGACTTCAAATGAGTCTTTGATGTAGTAATCATTATCTGCATGTGCTGATTTTAGTGTTGTCGATATTAATGAAGACAAAGCCTGGGTGGCTGAACCTATTGATGCAACTATAGGTCTTACTGAGAGTACAGGTTTGTGAATTTTCGGAAATGCATAAAATTTGGGAGGGACAGAGTTATAAGTAGTCAAAGTTCTTTTTTGTTCTTGGGTTATTTGTCCAGTGCTGAGGAGTTCCTTAACAATGTCATTACTTTTCTTTTCCACTTTAAGTGTGGGATCTTTATTAATTTCATGATATGATGGGTCATCATTGATGAGATTGTTGCAAAGATCTAAATAGTGTTGTTTAAGCATTATCACTGTAACATTGCCTTTGTCAGATCTTGTAACCATAAGTTCAGGATGTTGTTTTAGAAATGTTCTAGTTATGTTTAAAAGGTTGTGATAAAAGGAATGTTTTTTATTAAGATTGTTATTATGATAGTAGTTAGTGATGAGGTTAGTGGAACGAGTTGTGAAAATGTTTCTTTCAGTGTCATCACTTATGGAGGATGCTATTGTGTCTACATCCGCTAGGATTGATCTGATTGGAATGTCATTGTTAACAATCGGCTCTACACTGAACTTAGGCCCTAAGGAAAGAAATTTTAATATGTCATGAGGGATGTCAACGTTACTGAGATTTTTTATCCAATTTTGTTGAGTGTTGAGGAAGGTTTTTTTGGTGTCATTCAACAATCTGTCAAACTTACGAGTGTTGGAGTTTTTTATGTTATGAAAGATTTTATTGTAATGTCTGAGTTGTCTATATTTGAAATTATCAAAAATTAAGGGAGAAGTGGAAGAAATTATGTCACTTTGGAGTGAATTGAGTATGGAATGAAGTTTTTTTCAACTGTCTGTGGCAGGAAGATATCTCAAGCGTGAGTATTTTGTCACCTAACCTGTGCAGACGATTTTTCATCCCATCTTCTATTGAATGGCTTTCTAGTAAGTGTGTGATTGATGTTAAACGGTGGGTGATGTGATGTGGTGTAATGGTCTATATATATATATATATATATAGGTGAAAAATTAAAGCTTCCGCTTTTTGTTGGGTATTTCGACAAAATTTAAGCAAAGAGGACTCTTTATACTTTTTTTAATTCTCTCTAGCTTTCAATGGACTTTGCCATCATCATCAGGAGCTGCAATTACTATGATAACAGTAGCAACAAAAGTGTAAAATGAATTTAAATTGAATCAACTTACAGTAGTATGTGAGGATGTTGCTAATTGTTGTTTTCGTATAGGATGAGGGAAACGTCCAGTAATATGGTGAGAGCTGGATACATGGTTCAATGGTTAAAATTATATAAAATATGACAAGACAAGTTAAAGACAGATTAAGAATTATTTAGAAAACATTAGAGTATTACGTCGTGAAGCCACTTGATGATTGCACAAAATGGTGGTCATGGAATAATGAGTGAGATGAACCTTTGACAGAAGGCCGAAGGTCGTCAATGTCTGTGTTAAAAGATGGAACGAATTGTGGGCGTGTGCCAAAACGTTGCCAAATCACTTCAGATGATGTGATTTTCAGAATGTTATGTAAGAAATTGTTAAACCGACCAGAGGCAGTTGAATAAACTATATTTTAATTGATGGGAATTTTAAATTAATAATTATTAATAAATCGTGAGAAGAGAATTATTAGATTTTGAGTGGAATGAAATTTGTTGGTGGAATCGGCCAAAACACAGATTATATTTATGGTTGTGAAAAGTCGAAATTTGGGGAGATATGTAATTTCTCTAATTTTTCGCAATTTAGCAAATATGAGTAAATGACACTCAGTTGTTTAATATCCTTCTTTTTGTTGATACAGTTGTTATTCATGAAAATGTGGGACATTTCCAGGAATAAATATACAATTAATTGTTAATTGGGAAATTGGCAAATTTTTAGGCTTAAGTTGACTCTTTTGACGATAAAATCAAGCTTTCGGCATTCTCTATGGAGCCTTCATCAGGATTCTGAAAACACAATTGTGCTGCTAGTAAAGAAAACAGGACAGATTTAAATTGTCAAACAACCTACTCGTCGTTGAGGTTGCAGCCACAAGGTGTTTCAAAACGAACGTAGAGAAGATAGAACTTGTAATCAGTATAAAAACAAAAGGACGGGGACAGTAAACGCGAGTCATAGAAAACGGCTAGTCGTATACTTTACTTGATCACCCCAATATTGCTGTAAACTGTTCCTGGCTTTGGCCTTATCACATTGCACCTGTTTGTTATCTTGATTGCATACTCTGCTTTGTTAATAGGGTGACTAGATTCAGTTAGGGGTGTATCGCATTTGTTAACATAACATAATACTTGAGATACCCTGCCCATGAATAAAGTGGATATATCTACGTTAATAAATGGGTCCTAAGTCTTGCTTTTAATCAAAAAGCTTGTAATCCCTAGAATAAGAGATATACAAAGGGAGGTAGTAGAATTAAGATAGGAGTAACTATCTCTAGTCTAACCCTTCGAGCATCAAGCATAAAATGCCTGAATTATTTTCTTCACTGAAGGTGCCCAGAGTGCTGTTCCAGACTATAGTGTTGTCTTCAATGGTGGCAGTTAGAGACACTGAGGAAAAAGCTTCACAAGGTTATTAGCCATGTGGTAGCCTTGCAGAGAAAAGCTATAAAAATGTGCATATCATCAACATAGTGCTAACTAGAACAAATGCTGAAGAGTGTTAGCATGCCAAAACAAATAGACCCTTTATCCAAAAGTGTCCATTGTTTCTGACATACTGATTCATTAATATTACAAACTTGATGAGAATGTTTTTACCTCTGGTCCTTCATCTGCAACACAGTGTATTGCAATAGGAATTAGTTCTCTATCTACATCATAAAGTAGATCGTCTTCAGGGAATTTAGCTGGGTTGAATACATGTGTAGGTTGACAAAACTGCTGGTTAGATCCTTTTGGATAATGGAATGTTTCAGAGACCAATGATGGATCTCTAGGTATATACCTAAAAAACATACACTATTGTTTCAAAGACAACAGTATAATTGCATTATAAACTTACATGACACCATTAGCAGTATAATCTTCAGTGCAGAAGTAGTAAATTGTTATAGCACACCTAATATCACAATCAAATGTGAACTCTATATTAAAACAGGAGTTTGTACCTAATTCAACATCTCTATAGTCAGCTTTATCAAGGTTCACTTTTGTGTAATCGCCTGTGGCTCTGACAAACCTCAATGACTCTTTTCTTATATTGACTAGGCTTTTTAATGTTTTTGTTGGCTCATTTGGCTGAGGTGGAGGATATGGAAACTGAAAATATATAACTTACAAGATATTTTACCAAAACGCAAGCTATTAGTATGACATACTGGTGATTCAAATGACTATATTAAACTGTATTTAAAGGCAATTTGTAAAATACACTCAAGTGAAAAGTATTGCAAAATAAAATGCAATAGATTCCTCCTGTAGAAGGGTGTCCTTTATATGATACTGTTAGATATATTTCTTGAACAAAATTGATCTGTTCAAATGACGAGTCTAGATGTTAAATTCCAGAAACTACAAGCGGCTAGGTTGAGCATGTTGGAAAGCATTAAAATATAATGCGAATTTCGATATAGGAATGATGGTGGATTTACTTACAGGTGTAGGCCGACTACCAAGGAAATTGAGGTCAGAATTTTCTCCAAACAGATATGACTCGGGTTGTGGTGTATCAAACCGTTCTCCTCCCATTATGAAATGACTTCCAAAGTAATTCCCTTAAAAATAATCAAGAATAAAGGTAGAAATTTTTAGTAAACCAAACTATGCATACCTGATCTTGGAGGATACTTATATGCATGATTGGACACAATGTCCACTTCCTCAACACCATCATGCTGTCTTGTAGTCAATAGTGCACCCATTTTTACCAAGATTTTTTATGACAAAATTTTCAATATTTTACACTAGAAAATACGAATTACATAGATAAACAAAAGCTCTACAATCAACCCCACTTCTTATTACATTTTGACAAACGGGGAAACAAACATCTGATTCTGACATTTCAACATCTGATGCTGGTTGCCTATTTTCTGGAAGAAGAAAACCCAGAAAACGTGAAGGTGGTAAAAAGTGAGGTTATAAGTTTTAAGAATAAACTACAGTACTAATAAACGTTTCTAAATGAACATTTGTGAGAATAATCATGATTGCAAGAAGTAGGCAGTTGCTCAAGATTATCAGCACCACAGACCATATCAGAAAGCTTCAATCAAATAATGTTCAGGTCTTCAGCGGGAAGTACAATGTGGAATTTTCTTTTTGTAGACAATTTTCCCATTCCGATGAAGGTAGTTTAAAATTTTCCCTAAATACACCAACTCTGTAATTGAAATTTTGCTTTTTAGGTGGTCGTGATGAGAGTGAGGTAGACATAAAAGCAATAACTAATGGAGATCCAGAACTTGAACACAAACTAAAAGTTATTTTATTAGAAGCAGAAGTTATGAGACAAGAAGGAAAATCTGTGCCTGATAATACATACATTTCGGAATCACATTGGAAAGAACTACTTTCTTTACCATCACGAAGTGCTAGGAGAAGAATGTATGAATACTTATTTAAACTATCCAAGAAAAAAGAAAACAGAATTGTAAGTTTTCAGTGATGTTACAAAATGTGTCCATTCTCAAAACATTTATATTTTTTAGGCAAAGAAGTTGGAAAAGAAACAGCAATTTGAAGAATTTAAACAGCAGAGGACAAATGAAGTTAAGGATGTACCTATTGAAGAGTTTGCTCATACATATGACTTAAAACATAATAACATGTTTTTAAGGATCTATGAGAGTACTATAAATAATTTGTATAATAGCAAACTTATACAAGCTATTACTTATGGACAAAAAGTAGTTGTAGACTGTGGATATGATGATAATATGACTAAGAGGGAAAACTTGAATTGTGCTAAGCAGTTGATGTATATGTTTGCTCAAAATAGGGTGCATAAAGGTAATGGTCTCAAAGCTTTGTTTAAAATATTTTTCATGTTTCCATTGTTATCATTCATCTACAATATATTTCGATTAAGCAATCAAAGGTTATTGAGTACAACCTGCCCTGGTTATTGAAACATTGGATGCTGTTATTCATTTCATGTAGATATTTTTTTAAACTATAGAAGTGAAATACAGGGTGGCCCAAGAATATAGAGCAGAATATATTTTTACTGGAAAAAATCTTGCCAAATAACTATCAATAGATTACTATAGTCGAAATCATGAAAGATGACAATTACATCATCATTTTAGTCTGTAGTAAAGACAAACGACAGAGATTTGTGAATGTATTTAATGAAGTTTCTGATATGTTAGACAGTGACAAACAAAATTTTATTGTCTAAACTCTAAACAAACTGTATTGCTAATTTGCATGTATCTGACAAAGATAGATGATGTTTTCATGTTGCATGATCGATCATATTTGAAAGATGGATAGTTAGCATTAAAGCAGGTTATATTGTTATATATATTGTTTTGGAATAATACTTTGGTCTTTGGTGTTCCTGTCTTAAGGTATTCTACTCATAACTGTTTTTTTTCAAAACAAAAACTCCCCACTAAAAGTATTATTAAGGTATCACTCAAAACCATGAAATAAAATGAAAATAAAAATAATCAGTGAAATAACCTGACTTCGCAAAATCATAATATAAATTTGTTGTCATTATGTTTCTGACTCGTGAATTTATCATCGACGTACGTCCATTGATTACTTCAGTACAATTTATGGTATGAGGTAATAGTCATCTTTTGTGATTTTGACTATATGGTGTATTATTATTTAGTATTATAAAGAGTATTTCATCATTCAGGGGTACCGGAGTTTAATTTTTCCAAATAATAGGCACTATAAAAAAAATACTCATAAATTACTATACTGTATTCATTACTATATTTGGATACTTCACACCATATGCCTGTGATGATCAGTTGTTGAGCAATGAGCTGTATTTTCTAAGAAGCATTCAACAATGAAAATGTATCATTTACAAAAGACAAGCTTAGAATATTTTTCTACAGTGTACATGGATCAAATAAGGCAGAGTTTGAAAAAATATGTCTGTTATATTCTGCATAAATCATATTTATTTGAGGTTATGGGAAGTGCCAGGGTGTTCCATCAGAGAGTTGTGCTCCAAATCCAAACAGTTTGTTGTTAAGGTGTACTGCTGAACAAAAGCTTACCAAATGCAAACATGCAGGAATCACAACAGTGTAACACCATGTATAATGTTTAAATAATGTTAAAGTGTGCATCAATATTTATGGTGTATAGTATAATGATTTATTAATGTTCTTTCTTTAAAAAGCTTTTGCACAGTAACAATAATGCTGTATTCCTGAGAAAGGTTTATGATGGAGCTTGACAAAGAAAAGTAAAATCAAAAGCTAGAAACAGATGGCAGTGGTTAGGCTGGGGATCATATCTAAGATTATGAATAGACAAACATGTCACGCCAATATAGTGTTTTTCAGGAGTAACCATTATGGTAGAATGACAGCTGATTACCTAGTAATATTTCAAAATTCATCATATCGGCAAAGGACACATAATTCTGACGTATCCGTCAATACCAGGTGGACAGTCATATTTTGTTTCGGTTGTTTGTACGCTACTGATTCATTTTGAACTTGCTAAAAGCTCTATTATTTAGAAAAGATCAACTGCATCTAAAAAACAAAATGCTACAAACTAGTTTTACTAGATTTACACCCGATTCATTACTGCCGTTGCAGGCTAACAAAGCGTGACGGATACTCGTGACATAGGGTATAGACATCAAAACGTGCAAAGTAGGTTACCTTTGTATAGTCTCAGTCCGTTTTCCACCACCTGTCTATCATGAATTAAATTAAATCAAGGTATTGTGCGTACGTATGTCATAGTTAACACCAGTGGGCTTTAAAGGGTGATGTCTGTTCCAAAAAATTCCTCCACAGAATAAAAGGCATGCTGTTCAAAATACAGGGCGTTCATTTGAAAACTTCCCACCACGGATTTATCGAAAACCACTGATTAAAAGAAAAACCGCCGAGACACTTCAAAAGATTTGTCAAGGGCGACAATTTTTTAACCAAAAACTACTCTGCTCCCCAGAGTCATCTCCTTAAACATTTTAAATGACAAGAGGTATCGAGCAATAGCTTGTTTGAAAGGTCTTTCGATGTTTAAATTACTGACGGACATTTTCATACCATGTTGTGGGATATCATGGCAGCTTTTGATGATGCGTTGACGAAGTTCATCCTAACTTTTAGGTTGGGGAGTAAACACAATAGATTTCAAATGGCCCCATAGAAGGCCTATAGGCCCTCTTCGCCCTATCCATTTATCTGGAAACTCGTCGTCTAGTCATTGCCGAACTGGAAGAACATAGGGAGTTGGAAATATTATTTCAGCCTTATGTTCGATTTGGTTTTCAATGGTTTCAGTGATAAGTGGATTGATGGTTTTTTCCAACATATCCAAATAACTGTCTCCATTCAAATTTCCATTAATAAACAATGGCCCAATCACTTTGTTTCCTAAAATGCCTGCCCATACATTAATTTTTTGGTGGTACTGGGTATGCCCTTCTACAAAAGTATGAGGATTTTAATTGCTCCAAAACCTGCAGTTATGCTTCTTGACATCCATTTAGATTAAATGTGCATTCATCACTGAAGCAGATATTCTTTACATGTAGTAATTTGTTGACAAAACTCAACTCACCTATCGAAATCGTCTTCTGTTAACTCTTGCAATATTTTCATTTTGAATTGATGAAATTTATGGAGTTTGGTAACTGTGTGTACAGGGCCTAATAAAATACCAGTCGCAGCAACAATTTTACGTAATGAAGTATTAGGATTTATTCCAAAAGGACCCAAAACTTCAAATTGAGCGGCTTCATCCAAAACTCTCCGATAATCACGTTTTTTATTTGCAACAGATCCAGTTTGAGTAAATTTAGTAACAAGGTCCAAAACACCTATGCGAAGTTATCTTCCCCGGATGTCTGGCATTAAACGTGACGGCAGTTTGCCGAGCACATTGATTTGGGCACCATAAATTAGAATCATTTCCACTCTTTCAGCTAGTATGTAGACCATTTTGGAAGTAAAATCTGAATCAATAAATTAATTTTCACTATCCCAAGATTCTCAAAAGGTAACTGACAGCAAATTAAATTCCTTCTTTCCTTTAGCAACAAATAACTAAACGGGTATAACAATAATTTATCTGCGGGAAAAAGTCGCGTCGTTTGTTATTTGGTTGTTGCCACGTCTAATCTTCCGAATTGCTGTTTATGTTGGTAGTTTCCGTTTTAAATTATAAACAGATTGTAGATTTGGCAAACCTTAACGGGCAACATTTTGAACACATTGAAATAAAAAGTGATATTTTCGTGTGTTTTTGTTTTCTACTTGAACAAACTAAGATAAATAAGGATTTTCCTAATCATCTCGAAAACAAATCGACTGATTTAAAAAAATCAAACGTCAAAATAAAGGACTTCGAAAGACCTTTCAAACAAGCTATTACTCGATACCCCTTGTCATTTAAAATTTTTAAGGGAATGACCCTGGGGAGCAGAGTGAAGTAGTTTTTGGTTAAAAAGTTGTCGCCCTTGACAAATCTTTTGTCTCGGCGTTTTTTCTTTTAATCAGTGGTTTTCGATAAATCCGTGGTGGGAAGTTTTCGAAGGAAGACCATGTATATCTTAGTGTTCTCTTAAAATCTACCTAATTCAAAATTTTAACACTGTTGGGAAGTTTATTATAGATATTGAGATGTGAGCTGTTTTTTGTGAGATTGTTAGACCAAGTCTGGGAAGCCTCAGCATGTGTGGTGTTGTGATTATGAATATCAGCACCAGAAGTGCATTTACTACTATTACAGTATGTATACAACAAATATAAGTTTGGAAGTGTCATAATCTTTATGGCTTTGGAAAATCGGTCAATAGTATACCCTATAACCAGCTCCAGTAATTATTCTGTGTGCTTGCTTGTTAGGCAAAATACATGAAGAGCCGAACTGGTGCCGCCGCCCCACAGGGTAAATCCATTAGAGACTTTTTTCAACTGTCTCAATACAAACAATGTCCAGTTCAATGCGCTGTCTATATATATCACCCTAGTAGCTTTTTGCTGCTGTCCGATCTTACATCTATTCTGTTGCTAGAAATGGTTAATGTGTGTTTTAGTATCATTTAGTTTTAAATTATTTGTATTGTAACAGTTTTTGCTATGCAGAACAACTGTAACCTAAGACAGTTATGGAAATTTGGTTTTATAGTAAAACTTATAGGAGCATCTCTGCTAAAATATTTCCAGAATGGTGGTACTTCCAATTATAACGGAGGTTGTTACCAACTGGCTTATTCTAAACAGAAAATCATGTATATTATTCACTTTTTGGATTGTACATGAGATTCCAACTACATTCCATGTATAAAATCCCACCATGTCTGTCAAACCTTTTTTAGATATCCCAAATTTTGCGTAACAATGATAAATGCAGGTCAATGAATATGACAATTGTTTCTAATACTTTTGCCTTTACCATAAAGGACGGGTTTTTTACAGTAGACTGTATACCTTTAGTGTATTCGATTCCGGATTTGGATAACAAATAGTACAGGGTGGCCAAAACAGGGATGAGAATTAGATTTTAAAAAACCCAAAAAAATATTTCCTGTTTACTAATAGAAAACATTTTTTATAGAACTTAACCGTACCAAGCAATGAAAATGAGGATAATTGTGTATTGAGAAATCATTTTTTGCACGAAGCTTTTTCATAGAAGTAACCTTGTACCCGTTATAACTTCATTAAAACCCATGTGCTACATTTTGTGTTTTAGAGACATATTTTCTGTGATGTACAAATACATGTCATATATAATCCAAAAACATGACTACCTTAGTTTTGAAAATTTTTGCGATTACAATACTTGTCAGTTGGTGTGGGAAGTAACAACTAAGTATATAAGAGTGACCAGTGGAAGTATCCATCCAATATTTCTTGCAAGAGAATTACCACCCTACTTATTTCGGATTTGATACATTTAGCTGATATACTTTTCAACTTCCAGAACCATTTGATCTGCATTTCTGTAATGTAAATCGTGAAAGTGTTCTCATACAGCAACTGTACAAGTACATACCAACTATGTATGAAAAATGGTTCCCTTTGAATATCCATGAATGTAGTTATTTGGATTTGTATTCTAAGGATCAGCTGGTATATCTAACCCCACACTGTAGAGAAGAAATGCATGAATTTGATCCAGATGCTATTTATATCATTGGTGCCATAGTGGATAAGGTAAAATCATAATCTACGTAGTATCACTTCATTATTGAATTAAGGTACCCATACATATGCCCACACGTTAGCTCCACACCATATGCTGTTCGCATAAACCAGATTAGTTTATGGCATTTGATGACCAATGAGGCAGATATAAAAGTCGCTTTTTGGTCATAGAGCGTACTGTTAGTTCCGAGCTCTTTCTCCACCTTAGGAAGTGTTCATTCTGAATCCATTCTTCCATTATTGCCTTAGTACTGTTTGTAGCTAATTCGCCAGCAGTCTCAGGGCCCAAGAAATTTTCACGGTACTTGGCTTTTCCAGAACAATTTGTTCTCATTACCATAAACATCCCCATGTGCCTTCCTACAAGGGTGTACAACGAGTCTCAACGTTAATACTTATTTATCACTTTCTAAACACTAGTCTATCCTATACTGTGGTCTTATTCTAACTTTGAGTTTCGACCCTTGTAATTCAATGTGATGCCGAGTTGCCGTCATACGACATATGCTCAGCTATGATCATTTCGACACTCGTATAATTTCTACAGGAAAAACCAAATTTGTCTGGCGGGTTGAGTTCAATTTACGAGAAAGAAGCGCGAGAAGTGTGTATAAACACATGTTAGAAAGAGATAGAAGCCGGCTGAAGATCTTTTACTATTTTACTAACCTAAATTGGAGCACGTCCTGTTGAGGATCCTTTTATTTTTACAGGCCAATTACTAACTATTTTATACTTTTTTTATTATTTAATTAATCCTATTATAAACAAAATTTGAGATAAAATAATTTTTCTTAATTAGTCTATGAACTTGTATAAGTATATACTTTGAAAGTATAAAAAAGAAATAAAATTTTCTATTGACTTATTCCCCATAAACTTTTTCACTAACTTTTTAATAAAAAATAAGGACGCTAAAAATTAAAAAAAATAACACCTAGCAATGGTGACGCAGAAGGTCGTGCGTTTCTAATTCGTTACACCAGAAGATGTTCGCATAGGCTACTACAATCGGTTAGGTTACTGTCAAACCCAATAAAAACAACACATCTTGAGTTGTTACATTTTGTGACAGCGCTGCGGTCGGAAAATGTAACAAATAACGTTACGCAATACAAATTATCATGGAGACGGAAACCTTGCCTTGGAATATGCAAGATGCGCTGTTATCAAACGATCCAATTATGCAATGTTACAGAATTTGTGGCGATCCTGACCTTTCATTTCGACCTAAAAAGGAGTGCCGTTAGGACCCATCGGGAATCAATCCTAGAAAGATTCGACACAATTCAAATATGTGTACGCTCAAAATAAAACCATTATTTGGGCATAAATAGTAAACCTCGCATATTTTCAATATGCATCTTAATTCAAGGAACTGGTGTAACATATTGGCAATGCGGCAGGCTGCCATGTCAACATTGCTAGGCAACGCAGTGTATACACACTTCTCTCTCGTACACATTGAACTTGAGCAGTCAGACAAGTTTGGTTCTCAGTGTATATAGAAATCATTTAGAATGAGGTGTTAAAATTATGGCGAATTATTTGTATGGCGGCAAGGCGACGTCGAGATTGTTATCAATGATTGAAATTCAGTTAGAACGAGATACATAGATTATTAAACTAAATATGATGCTTTCTTCCGTCCATCCAGACGGCCAATCATGGACAGCTATTTCGTGCTTCTTGGCTACTCATCAGCATGGTCTAGGCTTGGTCTTTCATACCGACGATAGTGCAAAGCGCCATCTGTCACACCACAATCGACCACTGCGGAGAGCGCATATCTGCTATTAGTTGGAACTGCTTAAGATCTCAGTTCACGTTTAATAGCCTAGCCACCACATGACCTCTAGATGGCTGACGATTCTGGATGTAAAATACCTGATATTGAGCAAACTACACTTGATGCTTTCGTCCGTCCGATCAAAAGACGGCCAATCATATATTAATGCCGCATGGACATCTGTCTAAAGTACAGTGGCATATTCCCCAAGAGGGAATGAGTCTTGTTTTGGTCCCAAAAACATCGGAAACAGAACTCTCTTTAGTTCAGAAGTAACCTGTAAGATTCATTTGACCTTCTTAGTGATCTACTGGCCCCTCCACTTCCACTCTGTCTCTAACAATGTATTATTCTGTATTTCAGATAAATAACGAGCCATTATCTTTAGCGAAAGCCAAAAGGGAAGGTCTAAAAATGGCAAAATTGCCACTGGATAAATACTTACAGTGGGGAGGAGGATCGGGGAAGAGCCTCACCCTAAATCAAATGGTTTCCATACTCCTTGACATCAATCTCACTGGGGATTGGAATCATGCATTACAACACGTACCAAGGAGAAAAATAGTTGATTACAGTATTGCACAAAATATTAGGAAGACATCTGATAAGTTGAAATATGACAGACCAAGGACGAAGTGGATACCATCATCAAACGTTTCATTCAATAATTTATCTTACCAAAGAAAAAGCATTACTAAAACAATTGAAGGTGAAGAAAAGGACAGGATTAACATCAAACAATTTCTAAAAGATTCTGGTTAATTGTTGTACTATTTTTATTAGATTTTTTTGTTTACATTAAATAAAATAATAACTTAGTTCCTTCTTCTTCTAACCCTAGATATCCTCCATGCATTCGGTTCTTCATATTTGTTATATAGAGGTTCAAGCCGTTGATTTTTCTTGAATTTGCTGAGTTTGGTCGGATCAGAGAACTTGAAAAATGCTGGTGCAAATTCCACTAACCATTTGGGATCTATTGTAGTCACTTCCCTCATATATTCCTTGGTTGTTTGAACCAATTCATGATAGATCACCCTAAAACGAAATACAAAAATATAATTTCTGACAGTCAATTTGAGTAATATAAAATGATTTCTGTGCTTATAGAATAACAGTAATTTTTAAATATGGATTAGGAAACACGAAAATTTGAAAAGACACACGTTTCAGAAGAGACGTTCGTCGATTTTATGTAAAAAACAGTAGCTTACCATTCTGGTTGTCTATTGAACAAAGCACTAGAAGGATGTATATATACAACTTGACTATCGACTAAGGTTCGATAACCCTCTTGAGGATCCTTCTTTGCTGCATTTCTGAAGAAACCTGAGCAAATTGCTTTTTGCACTTTTACTGTGTTTCGTTCAGCTGACACAACATCCAATTTATGCCTACAAAGAGACACAATTAATAAAACGCAGACACACATGGAATATATTTCCATTTAATTTATAAAGTATGTTCGGTATTATTACAATATAGCTCCCTTAAAATAGACAATCTGTAATAGTTATAGTTTTTTCTGTGACTTCACAATCCAACGAAAAAGCTGTTTTATCTGAAAGCTTTAAAAAATGTACTTAATTACGTCATAATATTGCCATTATACTCGTACACCATTTAAAGATTCCCTCAACGTTTTGCGAATATTTCATGAATAAAATAACTACTTGCCTGTCCATAATCCCAAGTAGCTGTTTCCTGACATCTTGCGCTCTCTTCAAAGTCCTAATTTGAACAAAATTTTCATAACACCATGCGTTGCTGAATTTGTTATTCTTCCAACTATTATACACAGCCAAAAGCGTCAAATGATCGCCCTCTGGTTGATTGAACTTTGCCTTTTTCTGATCAGCTAAAGCTTGTTTGTCTTTCGGCCTATAAAATACATTTTGTACTGACAGCATGCTGACAATCGTCAGGATTTCGTCTGAGCATTGGAGAGCAACTGACATTATCAGCATTTTTGACAAGTTGGGCTCCAAAGGAAACTCGGCCATCTAGAAAACAAAAAAACGTTAAGTGTGATGTCCAAAAATTAACACTTGCACGAAATTTTGATGTTTGATTATTTAGGAGTTGTGAAAATCATCAATAATAAGTCCGTCACAGGTTGACATGTGTTTAAAGGATGATAAAGGGGTAACAAATTTTGTTTCACACAGTTGGGACTTTGGATTTTACAATACTTCACGAGTAATCAAAATGAAACAAATCGGAAATTATATATCTATGTGTAAATTACACGGCCACTCAATTGCATTTGATGTGTGTGTATTGCACAAAATCCGCAAGGTTACCATTATAGGCACGTCTAGAACACTCTGCCATGATTTGGCGTACGTCTGCCGTAGATGCCCACAATCACACAGGTTTGCAGGGAATCTGCACATAGGACTCAATTTTATGGCCGAATCAAACCACATGTATGTTTATATTTGTTTATTGTACGACGTTTCGACCACCACTGTAGCCTTTTTCAAGTACAATTGACAATTCAGTGACAATTTATCTGTCACCTGGAGACAGGTATAATGGAAACGGGTTCTAACTCTGATACACATAAGTAAAACAGTTTTTCGCTAAACTAATGAAAATAAGTATGTTAAGGCATATATATTTTGAATCAAAACAAAGGGACTATCATTTTCTCTAAAAAAAAAATAGGGTGGTCCATTCAAAAAATACAACTTTATCTATAGCACTTTTCTGAAACACAAAAAAAACTATTGAATGAAAAAATTCGTATGGGCCCTATAACTTTTATAAAAAAAATTCTGGTAGGTCATATAAAAAAGTTAAAGGGGTCAATACATGTGCTTTTATTGGTCGTTTTTCTCTGGATTTTGGTAGCACTGTAAGTTACTCATACGCAATTACGTTTCATATCCCTTCTTTCTCAAAATTTGAACGGTTGGTTTTCCGCGCCAAATCTGTCGTTCAATCAACAACCACCCTGTTGCTTTTATAAAAATTTCTCCACCTAATAGTATGTAAATAACATATGGTAAGTTAATTAATGGTTTTCCTTATTTTTTTTTTGTTGGACTGCTCGTCCTTTTTTTATATACTCCAACCACCACGAAGGCTTAAGGCCTAAACACCCCGTGGGGCTATAGGGGAAAGGGGGAACGCCACACGGACTCTGGCGAGGGAACACGTGTGCATGCAACATGCACACATTCTGGGCCCGCCTCCGAGATCCGCCGGGTGGTACCTCTCCGTTCGACAGTCAGAGACCAAGTACCACCTACGAACAATCACAACATCCATAGCCAAGAGAAAAAATTCTCTTGGGACGGGATGCGAACCCGCACAGCGCACGGCGGCTGATCCGGAGACCGAAGAGTCTACTACTGCGGCCACCGCTACTGCCTTTTCGTTGAGAATGCAACGGTTTTAATTGATATAATTATATACAGTAAATAGAGAATCAGCTATGACAAATTCCCGTAGACGCTATGATGTCTCATTCTATCTGGGATAATCTTTTGGACGCGGAAATATGACATTAGGTTGGCTAACTTGATGTAGAATATGTTAATCAATGTTGAAAACAAATTTGACCATGTAGGTTTCATGTGACCCACTTTAGGGGTGAAGGGGAGAGGATCAAAAAGTGTTATTCTCCCGGCAGCGTATAAGATGAGAAAAATCGCCCAGTGAGGCCGTAAACATAACGTGGTATTTTCCAGCAGCCGAGCTATAGACATCAGTGTGAGCTGCTCAGTAGACAAATTACTAGCAAATCTTCTTACCCTTCTGCCCAACCTAGTGAGTAACCCTTCGTCGTCGAGCGCACTCAACGAATGCAACTGTTCCAGAGCCATGATCAGCGACTCCACCGGAGGTGCGTCCATGAAATCGAAATGGAGGAGGTCATTAATGCCCATAGTTTTAAGCTGCAGCACGGTCGTCGCGAGGTTGGTACGCTGGATCTCGGGCACTGGTGTCGGCAGCATTTCATCACGGTATGCTCGTTCGGTATACAAACGGTAGCACTTTCCAGGACCGGTACGACCGGCTCTGCCCGCTCGTTGTTTCGCTTGAGCCTGAAATAAGAAATACTTAGGAGACATTTGTTCAAAAAACAACTTTGAAAGCAAATATACTCAGGGACATTAGAAGTGTTACATCCAGTAAAAATAATTTCTTAAACTTGTTTTTTCGCAACATAATGATTATATTTAAAGCATGCTGTGGCAACAATGTCAACGTTTTATCTTTGTTTTTGTTTACCTTTGTAAAAATGTTATCTGTTAGTTTTAGTGAAGAAAGTAGTTTCTAAGAGCTAAGTAGTACATATATTTTTAGTTATTGCCCTTTCATTTACTAGTGTGAAGCATAACAAAATGCCTCGAGTTCGAAAACTTCCAAATTATCACCATGGTTAGCGACTTTGACAGTGGTAGAATTATTGCCTATCGAGATATTAGTTTGTCCTATCGCAAAATTGGCTGCCGTGTGTTAATTGTACTGCAATGACGGTAGTTCGTGTAAAGATAGAAGAAGGTAGAGGAACACGAAGAAGGCCAACTGGTCCACAGAGCGCTTCAGACAACTAGCCGTACGAGATCGTTTTGGTACTACGCGTCAGATCGCTGACCAATGGTTTGAAGAAGTAGGTAGATATGTTACTATGCGTACACTATCGCCGCATTCGAGCCTTTGGACTTTATCATCTTCAGCGACGAATCACGATTCTGTCTAGGTACGCACGGTGGTCGAAGAAGCGTAAGACGACGCCGTGGAGAACGGCGTGATATTGGATTTGTTATTGAGAGCCATGTACACAGGACTTGCAGTAATGGTTTGGGGTATTGCCTATGGTACAAACCATTCTACTAGCTCGTCCAGCTAGCCCATATTGCTCGTCGTACTACAGACTTTCTTCAAGAAGCATTCGTTAATGTTTTGCCGTGGCCACCCCGTTCACCGGATTTAAATCTCATTGAGCATGTGTGATATGATGGGGAGGAGACTATCAACTTAGCACCATCCACCACAGACTCTGCCACAGCTAATCCACGAAGTTCGAGTTGCTTGGAATGAGATGCCACAACCAGACATCAATCAGCTCATTTTGTCGATATCGAACTAATTTTTTTCACTACTAACCTGGGAAATCTCCATCATTTACCTCACTCCTATAAGGAGAAGTTACTTTTCTCCCATTAAGCAAATACTGACAAGGAAAAAACCTATGTAAACAATTAATGAGTGCATTCATGGAGAACTTATTAAGCTTGTTGGCCACATAATGGACAGCTTGTTCATTTGAAACCCATCTTTGGTCAGGTTAGCCGTGGAAACAATTCTAATCACTTAATTGACGTTTTGCAATGTTAGTTGTGTCTGTAAACGTCACACTGATTAGTTCCTGTCATTTGTATTTGACTGCGACGGTGACCTAAAAATGGCGTTTGTTGTTAACAATCCGTCCAAATATGATCAGCGTGCGGTCATTGCAAATTCATACGTAAATGCAAGCGTAACTGTCAATGAATGGTGTCGAAAATTTAAGAGTGGAACAGATAAGACGACTGATACGCCGCGTCCAGGTGCATTGAGTACTGCATCAACAGACAGGAATGTGGCATGTGTGGAAGGCATGCTTAGAGAAAATCGTCGAATTTCAATCAGAGCAATTTCAGAAAATAAGGCGTGAGTATAGGATCTGTCCATAGAACCGTACACAAATTGGGTTACAGCAAAGGTTGTGCGCAATGGGTTCCTCGCCTTTTGTCAGAGGACCAAACTGTCATCGATGCAATGGAAAGAAGTTTAAAGTTCAACCTTCTGCAGGCATGTTAACATTTTTTTTTCGACCATGTCGGATCCTTATTCATAGAGTTTAAATCTAGAGTCCATATCAACGCAAACCTGTATAATGAAAATTTGAACAATCTCGATCAAGCAATAAGATGAAAACGTCCAGCGAAGCTCTCGCGTGGTGTCATTCTTCTGCACGACAACGCCCATTCTGCTGCAAGACACTGCTCAGCCTCATGTTGCCATGGTAGTGAAAGAATATCCACAACGAGAGAAATGAGGGATATTATAGCATCCACCCTTTAGTCCAGTCGTGCGTGAACGCTCGTTATAGGCAGACCTCTTTTTGTGTAAACTAAAAAAAGTGGTCCCCAATCTACGTGTTGTGTCTATCTCATGAAGATTAGAGTTATTTTCTATTATATTTCTGTTAGAATATACAAAGTCATATTGGTGAGTCTTTACAGGATATGGGTGAAACGACGGGCGGCTCTGGAGAGCCGCCCCCTCCGGTAAGTGATATGGTTACCAATAAAGAGGGCAAAATTAATATTTCTAGATTCGATTTCAAGAATACTTATACAACCACAGATACAGGCCCATTTTTCGTATATATCGAACATAAAACAAAAAACATTGGAAGACTGTTCCCCTTAAGGGTTGGGCACTACCTCCAAGTGCCAGAATCCAGGAGAGACATTACAGATATAAAAGCAATAGAGAAGACAAAGGTCAAAGTGATATTCAAAACATTTTCAATCGCAAACTCGCTTATCAACCATCAATGTATAACCAATAATTACCTAGGAGAATACATTCCAATCTTTTTCAACCACAAAAAATGTGTGGTAAAAATGGTTGACACGTACTTCACGGAAGAATTTTTGAAGGAAAATATTGTGTCTAATCTTAAAATTACCGAAGTGAAACGTATGCAAAGGAAAATAACTAATTCAGATGGTACTGTAAAATACGTAGATAGGCAGATGATAATTGTCACCTTTCTGGGGAACAATCTCCCACAAAACATTCGAATCAACATGTGTGTTTTTGAAGTGGAACCTTCCCACTTCAGTTAGCCCAACTATTGAAATCTTAGTTTTTTTCTTTATCAAACACAAATAATAAAAATGTAGCAGGGTGTTATAGGTTTAAAATATTAACAATGAATATTTTGATAATAAATAATATATAGTAGAAAACACCAACTGTATCACTCCCTAATCAAATAAAAATAACACATGTTGCAATTACAGCAAATCAAACCTGACGGAGGCGCTAGATGACTCTAATTTATTTGTAATAAACGACGGAAGTCCCACTAGGGTCGGTTCTCCAATGTTTGCTCCATTAGCCGTGGATTTAACCATAAGTTTCCATGGATCTAGTACATAAAGTCAGTTGGACAGTGGAACGTGACTCAATGGGTTCGGATCACTTTCCCATCCTTATAGATGTTCAAACCAAGAAAGGTGTCTTTCTATCAGTCCAACTACTAGATGGAATGATGAACACTGACAAATTCATGGCACTTTTTCATGCTGTCAATACGGGAGCAGATACAGCTATGCCCATAAAAAAACCATTCCAACCAAAAACTATGAAACCCATTTGGTGGGATGATGAATCCTGTCGAGCCGTTGACTCGCGCCAACAAGCGCTTAGTGAAAATAAATTAATATCAAATTTTGACAACTATTTAAAATACAAGAACATAGAAGCAAAATCTAAATTACTAATCAACAAAAAGAAACGCAATAGTTGGAAAATGTTTATTAATACCCTCAATAAGAGCACCCCGGTGTCTGAAATTTGGAAACACATAAAAGCAATAAGAAACTCTTCAATAGAATTCAAAAAAACTGTTCTTACGAATGAAACAATTGACAAACTGCTCGATTTCTTTGCTCCGGCATCAACATCTTCAAGTGTTTTTTATTGAACCAGACCTACATTTGCCAATAAAAATAGTAGTTTTAAGCAACCTTTTTCTATGGAAGAGCTGGAAAATGCACTTAAAAATACAAATAGCTCTGCTCTTGGATTGGACAGTTTTACTTATAATATAATTAATGCTTGGCCACAATCGGCGAAAATTCTTCTTTTAGAAATATATAACAATAAAGAAGGATTTTGTGAGAACATGAGAGAGATAGTCATATGTCTCATCCTAAAATCCAATAAAAATCCGGATATGATTGATTCATACAGGAAAATCTCTCTTATGTCTTGTCTCACAAAAACATTTGAAAGGATGATTAAGACTCGCCTAGAATGGTTCCTCGAATACTATTCATTGCTACCTAGAACACAATATGGCTTCAGAAAAGGCCACAATACCATGGAGGCCTTAGTTCACCTCACATCCGAAATCTGTCAGCGTCTCCCAGAAAAAATACACCTCCTGTCTATTCCTGGATATAAAAGGTGCCTACAATGACGTCAAATTAGATATCCTAATTCTGCATCAAATACACATTTAAAGACTTTAGATAGGATCCAATTCAAGGCATTGCGTATCAGTGTCGGGGTAATAAGGTCATCTCCATGTCCCGCCCTACTTGCCGAATGTAATGAACCTCCTTTGAATGTCAGACGTATATACTTGGCGCATAAGTTATTAATTAAATACAGATCATCTAATACACTCCTTACTGGAAAAATATCAGTGCCCAGTGTTAATGACCTTTGTCATCCATGCTGGCGACAGAAAAAATCTCCATTATTTGTAACAGCCTTCACTGATACCAGCAAATTCCAACAATATTTCATTTATTCAAGAAAGCTTCAAATTTTTAAACATCCTCTTGAAGTCATTACTTCTAAATTCGAAGTAACCTTCCCAAACTATACGGAACACACCTCTCTAAATAACTTCATACTATCTAGTGTACTAAGAAGCAATGAACCTGCTATTCATATATATACAGACGGATCTAAAAGTTCAAATGGCATTGGCTATGCATACTTTATCTTTAGTCCATTTCATAATATCAGTCGCCGGTTTTGTATCCCGGAAATCTGTTCAATCTTTACAGCGGAATCTATAGCTATAGATTCTACACTGGACTGGATGAAGACTAATATAAAAGAGCTTACCAGTGTAGCCATAATTTCAGATTCTCAGTCGGTGCTTAAGAGCTTAGAAGGGTCAGCTATTAAATGTTTCAATAGTGAAATCATAATGGAAATAAGGGCTACCTTGTGCGAGTTGGCAAAGAAAGGCATAAAAGTTAATTTTGTCTGTTCGAAAGCACACTCAGGAATACGCGGTAATGAGATAGCTGACCAGGGGGCGGAAGAAGCTTGTTTTGTAGAAACCACTGAGTACAAAAAATATGTTTCAATAAATGATATAAATAATAATTTCAAAAATAATATGCTAGCCTCATGGAAACAGCGATGGAGCATATATTGTAGTAATTCTAGAAACCCGTATGCAATAATCAATCCTTTTTTATCAGTCATGTCATCACACGTTTTCGATTATCAAGTTGGATTCGGAGACCACATTTACAGAATGGGAATCATTGATAATAGCTGGTGCGACTGTGACAACATCAAAGTAGCAGATTTAAACCATATTTTCTTTGAATGCACAGGAAATGAGAATCATGTTTCTGATTCAATACAGAGATTAATTTTGGAGGATCAGATATCACTTCCAATCCAATTGTCATCATTGCTAAGTTTAAACAGAAAGTCCATCCTGGACAAAATAGTTGAGTTCGCAAAATTAGCTAAGGTAGTGATATAAAGCACCACGTAATACAAATTTAGAAAATCTGTGGCTAATGGTATTTTGTTCAAAGCCAACCTCCCCCCCCCCCCCTACATAGTTACACCCTTTAGTCCCGATTTATCGCCTTGCGACACATGTTTGGGCCTCTGAAAAAAGGCATTAAAAGGTAAGCATTTTCAGTCGGACGAAGAAGTACTAAATGCTGTAAAAGAATTCTTCAAGCAGCAGCCACAAGAATTCTTTAATCAGGGTATACATCGCTTGATGAAACAATGGTATATGTGCCTTCATTCTAATTATTTGTAGAAATATTTGCCAATAATTTTTTTTTCTGGACCAAATATGGGTTTCAATTGAACAAGTCTCGTATTAAGCAGGTTATCCACTTTTGAATAGCACCAATATTATTTTAACTACCAGTGAATGCCAAGTCTATTTTTCGTTTGATACCCATACCATATCATAGGAGTTACTATGCAAATAATGAATCGCCGAGTAATATGTATAACTCCACACACCTGGACAATTTTAGTTCTATAAATTCTGGAATTTACAGTACAAGAAACAGAGAAGAGTCTGAGGTTCCGTCACATAGGTTGTCGAGAACGGAGGAGATACCCAAATACCCTATTATTTTAATTCATTTTCATGTTAATACGCCTACTGTTTTCACGATGCAAAATGAGAAAACTTCCAAATTGTTGAGCCAATGACCGATTTCCGTTCACTCGTATTAGGGTATACTTTGTGCAAAACCGATTCATCCCAAAAGAAATGCTATATAACTAAATTGTATGCAATCATGTCTAGTTTAATTTAGCACATAGCTATTGACATCGTAAAATTAATAAAAAAAAATTGTCAAAAGAAAAATGAGTTTTCCCGAATGGCGAATCCAGTGAGAAATATACGAAATACCACAATAAAAGTTCGGATGAACTTCCAAAATCAGCTCAGGTTTTTCGAGCACCTGGACTCCCAACTGATGCTTGATTAATCGTTGTTTCCAAGATTGAGCAGATTAAAATTTTATATTACATGCATACATGGGCATTTGTAAGTGTCACTTTTATACATCTCAAGATTTTTTTCCAAAATTCGCTAGGTTTTCGTTAATTGATTATTTGTCATCCAAGAGAGTGACGTCATATAATCATTGTTTACCTGTGATATAGGTGTGACAACTAGAGAATCCATGCCTGTTTTTGAATTGTACACCTTTTGTTTCACAAATCCAGGGTCCACAACATAGTAAATACCATCGATGGTCAATGAAGTTTCTGCAATATTCGTAGCAATAACTACTTTCCTGCTGCCAGGCGGTGCAGGTTCAAAAATCCTCGTCTGCATCTCAGATGGCAATGCAGAGTACACTGGGAGAATTATGAGCTCAGGAACATCAGGACCTATAAAAATATGTCGAAATCAATCAAATCAATGAAAACTAGAGAAAGAAATTCGGGAACTAGTACTTGTCAGTCTGTCTCAAATGAGAAACCATCACATTATAATTTGCTGAAGTGATTAAGTTGGTCATGAGTTGGAAGTTACATTGATTCCTTGAAGCTATATTATCGATCACAGTAAGCGAGTACAATGTTTAAAAGGTACAAGCGCCGCTTATCTATTTTGCTAAATATACTTATAAGTTGAGAGTTCCACTTATAGGATAGACACAACTACACACAGTCTTCGTGTACATACCTAAGGTTTTCATTCGCTCGTACAAGATCTCACAAGCTGTATCGATTTCTTCTTGACCGGTTAAGAATAACAGTATATCACCTGGCGGTTCACGCAGGTGTATTTGCATCACAGTTATCAAGCTGGCATCCAAATAATCAGTTTCTGGCTCCTTGGTATAAAGAACCTCCACAGGAAATGTTCTTCCAGGTATTGTAAAAATTGGGGCCTAAAAATTACTGATTATCAGACATATCTTAAAACTATATGCATCTTTGATATTCGAGGATTGAAGAGATTTGTAAAAGATATCGTGTTTCATAATTACAAAAGCAATGTATCAAATAATGTGCATCACCAGAGGCTTTAACTGCACAAAACGACTTTCCTAGCATCCTTAAAATATTAGAATAAAATAAAGAAAATAATTGCTACACTTTTAATGCTTGTTTGTGTACCTTCTTCCAAAAGACCCCACATAAAAAGGTTTCTGGGGAATGGATTTCGGCTTATTTTTTCAAAAATGCAGTATGTCATAGATGTCAACATGGAGAACAGAAGTGCCCAAGGGCCCAAACTTTTCCCACAATTTCCGAAATGTAACGCCTCTGAGTTGGGCAGTATAAGCCATATTGTGAGTTGGTACACAAAATGTAATAATAGGTAATAGCTGTTTGATCCTTATTTACGTCAATACACCAGTGAGTCGCAGTGGAAGATCGTGATTGACCTGTTCACAAAAGAATTATATATTTGCTTTTTCATCATCTGATCCCTACTGATCAGTTCTGCAACATTGTAATTATGTCCAAGTACAGGGTGGCCAAAACTTGCATGAATGGAGTATTGCTCAAAGACACACTTTTTCAAAAACTGTTTAGTATTATCCTTCTCATTGTTTGTGGGAATACATTTGAAAGGGTACCCAGGGATTTCGACTACTGACCTAGATCACAATTGTAGCTTTTTTCTATTACATATTACCTACCAACTTAAGTTAGAGATAGAATTAATATAAAAATTTCCAGGAGACGTCTTAAAGATTTTTTGGTTTCTCACCCGTATTATACCATTGACATTTTTTTCAAAACAAATTACGAACTTATTTCTAACAATCGGCTCGTTTCACTATGTCTGTTTCTTTTGTGCATCTTGTACAGTCAGATGGAAAATACAGTTGAATCTTGAACATAAAAAAGAATGGCAATCAATGTATCGACATCTACTATACAATAGGCAGAGTACTGAATTAAGAGTCAGAGATTATCCTATAGTCTTCAGTTGCTACCTATCTTATTCATTCCTTGAACTGTTCAAGGCAATGTTTATGTGCCGAATTTAGGGGAATGTGTTTTAAAGTGCACATTTTCTTCACTCTGCCTGTCAAAGTGGTCGAGATACAAGTTGATATACTGTCGTGTTTTTAGAAAGATATAAATAATAATTTATTGACATCAAATTTGTGAACAAATGCATATGCCCCAAAAGGAAAATATCCCTGTATGTGGATATCATGTTAACACAACATACATATAACATAGCAGTTATAATAAACTGAGAGGACTATACAAAAATCTATATAATATAAATGTAATACATACATTGATTTTGGACGTAGACTAACAATGAAGAAAATATATGTGTTACGTTTTTTATAAATAACATCATGTTTATATCAGTTTCAAAAGCCACTCGTATACATCTATTTTTAATAATGATATTTGGTTTTTTTTCTAATATATTTTGGTATATTATGATATAATTTTGGACATGAGTATATAGAAGATTCAACATTCTTTTTTTTTGGTGTTGCAATATTTATTTGTTTATTTTTATTTCTAGTATCGTATTCATAATTTTCATAAATGGTCGAATGTTTATTTTTATGGATTTCTAGTATAACATTATACCAAAATAATGTCTTTATATCTAAAAGTTTTGATTATATAAACAGCGATTTATTATGAATTGTTTTTATGAATAATTGTTGTATTACTTGTACAGAATTTAGATAGTTATTATTCGTGGATCCCCAGATTCCATAAGTTAAGTGGCATTCAACTCATGTTTGATATAAGATTTTTAATTGAGTTTGTTTGTAATATCTGAATTTATATAATAGAAATCTAATTTTATTTTTAATGTATTGGATATGTTCATCCCAACGAAGATGACAGTCTAAAACAATTCTGAGATATTTATGATTTAGTTTACGTGATATACATATATTCATTATGGAGATTTGTTTTCTTTATATATATTATATGAAAAAACTCACAAAGGAAAAGTATTTAGGTCAATCTAAAAAGTGGAACAGGAACACCTTCTATAATCCTAAGCATTTTTTAAATGTACTACTATGGAGACAGTGCAGGATAATCCTGGAAAAAAATTATGTCTCAAAGCAATACTCCGTCCATGTATATTCCACCCTGTACATGTGATAAAATCGCGATGTTTTGAACCGGCTAGCAGAGATGCTAAGAACACGGATAAATATCAAGAAACTATTGCATATCATGTACTGCACCCACAATACACTCCAATAGGGTATGCACTACCCAACTTGCAAGGTCTGTCTCTTTGAAACCACTTGTGAAAAATTTTAGGGCCCATGGACGCTTTTATTCCACGTTCTGAGATGTACAACATACTAAATGTTTCAAAAAATTAACCGAAAGCCTTTTCTCATGAGGTTTTTACAGATTTCTTTGTGAAGTTGGCAACCGAATTATAAAATATATAAAAACTTTTGTGCAGCATACAGTTAAAGAAATCAGTAACTAATAGATGCCTCTTATTTCGATATATCATTTCTTATCCTGGTAAAATTATGTAAATAATCAAGTATATCTTGTCTATGTCCCGATTTTGCGTCTCCGTCCCGATTGTATCTTTTTAAAAATTTTACCAGGACTTGTCTAATGAATTTTATATACATATATTTTTTTATGTTTTTTTTTAGTCTTAAGTTATTTATACCTGAGCTCATGCCCAAGCACAAGTTTCTGCGAAACTTTTTTGGGTCCATTCGTTTATTGTATAATATTGTCTTCCATCTACTACTGCTATACTTTTTCTTTTGCAATAAACTTTATTATTATTATTATTATTAAGTATTGTTTTATTTTCAATTGGAATAGAAAATATTCCAGTAGTATAAAATAAAATGGGAAATGTTCTCTGAAAAAGCTGAAAACTTACCTTGAAAAAATACTGTGAAAATTTCACTGCATCCAGTGTTGCTGAAGTTACAATTAACTTCAATTCTGCTCTTTTTATGACTGCTTGCTTCAATAAACCAAAAAGCACATCGGTATGGATTGTCCTTTCGTGAGCTTCGTCCAGCATTATAACAGAATATTGCTTCAAATCCAAATCCATCAGACATTCCCTGTAATGGTGAGTATAAATCAAACATCTAAAAATATGACCAAAATCCATTGTAAGGAAAATAAAATAAAAATCTCCGTTATAATACTTCCTCGCCAATTGACGTGGGGAGTAAAAAATAGCACTCTAGTGTAAAGAAAAAAAAAAGAATTCATTATTATATCCTTACCTTAACAACATACCGTCCGTCATGTACTTGATAATCGTTTCAGGACTAGTGCAATCTTCAAAACGAATAGTATATCCGACCTCTTGTCCCAGTCTGCATCCAAACTCTTCGGCCACTCTCTTCGCTACCGACATGGCGGCCACACGTCTTGGCTGCGTGCAGCCTATTTTTCCTCTCGCTGTGAATCCGGCTTCAGCTAAATACTGAGTGATCTGCGTGGTTTTGCCTGATCCCGTTTCGCCGATGATTATCAAGATTTGGTTATCCGTCACGGCTTTGATCAGTTCTTCTTTCAATTTGTAGATGGGCAGCGACTGGCGTTGCTCGATTATGCTGAGGTTGGTCTTTTTGCCGAAAGATGACTTTTTGCCTCCTGGAAGTTAAAATACGCTATAAATTAATGGAGATTCTTAAAATGTAATATAATATTATTGATTCCACCAGTTCGGAGATCCATTTCAATTAGCTCACTGAACCTCAACAAATAGTGAGAATATGTTGATCAATCGTAGGAGCCAGTTTTGAACTGAAAAAAATATTCAGAATTGCACAACCGTTATTCATCACTTCGGAATTCTCGTTTACTACTGAATATATATACAGGGTGTCCGCAAAGTTGGGGTTTTCCTTTACACGACGTGTAGATCTTGAAAACATAAGCAATTTTTCTTAGTACCATATACACCAATGTCTTAAGGGAACCGAGATAAAGGGCTCTGCAACATCAAAAATATCTGAATACCGTCCTGTAGCCGCGCCATCACGGAGTGGTACAATGTCACTGGCTCAACGACAGAACTGGGTCGGGGGTCAGGGTCAGTGTGTCAGGTCAGTATGCAACCTTCAACCGATGGTTACGGTCACACCTGTAGAGGTAATCGCGTAGATGATAATCCCTCAACAAGCACTAGAGACGTGGCTAGAGAAGTGCAAGTATCAAAAACTAAAGTGTGGCAAACGCTGCGTGAAGACGGGCTATATCCGTTTCACGTCCAACGTGTACAAGCCCTTCAACCTGACGATTTTCCAGCAAGTGTGCGGTTTTGTGAGTGGTTGTTGCATCAACATGACAATAATCCGGACTTTTTGAAGTGCATATTGGTGACAGACGAATCTACATTCACGCGTAATGGGGTGAATAACTTTCGCAACACTCATGTTTGGTCAGTAGAAAATCCACGCTGTCCGTCGGGCACATTGTCAACAAACATTTTCGGTGAATGTTTGGGCTGGCATGGTGCGTCTGCTCGGTAGTGCATCAGCTGATTTCATTTTCTGTTGGAGCGGTATAATTTCGGGCAGAGACGTACTTAGCCCTTCTCGTCAACTGGAGAGTGAGTACTTTTTCCTTTATTTTTTTTTTACTTGGTCGCCCTCGTTTCACTACACATTACCTTTGTTATTTCAAGGGTAGTTATTTCTGAAAAGGAAAACCCCAACTTTGCGGACACCCTGTATATATACAGGGTGACTTCGAAGTTGAGTCATTTATTTTAACAGTGAGTAGATCTGATCAAAAGAAATGTTTTTTTCCTTTAACATTTTTGTGGTAAAATTAAAGTAACAAAGTTATAGCCCTTTAGAAGTTTGAGTACCGCCCTGTCTCAATAATAATATTATGTGCTCGTGTTTGGCGACAACGGATATAATCCGCATCGGTTCATCGCATCGGAAACAAAAAAAGCGAAAGAATTTGAAACGCTTATCACGATGTTTTTAGTTGGATTCAGTCGGTAACGCGTGAGCGAATAGTGGTGTTTGTTGCGTGGCTCAAACGAAATGAAAAATGGCACATGTTTATGCGGATCGGTTTCCCAATCGAGTGCAACCAACCCCTCGTGCCTTTGTTAATGTAGTACAACGGGCTCGTGAATCAGGTGACTTAAGACCTCACAGGGGAGGGAATGCCGGTGCTCCAAGACCTCACGATCAAATACAGGTCCGCACTGAAATACTTGTCGGGAGGATACTTTATAAAACAAGGTAACATTTTTTTTTTATTTTTACACACATATTTTGGTTTATCTTCCTTCTACAATCATTATCTGAAAATTAATGACTCAACTTCAAAGTCACCCTGTGTATATATATATATATATATATATACGAGGAAGGAAAGTGGATTCGATCAGAAAATAGGATAGGTAACCCAAGCAATACGCATTTCTGCTGGTTGGATTCATCAGGCCCGAAATGAATGCACATATGCAACTACAAAAGTAGATACACATGCCCATACATCCGGATACAGGTGTAACCTGAGGAAACTAAGATGGACAGGGAAAAAATCACACACGAAGTCCACAACAAGAGCCAACCTACACATTGTAGTATAAAATGGCTAGATCTCGAATTTTCAAGGCGACATCTAACCACAACCACGCGGCCGGTTATAGCCACTTGCCGTGGTACTTCAAGCCTAAAGGACCTACAAAGAGAAAATGATCATGCGGAGAACGGTATATATCAAAAAATAGGAAAATTCGAGGTCTTCTAGCCATTTCATACTACAATGCGTAGGTTGGCTCTTGTTGTGGACTTCGTGTATGATTTTTTCCCCCTCGATCTTAGTTTCCTCAGGTTACACCCCATATCAGGATGTGAGGGCATGTGTATCTACTTTTGTAGTTGCATATGTGTATTCATTTCGGGCCTGATAAAGCCAACCAGCAGAAATACGTATCGCTCGGGTTACCTATCCTATTTTCTGCTCGAATCCACTTTCCTTCTTTTTGCGGATTTTTCCCATTATTTTCCTATTTTTTGTTATATACCTTTCTGCGCATGATCATTTTCTCTCTCTCTATATATATATGCACTGAATTAGTTAATAAAGAATGGTAAAAAATGCTAGGCTATTAACCAGCCTGGTTTTAATATTTTCAAGGATATAGTACTGCAACAATATAGTTAAAACCGACAATATTGAATGAGAAAGCCACAAAATATTAGTCTTACTCAGTTTTTCGGACATCTTTTATTTACAGCAGATTTTTTTTATACTCCAGCTACCACGAAGGCCTAAGGCCTAAGCGCCCGTGGGGCTATGGGGGATACATGGGAAAGGGGGGGACGCCACACGGACTCTGGCAAGGGACCACGTGTGCATTCAACATGCACACATTCTGGCTCCGCCTACGAGAACCGCCGGGTGGTACCTCCGCGTTCGACAGTCAGAGACCATCTACCACCTACGGACAATCACAACATCCATAGCCAAGAGAAAAATTTCTCCTGGGACGGGACTCGAACCCGCACAGCGCACGGCGACTGATCAGGAGACCGAAGAGTCTACTACTGCGGCCACCGCTGCTGCCTTTTTGATGAGAGTCTCATAAAGCATCATAAAAAAATACTTCAGTCATATGGGATTCTTCGTCGAAATGTCGAGCGTTGCACTGAATACGAGTACGTACCTAGGTTAAGATGTAAGCCATTATTAGCGCCGATGTATATAATATAAGCAGTAATGGCCTTCTCAATTTTTCCCACTGCATTCGATCTGAATATTTTCAATGTATAGACATGCTGACGAGTAGCCAAGAAGCACGCAACAGCTGTCCATTGTTGGCTGTCTGTTGGTCGGACGGACGAAAGCATCATGTTTCGTTTGTCATTTAACCCTAACATATCGACGATCAACAATTATGACATTCCATACAAATTTTACAAATATTGTGAAACATCTAGTACATTGGTGTTAAACTAGCAAACTCAAATGAATGCTTTCAGCTTCAGAGGAGAGTAAGGTGCCTCCGTTTGGTGGGCGTGTTTTAATTCTGCTAGCAATAAAAGCTGTTTTCCAATATCTTCTCAATTATTAAGGTACATAAAAAGAATATCTACATGACGAGCTATACCTAACACTAGTTACTTCCGACTTGTCTTCAAATATTTCGGAATGTGAACTTAAACCAAAGAGAAGTTATACCAAGAGAAGACAGTTAGACAAAGCAAATAAATGAGTGGTGTTCTTATTTGGTCGGAGATAAAAGCGATGTTGCCAGATAGATGACCCTTTTTGGATGAATTCATTGACCATCACTTGTAGTCAAAGCATGTTTTGTTCAAATTTGGGTATTTGTTCATGATTGGGATGTTTATCATTCGTTTCCAACCTACGAATTACAATTTTGATTTAATAAATCACACTTTTCGTGAGAGATCTTACTCTCAATACCTGTAAGTTATTACATAGCTATTAAACTTTCACGGCCTAGCCGGAATATTACATGATTTAGTTTAGGACAAACGAGGAGCATCAGCTTGGCATTAAAAAGGTAACTAATCTCAAATTGCTTATTTGACCAATCATTAGTCTATTTGTGATGGTTGCCAGTCCTACAGATAGCCTGGCCTTAATATGATATATTCACTTATTTCATATGACTTTTGGATGTACCTACTAAAACCGTGAAAAGAACTGAACTCCATTCAGCTCAGTATAAATGTAGATTTTTCTAAAAATTTTACGACAGTTTGGCAACACCGCCTAGAAAAATGGAGACCCATCAATGAGCGAATTGCCAAACCAAGGACGGTCCGTTGATAGATTGCTGTTTTTTCGTAAAGCAGTAATAGTTCAAGAGCCTAATGCATGGTTTTAGATACATCGCGTACTGATATATAACATCTGAAACTTATACTGTGATTTTAATGATGATAATCTCCTATATTTGTCTGGCCAATCAAACCACATATATTTGAAATTCCTCCTTACTGTAGTGTACATTTCGGTCGCACTGGTGAAAACAAAAAACTGTCAATTTTGTACTGAATGGGACCGAAACGTATACTACGATAAAAAATAATTTTAAAAACATGTGGTTTGATTGGCCAGACAAAGATGGGAAATTAATATGTTGAAAACTAGTAAACTCTTACATAATGTGTCATATCAGTACGTGATGATGTAACCAAAAATTTGCGATTGGCTTCCCTACTATAATGGATAACCAATGGGGCCGACCGGCGAATTAAAAGAAATTCAACAAGCGTCTTCTCTTGATATAGCTACCCTTTGCTTATTATCATTATTTACCTATGACTTCTCTGTGAAGCATTGCAGTTACTAATGGTGATTTCTCCGGTGAGTAGTGAAAACATATTTTGCAATGATAAGACGAGTGTGCATCAAATTTTCTCCACTACTTTGGCATCATATTACCACAAACAATGTTTTGCTGGTTCTTGAAGAGGATAATCTAAGGCGCTGTCATGACCAAAAGCAAGCCGACGGCAACTCGGCTTCAAAACTCATATTTACCATTATAAAAGTGGAATATAAATAGACCATTTTTATTGTAAATAGCTTTAACTGAACGAAAAGCATATAAGTAACCTACTTCTCAAATATAATCTAGCTAGATCAATCAATTAACATATGTGGTGCTTTCTTATTGACCAAAACTTCCAATACCTAAAGCCTCTAGAATATAATGAAAAAATATTCTTGAGACTGATGGCCACACTACTGCTAATACTTCTCCAAGTGAATCACTTCAAAGAACACAGGAACGCGATGAAGAGGTTTTATCGGATCATCAATGATTTTTTGAGAAAAGTGACTGCGATCTTACCAATGACATGTTTCTTCCACTCAGGCAAGTCCTGCCCTTGTAGTCCGACTCCTCTCGCCGTTGCTCCACTGGCTCTCGCTTCATCTTCAGGCAGGGGGTCTATCCAACTTTTGTTTTTCGCTGGCTGGGCGTCGACTTCCTGTTCCCGTTGCAGCATTTTCTGTTCCCTTCTTTCCTTTGCTAGTGCAGATTGCATCATGGCAGCTTGTGCCAGGGAGCCGTCTGGGTTCTTCACTATACGCACTGGGCTGAGATCGTTCAGAGCCCGGCCGTGACCTTGCAAGAACGGTGGTTCGTCTTCAACCTACACAATACATTTAATCACATTTGTAAAAATATTTTGACACAAAGTTACTACCATGCCAAGGACAAGACGCTTTCTGGGTTTTGAACTTTGGCCAGAAATGGTGGAATTATCACCGTAAAATAAAAATTTCATAACGTCGATAAACTATGTTTTTTTTGTTTATTGAGTATTGATAATTTTTAGGCACAGTCGAACATTTTTTCGAGATTTCGAAAAGTTTAAAAAATATCAAGCTTTATGTTTCGACATTTTCCAACTTTCTGGTTTCTTCGGAAATTCTCCATTTCTCATGTTTCACTAATAGCACTCAAAATTTTCATGTGCCTAAAATTTTAAAAGGAACCTCAATCTGGCGACGTTCTGGAATTCATCCTTTTTTGCTTATAGCTTTGCCGTCACAGGACCGATTTTCAAAAACTGCAAAGAAGAGCCAATGATTCACTGGAGAGATTACAGATGCCAGACAGAGGGAACGACGGAAATGAGTTAATGGCAATGTTTGCATCATAGGTAGCCAAGTACTTATAGGATGAACAGCCACGTCCAAAAAAAAGTACAGAATAGCATTTATGCACAGAACCAAAGAATATTTATACCAAGAGAAGACAGTCGACGGCTAATAAATTAGAGAGGTGAGATGTAATGTCCACAAAACAGCTGATGGCATCACCAAAAGCATTTTTTGTTCAAATTTACCTTTGTTTAGACATTAATTCTTGGTGGAGATATTATTCTCAAAACCTGTAAGTAACCACATAGCTATTTAACTTTTAGTACCCAAAGCGGAATATTACATTATTAAGTTTAGTAACAAAGGAAGAATGTCAGCTTGAAATAAAAAAATTTTCCTAACCTCAATTTGCTTGTTTGACCAATCGTTGGTGTATTTGGCATATTTGCCAGTAATCTAGACAGCCTGACTTTGAGACGATATGTTTACTTATTTCGTATGATTTTTTGACGTAACTACCCACAATCGCGATTAAAAAACTGAATTCTATTCAACTCGGTATAAACGTAACGTTACATGCTGAGTGAAACACGCGGATCTTTGGCAGAATGTCGTGATATAACTACTCTTTGCCAGAACTTTGGTACTCTGTGGCTATCTAAGCCCTTAGCTACCTAAGGTCTAGCCATGACCAATTATTTTCCATGATCTTACATCAAAATAGATTATCTAATGCCACTCGCGCATGTAACCAAAAATACTGAAATATAAGCATTTAATGGTTCATCAAAATTAATAATCTCCAAAGGTTGTAGATCTGAGATTTCTAAAAATCTCAACTGTTTCTCGAAAAATTAAACTTTAGGTTAAGTAAAGTAGTCATTGAGGCTATACTTCGCTTCGTCTGTACAACAAGCATACTAAAAATTCGTTTTCATATGTTTTTGAGTTCTAGCTGCAGTGGTTAGAATTGAAAGATCTTTGTTTTTTCGGAGTTTTTTAAAGTAAGCTGCTATTGCAGCTGAAACGAGAGGTTATATTGTGTGATTGCAATGTTTATTATAAATTGCATAATATAGGCGCCGTGTTTTTGCTCTATGTACGTGCAACCCGCTGTTATCATCAAAGCTTCTGTGGCCACAAATCATCTGAATAAAAAACTTGCCAATTCAATTTCAATATCAGCTTCTCCTCCATCATCATCCTTCGGCAGCAAACCAGTCTCTTCATCGAAATCGGGCAGCTCGCTCTTATCGATACAACCGGAAGAGATCATCTGCTTGATCTCCCACCTCTCTGGACTAGAGATCCTCATCACTCGTTTCCTGGAGTCCTCTTCGTTCTCGTCGACATTAACCGGGAGCCGTAGTATCGATGTGCTGCTCACCATAGGGTGATCAGGGTTACGGTCCTTGTCTTCTCGTTCGATAGGGGTGTGAGATAAGGGGTTGAGATCTTTACCGGTCATCTGACAGACGTCTTTCATTGATAGAGACACTTTTTGGCCGGTTACAGATAATACTTTTACCTAAAATGGGGAATTTTAAAAGTAAATAATTTTTTTAAAAACCTCAAGTGGATTACAGTTTAAGATTTAAATACTTTTTTAAAAGGCTGAGTACCGGTACTTGATCAGAATCGAATACCGAGTACCCGGTGGGGTGATTTCCTCTGGGAATTCGAAAGGTCCTCTGTTCTGAAAATTGGTTTACTTTTCCAAGAAATTAACGCAACAAGACAATTTTTTGTGAGTAAAATGTGCAGGTATAATACGAGTCTTGCAACGTCTAAACATATGTTTTTCACTGTGAAATTTAGAAGCAAAAATATTGAATTGAAATTGAAACCATATTTTGGCCTTACATTTTGAAACATTTGTATTTACAAAAGAAGTAAATCTGTAAGGAAAGGAATATACTCGACATCTTTGACGCACATTTTTTATGACGACATGCATCGCGAAGACCCAAGCTGCTCAATTTAAAAAAAAAATGCGTAATAGAATCGCTGCCATGTCATCGTAATCACGAACACTGCAATTAAATCCTTCATGTTTATGAGTTGGCTTTGGGAGTAGTGTACATAAGAATGAAATTAAAACTGTTGGATATCGTGGCCAGGCCAATTCAGATTTGGGATACTCATTTTGAATTTTGCTACGTTTGTGCCATTATTTTATTTTGTTTTGTGGTTTTTGTTGCATTTTGTATGTTCATATAAAATAGAAACAGCACATATAAAATGTAAAATGCTAATCTAAAAAATACATGGAACAGATTGCGCAACATTATCTCAACTGCTGCCCCCAAAATAATGCAATAGTAACTTTGGTAATGAACATTTTTATCCAACACTTCAATACAACAATGAATCAATTAATTCCAATGTTTCGGTTTTTATATCCTCGACAAAAAGTAAGGAGTATACTTGAAATTTTTTCTCACATTAAAGGTCATAGCCGCGTTCATTGGCAAGGAAGTTGAAATATACAACTTGAAATAGTCCGCAACTTGCATTTCAGGAATTAAAAATACCTGAGTCCCGTTAAAAATGCATTTGATCTTCAAATGACCTTGACGGTCCTAGCGCGTACCCATAGGGGTGGGTCATGGCGGAGTGACTCTAGTTTGACCACTAATATTTATGACTTTCGAATCTCTTTGATAAATTTCATGAAATAAAGCGTTGGCTACAAACGAGTAAAAAAATACCAGATTTGGTGGAAAATCGTCGCAACCTGGCAGCTCTGATCAAAATGTAAGCGCATCGATGATGGCGTGGGAATAAGAGGGTTACGTAAGTCTAGTTGCCTATAGGATCAGCTTGACGCAAATATAAATAAAATAGTGATTCTGCATTATTTGGATAGGCAGCACTGCATGTGCTTTAGTGCATTATTGGAAATTGAACCTCATATATGTTCTGTGATTAAGGTTGTTAGATGAAAATTCAGACATTCGGACAGGAATATAAGAAAATACCTTTTCGGGCACGCCTTTAATGCAGTGCGCAAATCTGATAAAAATACTTTTTGTCGGACAAAATCCGAGAAACGCGGTTTCGTTTGACTGAAAGGAGATGGTCGTAGTAAGCATCATAGTTATCCAACCTTAAAAGTGTTCAAATCTTGCTCTCTTCAAATATCAGCTCATAAACATAAATACTACTATATATCTTTGACACTTTTTATTTGTAGCTTAGCATGATGGTATCGTCTTAGTTTAGTCATGTACAGGGTGTTTCCCAAACATTGGGCACGAATTCTTGGGACTATTCTGAAACTATTGTATTTGATATACCTCTTGATCCCAGAGAAACACGTTCCTGAAGGAGACGTCGTTGAAAATAGGTTTTTCTTAAATAATCTTCACATCGCGTAACTCAAAAAATGGCGCCAAAAAGATATGCGTGTCATTAAATAGGTAATCCAAAGATCTGCCGTTTTATTGCGCTTTTAAATATTCGTCACTTCGTTTGTTATATTTAGTTTTAATGTAGCTTTGCAATTTAGAATGATTGTATTCTTCAGAGAATAAAGCATATTTATCTATGTCTCTCTGCATATGGAACCAATGATTTTCTGCTTGTCATGTATAAACAGAATAGAAAGAAAGAGTATTTTGCGGCAAAAAGTCAAGCTACAAAGTAGTGTATGTTTATGCTAAAGCAACTGCTTGGCCTCTACTGGACACCTATCCAGTGTTGACTCAAAATATTTTTATAAATTGTTGATTGAAAATGTTTCCATCAATGTATGAGTATATATAAGTCTTAAACATTTATGCTTGTCACTGTCAGCATGACAACTTTACTTTTCATGGGCATGCCATTACAAGTTAACCTTTTGTAGCTCTTTGATATAAGACATATAGCAATGCCTATATACAACTACAATGTATGTGCTGAATTTAAAAGAGTGTTTTTAGAAAGTAAAGATACTTTTTTTATACTCCGGCTACCACGAAGGCCTAAGGCCTAAACACCCATGCGGTACCATGGGGCTATAGGGGGATACAAACAGGCAAAAAAGGGGGGGGGACGCCACACGGACTCTAGCGAGGGAACACGTGTGCGTGCAGCATGCACACATTCTGGCTCTGTCATAGGAGATCCACCGGGTAGTACCTCCGCGTTCGACCATCAGAGACCATCTACCACCTACAGACAATCTCAACATCCATAGCCAAGCGCATGGCGACTGATCAGGCCACTAACACTGCAGCCACCGCTAATGGTCCTCAATCACCCAATTTATGTGTATATGCAAGAGTAAGTAACAGCTGCGTTAAGGATCAGTTTGTGCAGTGTACATTTTCTCTTAGGGAAGCTAAGCATATGCTACAGTTTACTCATTTTGTTCACTTATTTCATATGGCATTGTGATATAACCACCAAAAAGTGTGAAAAGACCTACAGTTTAATATATTAAATTACACATATTGCATACCTTTATCTTGCTGCCTTTGTTGACCACTTCAGATACATTTGTCACTCTGCCTTCAGATCTCAGTTGTGAAATGTGTACTAAACCTTCCCATCTTCTTCTCAAGCCTTCCAGTTGCACAAAACATCCAAATGGAACTGTATTTGTAACTTTTCCTGAATAAATCTACAATTACAAAAAAACAGTTGTAGTATAAAAATACAAGAATGGCTGATGAGATTCAGCAGCCCGCATTATAAGAAGGATTCCGATTGTTCTGACAGCAGTATATGAAAATATATCACAAATGTCAATCATATTGCTAGCTATTCAGCTACTCTACTGCAGATAGATAATGCAGTGAAAATATTGTCTGTTAAGGACTACCATTGACCTGACACACCTAGTTATTTATAATACTTTAAATAAGAGCAAGAGTCCCAAAAATTACTATGAAAAACATTAATATCACGAATAGTAAAAGTTTATAGCACTTCAGAAAAAAAATCACATCTGCAGAAGGTCAGTTAAGCAGCAAAATAGCAAAATATCTTTATTCAATTTCAATAATATTTATACTTTGTTTTATACCTTTCCAGGTATAGGATCATCATCATATTCAGACTGTTCCTTTTTAAATTTCTTTTCCATGCTTCTATCTCTCTTTCTATCTGGTGTTCTTTCTCTCCTACTTCTTGATCTACTCCTATGCTTCTTATCTCTAGAATCACTCATATATTTTTTATCCCTAGATCTACTCATTCCTCTTCTATCCTTTGACCTTCTACGTTCTCTAGACCTACTTCTTTTTGATTCCTTGTGTCTTCTATGCTTATCCTTCTCTTTTGACCTTGACCTGTGCCTTCTATCTGTATCTCTGTTCCTTCTAGAATCATGATCTCTCTCAGGTGACCTAGACTTTTTCCGTTTCCTTTCTGGACTGTGACTAGCCTCTTTATGCTCTTTTTTAGATGGAGCATCTGCTTCAAATTGTGCCATCAAATCAGCCACAACATCATTATCATTATTATCAGGTTTTTCTTCTTTTTCATCCTCTGATTCTTCATTAACCAGTGGTTTTTGAGTTTCATTAGGTATTGCTAAGCCAGGGAACTTATATGCTAAAGCATCTTTGTCTGCTTCAGTAAACTCATCTTCTTCTAAACTTCTGCTTTTCTTCCTTGGTTGCATATGTTGAATAATGCGCAACAAGTTTGAGATAAATGAGTCTGAAAATTCTGCCCCATTCTCAAGGAGAGCCTTCTTAAATGATTCCAATGTATTGTTTTCTTCAGATAGATGTATGATAAATTCAGCTAAAAAGTAAGTTTCTGAGTAAACCATATACGTTTTATAATCAGAATACTTACCCAAGTCTTTATCATTCATACCCAAATGGTTTTCCAATTCAGTACATACTTTTGATACCAAAGACAGGTATTCTAACTTCTCTAGTTCGTTCATTTTTGAATGATTCTTTCAGTACATATACGTTCTACAGACGTACTCCACATAGGACTTTATTTTTCATACAAAGCTTTGTTATTTAGTTATATGTTGCTGAAAATAATTTGTTTTGCTACTTTTTAGGTTATCAACTATATCTATATATGTCACTAACTAACTGACAACTGACAACTAGCAATCAAAACGTCAAAAAATATTAGGCTGCATATCCACCTAACTCAGCAACAGTCTCGCCTGCTATCCCGACTTCCCGACCCACCTACTGGAGTGTGTTTATTTTATACTAGAAAAAGCGTCACTTATTCGACTGAACGCCGAACAGAGAAGCAGATTTCAGGATAGCAATAATTTTTTCGGTAGGGCTGAAACATAAAGATTAGAGATAGGAGGTTAAACTGATGGTCTCTGGGGGTGTAGCCAAAAATAAGGATGAAATTGGTCCGCTACGCAGCAAATGAATTTCAAATGCTGGGGATTATAGATAACTAGGTGTGTCAGGTCAATGGTAGTCCTTAACAGACAATATTTTCACTGCATTATCTACCTGCAGTAGAGTAGCTGAGTAGCCAGCAACATGTGGAAATATTTTTTTTTCTCTCTCGTATGTACACTGAACAGAAAATTCATTTCACGTTCTGCATATCTGTGTGTGTGTGTTGCTGTGATCAAGTCTGTAAACAACTGCAACTTCGACCGTTCGGACGAGCTGCAAGCCGAAATATTGGATAAGATTAATAAATCGCAAATTAATAAACCTACAAAGCATGACAAAACGTGAGTGAAGTACACATAAATATTCCGACAGGCTACGCCCACCAGATTTTCGAGAGCCTTATGACTTTCCTTATTTCCATTTTGCGCAGTAGCACGACCATAGACTACTAAACACAGCTGTGTTAGTAGTCGATGAGTACCACAAACCTTCGTTATTGAAATAAAAAAGCACCGTTAGCTATGGAGAATAGGGAGGGTTTATTCCGTAAGCTTATTCTTTCCTTATTCGGCGCTGTTGCCGAATTTGTAAAGCTGCATAAGCTTAAATGAAATAATTTCAAGTTATAAAAAGATACGAGTTTTAGGTCACAGATAAAAATAAATGGAAGAAATATTAGACAGTGTGCTGAATACATTGATTTGTGGCAAGGTGCAAGGTAGCGTTTTATTGTAGTCCTGTTGGTTTTGTTGTCACTTATCCTTCTGAGGTTCCAGTGGCGGATTTAGGGGGGCTATCCCCCCTAGACGTCTGACATATGCTTTTGTAATCTAATACCATTAATCAAATTCAAGCGGATAACCAAATGGAAGTGGTATTTACCATTTTGGGTTGGTATTTACCAATCCGTTCAAGCGAGTGTAGTTATCAGTTTGGTTATAAGATCCGTGACGACACGAATCAGGTGTTATATGTCATAGTTATCACCGCAAAATTGTGGTATTTACCCAACTCAAGAGTAGTTTTATATTTATGGTTATTATTTGAAATGTGACAAGTTAGAATTTTGCCGGGTATTGGATATTGTTATTGTACTTCATTTTTGGGAAACTTGATACAGGCTGACTTCAGTGTTAGCATAAAGTGGAGCACCTCATTAGTTATACTCATTACTGTTGTTGGGAACACTTTCAATCTAGTATCTATGTTTAACAAAGTATCCTGTGTAGCCATATACCACAAGAATATTAAAATATGGCCATATAAACTCACTAGATGATATCCACCTGTATACGGTTTTGCTAATTTCTTTTTTCATCATTTCTGCTGAATCAATAAATGTTTTCTTTGACATGCGGAAAATTTTAGAGAATTGAAAGTTATCATAGCTACAAAGCCATGGTTCCATCATTAAAAAAAAATCTGAAAACAACATTTCTCCCATGAATATTATGGAAGGTTTCTTATTTAAACTTTCCATATACAGTTGTAGACGAAAAAGCACCGATTATTAAGTGATAATAAAAATAATCAGAAATTATAATCGCGCTTTTCTAAAATAAACAACTTGCAACAAAACCGCGGTTAAAACCAACGCGTTCAAGCGATTCGTGTAACTGACGTCATCAACCCGTGTGTCATCTTGAACCATGTTATAACCGCGGCACATAACACAGAAATTTTGGTTATTCGCTAGGATTTGATTATTGTGTTACTTTCTGAAACATCATGGTGACAGAGGCTTACTAACTATAAGTTATAGGAACTGAGCACGTGAGCAGTGCGATTTTTTGGTATACTTTGATCTTCCAAACACCCTGTTTTATGTCACTTACATTTTCAGCACAATTCTTACGATTTATAGGTATATCCGAGTATTGTGACTTGTAACAAATCTAAGTCTGAGTAATATATTAGCTATACAGATTGTAACTAAAAAGTGATTTATGTTTGTTGCTCAATAGTAATTTGAAAAGTGTGTAAAGCTTGACTGATTTTGTTCGGGATTGGTGTTGCAGCGAAGCACTTATGTTAGATGAACGCCATAAATTTCAAATAGACATTTATGAGATTTGTTTAGCGGTGCGCCTGTGGCCTGTCCAGAAACTGCGTCGATCGATGCTCAAAGTCAATACCACACAACGTCCCATAACTCTTCCCGCGTATGTGTTTATTTATGTTGCTATATTGAATTCGTTTAGATCACAGAGCTTCTGCACTACACGTGAATATGTACAGCCCTGTATTCCTGTACTTGAGTCGTACAAACATACATTATCAAAATAATTACGATCTAACAGATATAGTTTTTTCCAAAGATTCCCAACATTTTTACATGCTATCAACATTGATTCGAAAACTGAGAAAACAACAAATATGCCGTAAATGTAAGTTTGACAACGAAAGTCTGAAGAATAACTGTAACATCTATATTGAATTTCAAATAATAATTGACTATACCTACTGATATTTTTATCACCTGCTGATATATAATAGAAGTGTCAGTATTTGCTCCATTTACTTGATTTGTTTAATAAGCATTATTATTTGTCTCGTCTAGCGTTCATACGATAATGTGAATTTTTCGGTCTCATGTTCGTTTTCGCAATTAAAGACATTGTTTTGTGTGGAATGGACTGGGACCTGGGACATGTCTTGGGGACCCTCAAAATGTTTTACTTATTTATTTTTTTACGGTTACCAGAGCAATGAAGTTTTTTATGTTTGAATCTTTAATATTATTACAGTAGTTAATTATAAATGCCACGTACTTATTTTGCTCTCATATAATAAAATATTGTTTTTGTGAGGATTTGTGAGCATATTCCATGTTTTTTTTCAAACTGGCATTGACCAGATAGAACACAATGGAATTAAGGAGCAATAATATGATAAATTCTAGAAGTTCCACTAAGGTTGAAAAATAACCAACCCCAAATATCGTTTGCGCTCTCCCCCTAGATGAAATCCTAAATCCGCCCTTGTGAGGTTCTATAATTCTAAACCTGTTCATAGCTTGTCCGGTTTGGGCACCAACATTACTGTAACATTTCTATGAAAAAACTTTACAGGGATTGAAATTTTGGGCAAAATCGCAAGAAATATGGTAGCTGTCATAACTGTCAATAGCCTGTACTGTCAAATTACCTCGGTTCACTTTAGTGTTTAGTGGTTATAAAAGATCTCTTTTCGTCGACATTAGGTGTTTGCTGTTGCTATCAAAAATAACCTAACGGAAGGCTCAACTATTTCTTATTTTTATTGAATTAAAAACTCTTTAATGTATGGGGCGGTGAATCTAAATGTGGTTAAGGGAAATGTCAAACATCAAGAAAAGCTATTTTTTATTTATGGTGGCTTAAAACAAACATGGATGTGGAAAATGATTTGGAACATATGTGATTATTATCAAATACTCCGTTCAAGCGAGTGTGGTTATAAGATCCATGACGTCATGAATCAGCTGTTATATGTCACAGTTATCACCGCAAAATTGTGGTATTTACCCAACTCAGCATTAGTTTTAAATTTCTGGTTATTATTTGAAATGTGACAAGTTAGAATTTTGCCGGGTATTGGATATTGTTATTGTATTTCAGCTTCATTTTTGGGAAACTTGATACAGGCTGACTTCAGTGTTAGCATAAAGTGGAGCACCTTATTAGTTATACTCATTACTGTTGTTGGGAACAGTTTCAATCTAGTTCCTATGTTTAACAAAGTATCCTGTGTAGCCATATACCACAAGAATATTAAAATATGGCAATTTAACTCACTGGATGATGTCCACCTGTATACGGTTTTGCTAATATCTTTTTTCATCATTTCTGCTAAATCAATAAATGTTTTCTTTGACATGCGGAAAACTTTAGAGAATTGAAAGTCATCATAGCTACAAAACCATGGTTCCATAATTAAAAAAAAATCTGAAAAAAAAACATTTCTCCCATGAATATTATAAAAGGTTTCTTATTTAAACTTTCCATACACCGTTGTAGACAAAAAAGCACCGATTATTAAGTGATAATAAACATAATTTGAGATTATACAGGGTGACTTTGAAGTTGAGTCATTAATTTTCAGATAATGATTGTAGAAGGAAGATAAACCAAAATATGTGTGTAAAAATAAAAAAAAAAAATTTACCTTGTTTTATAAAGTATCCTCCCGACAAGTATTTCAGTGCGGACCTGTATTTGATCGTGAGGTCTTGGAGCACCGGCATGCCGTCCATATGTGAGGTCTTAAGTCAAATGATTCACGAACCCGTTGTACTACATTAACAAAGGCACGAGGGGTTGGTTGCACTCGATCGGGAAACCGATCCGCATAAACATGTGCCATTTTTTATTTCGTTTGAGCCACGCAACAGACACCACTATCCACTACCGACTGACACTGACTGTATACAACTGAATGAAATAATTGTAAAAACATCGTTCCAAATTCTTTCGCTTTTTTGTTTCCGATGCGATGAACCGATAAGGCGGATTATATCCGTTGTTGCCAAACACGAGCACATGATATTATTATTGAGACAGGGCGGTACTCAAACTTCCAAAGTGCTATTACTTTGTTACTTTAATTTTACCAGAAAAATGGTAGAGGAAAAAACATTTCTTTTGATCAGATCTACTCACTGTTAAAATAAATGACTCAACTTCGAAGTCACCCTGTATACGCACTTTTCTAAAATAAACAACTTGCAACGAAACCGCGGTTAAAACCAACGCGTTCAAGCGATTCTTGTAACTGACGTCATCAACCCGTGTGTCATCTTGAACCATATTATAACCGCATCACATAACACAGACATTTTGGTTATGCGCTTGGATTTGATTACTAACTCGTCTTGTAAACCACAAGCGAGATATTCGTGTTAGTGGATATGAATCTTTAGAGTAGAGCACATGATGACGCAGTAATGACGTCACTGGTGATTGGCATAATGTTTTGACGAGTGGCTTGAGCTGTTTTTGAGGTTAAAAAAGCAGTTCAAAAATATTTTTGTTATAAATGAAATGTTGGAAGCTGGATTGAGATGGATCTGGAGGGAAAAAACAACGATGTAGACAAGAAAGTTCTGAATGTGGAAGATCTGAACATAGAGATTCTTCCAGTTATTTACGAAATCATAAGAAGGTGAGGTTATCTATGATTGACATTGACCAAAAATAAACATCATTACATAAATACTTTTTTTAGTATTGAACGTGATAATCATCACGATAATACAGCTAAAACAAGAGATTCAGCGGATTGTTCTCAAAAGGTTATAGAGCTGCAGAAGAGGCTTGACCAGGCAAGACAAGAGGTACCTAAGTTTCAAAATTCCAAGATAAACTCTTGCTATATTCTTCTACTTCACAGATACATATGCTTCCTGGCATTGACTTCAGTAAAGAACAACAGCTCCAACATTTAGAGGCCCTGAAGACCCAACTGAGAAAAAAACAAGAGCTATTACAAAAGTATCATTTTATGTACCCCTTTGATACTCAAAAACCATAAAGCATGGTTTTGCGCTTTTTAATAAGGATCATTGCAAACAATGAACATCTTGTGCAGAGGCTTAGTGAATCCTACCCAATGCGCAAAGCTGCCCAAATTGTTGTAAGGGCATTCTTCACAGGCAAAAATTTTATTGAAGAACGGAAGCTACATGAAAAGCTGACTCCTGAACAATTCAGAGCTTTGATGAAGGAAATAGCTGATAATTTTCAACGTCAGATCAAACAAGCACAAGAAAATTTGAAACGCAAAGTAAAATAAAAGTTGATAATATGAGCTCTGTAATATTTATTGGATCTCCACATAAAAGTAAAAGGCAAGAAGTATGCCTAAAACAATTATTTTTAGTCTCTCCTTATGAGATATTGATTAGAATAATTAGGTCTTTTGTTCCTCCATATAATAACAAATACCAAAAAGTGCATGTAGATCTGTTAGGCCCATTATTAGGTTTTGTCATCTTGACAGCATTTGTAACTTATGGAAATTCATTGAAATTACTTAGAGTGAATATAACACCAGTAGAATTTTTATGTATATATTCATTCTTCATGCCAATTATCTGTTATTTACTAACACGCTTAGCTCAGTCTAGCATAACCTTATATGAAACTGTATCATTAATAGGATATGCCTATTATGGGCATGTTGTCACACTAGTATTCTCATTTATATGCTTTCAAGAGGAAAACAATTTTTTCTTCTTTGTATGTCTTATTATATTTGGTGGATTAAGTACATTGAGATTAACAATGGTTATTTTGGGAACTATACCAATTCCAGCAGCTAGGCTGTTGGTATGCACGACAATCTCCATATTCAATATTTTATGTTTGGTGTTCCTACACTTTGCCTTCATGCATAAAACATTTGTCTATAGCAACTCAGATTTATAGAAAACGTAGGTAAGGTTGGGTGGTGCTTTATTTATATAGGTATAGATTATTTGCCAAAGAAGATCCAGTATTGTATCCATAGCCTTGCTTTCCTATATACTGTACTTTTTTAAAATTATCTACTACACTTATGCCCAATCTTACCATTTCTCACACGATTCAAGTTATATGTATACAGAAAAAAAGCAATTATATACAGTTATAAAGATTTTATTGAAACAAACTAGTTTTTACAACCGCAACAAAAGCCTGAAAAAAATGTAATACTGACACCTTTGATAAAACAATGTAACACCTGTGGTTTTCATGCTGATCATCCTCCATTTTTACTAAATATAAATAGTAGCTCAACCATATGCGGTTTCATTTAGCAGCCAGAAAAACATGAGGATTACTTTGATAAAATGAATGAACAATATGATTTGTACTCTTTAATTATAAAACCTTACTGGCATTCAATAGATATAAATTCAGTTGTGCTTTCAAAAGAGAACTCAGGTGGTTACTATTGAGAAATCTGTTCAAGGTTTCTAGATCCAAATGAACACTTGATAAAACAAAATCAACATTTCAGTATGTACCGAAACCATTTTTATATACTGAAGTTTTATTTTTAATGTATGAAAATCTCTGGTACTCAATATAAATGTGTTTATGAAACAGTTTAGACCTTTTTTACAATATACTTACTTTGGTGTGATGATCAAGCTACATACCCTCAAAACTAAATGTTTTTTGTTTCAGAACACAAAGATTTCTCCTGTACAATCTCTACAGTTTTACTTAAAAGTCAGTAGCTCAGAAGAATAAATTATATTGTACTCAATAGAAACACCAATCTTTTTTCCCTGACTGCCTGGACATGATTTTTATTTGTGCAAAATTAAATATAAAATTCAAAGTTTAAAATTTATCTACAATACGTAAATTAACAAATTATGGTTATATTAAAGTAGGATACCTCTGACCCAATTGCTTCAACCTAAATACACTTGAGGCTTTTAACAGTCACAAAAATACCACTTACATAAACGTTAACGTTCGCCTTGTTTGACATTCAGGTCAGCGAATTATATGAGGTAAATGTCAAATGAGATCAACATTAACATTTATGAATGCACTGTAAGTTAACAGGTCTTTATTGCATGGTGGAATCTAGACTTTACAAATTTGTCTAATACCCCTTTTACATTGACTTCAAATCGACGGATCTCACATGAATTGAGTTCATGACCAAACCTCAAAAATGTAAAACAGGAATTTGACGTTAAATAAATCCATAAAGTACTTAGTAGATTTCTTCACGAACTTGTTCTAATTTTTGCCAAGTTGGACGTCAAATTTCATGGTGCCAACCTTGTTTTTCTTTCCATTATACTGAACAACTTTTCAATTCAAGTATAAAGCTTTGATAGAACTGTTTACGAGATTCGTCTCAAAATGAAAACCACAAAAGACATAAAATAAAAGCTCAAAATGTTTCTACCAAGAATTTGTTATGAGGTTGGCAGCACTGAGTACTGACAATACATTATGTAAACTGCAAAACATGATCAGGATGACCTTGAAGAAATCTATCTGAATAAATTCTTGAGGAAATTGACACCAAGACCAAGAAGTATGGCAATGCCATGTTTTTGTTATTTGTGATGACCGAGCTTCCTGCAGGAAAATTAATATAATCACGAAACAGACAATCAACATTGTTTAGATGCAATCTTTACCTACTCTGGACGACAATGTCTATTTTGTGTTATATAATCCACTCAATATGAATGGGCGAGATCTGCATTCGTTAAGATGAATTATTTGTGAAGAAATCTACTGAACTTTAGCTGTGTTCCTGTTTGAAACAGAGAAAGGAGTTATATTGGTTACATCTGGTAATGGATTGACCATGGTGCCCTGGCTATTACTTTTCCTTTTTCCGCCCCTTCGTCCTCGTCCCCTCTTTGTTCCTTGCTTTTGTGTCATGTTTTCCGCTTTCTCGGTAGTTGAGTCGTTCATTTCAGAGATATTTTGCAAGTTTTCAGGATTCTATAAATAGAATATTGTTGTATAACGCATAAACAGACATTTGAAAAAATACAAACGCAAATAATGATCAAAGTTCAAAAAGGCTTGCAGTTGTATAACGGATAAAAACGAATGTTCACATGCGTGCGTTTTCCTTCTCAAGTTCCCTGGTTTTTGTTAATCAATCGGCGGATAATGCGCATATTTAAAAAAGCATAATAGGATTCCGTACCAAGACCTCGCAGCATATCGTTCGACAGACAAGGTTGTGGAATTAATGAATCGTGAAATTAAAGGCATTCCGGCCACGATAAGGAGCCAGTGCATAGGCCGCTTAAACGGGCCCTTATGCACCTCTACATTCCTTAGATCTCAAGGCCTTGAGTCCGAGTTGCTTCTTGACGTCCTGGGGGTCCAAAGTAATGGACTCCAGTGTAGTCTGCCTGTAGTAGCTCAGAGCTTCACAGCGACACAGAACGTGCGCCGAGGTCTCTTCCTCTACCCCGCAGGGTGGTGCCTTAAAGTGTTATGGCCAGACAACAGTCCCACCAGCAACATTAGGTTGGCTCTATCCAGAGAACAGCAGAAAAGTCCATTCTTAGCACTGGGCCCTACAATGAGTTTCCGTGCCTGACAGAGATGTCTGGAGTTAGGTACTTCTCCATTTCTGAGAGTGTTGTCTTGCTATCCACGTCTCCATTTTTCTCCTAACTCTTTGCGCGGGCATTACTAAAGGTGGCTCAGTACCAACGAGCTTGCTGGCTGATCCTGTCTTCGCCAGAGCGTCCGCCGCTTCATTGCCCCTTATACCAGCGTGCCCCGGTACCCACATTAACGATACCGGCTGCCTCGCTGCGGGACAATCCAGATCCTCCCTGCATTGCAATACAAGGCTCGAAGAAATCTTACAAGCACTTAGTGCCTTCATTGCATCCTGGCTGTCGGATAATATTGTTATTCTTCTCCTAGGCCCACCCTCCACCGAGTGGCAGAGATAGCCTAGTTCTAGAGGCGCCAGAACCCTCTTCGGTTACCGAGTCGTCCGCGTACCAGACCTGCCCGCTCACTCCGGAGAGTCTCTTGCTACCGGCGTCCCACTCCTCCCTCGTTGGATACTCCACATTAAACTTGCGGTTGAAGCGATATTTAGGGGTAGTTAAGTTCATCCCTCTCTAGAAGGACGGCGTCCTCCCTTTGCAGTTCGCCTAAGATGGCAGTATGCCCCTTGACAGGATAATTCTCAGATATTTTACTGATTCAGATGGGACTAATCCTGCCTTAAAGAAGGTCGGCAAGACAAGCCCATCGAGCCTTCTTCTCCTAGTGAATAGGATCAGCTCGGTCTTTCCAGCATTGACAGAAAGATCGACTTCTCTACATCACGATTCCACAGAGCGCAGTGCGCCCTGCATAATTTCAACGACTGTTCTACAAAAACGAATCCTAACTACTATGCTTAAATCATCAGAAATAGGCTTGCACGTAGACACCTGCACTGCTGAGCCTAACGAGGAGTTCGTCCACCACGAGGCACCACAGTAGGGGTAACAGAACTCGGCTCTAAGGGCAGCCTCTAGCTACGCTGACACTGCAGCTTACGTCATTCAGCATTGCTGTTGCTAGTGGAACTTCAATTAAGAGCTTATTTTATTCAACAACTTACATTTTCATTCTTGACTGCCTGGTTCCTTTGTGACTGACCTGAACCATATCTCTGCTGCTTATTTTGTTTTGCCCTGCTATTTTGATGAATTGGTGTGCTTTGCGCTATAACTCGTACAATATTCCCGACAGCTTTCGTTCGACCCTGAAAAAAGTGAGGCGAATGTCATACGATCAGTATTTACTGTGTTACGATAATTACTACTGAACGTGTGACATTCGTCTGAAACAAAACCTCTGTGATTATAAGGTTCTTCTGACGTCATGCAGTTGCTATTCTATGCCACCTAATGCAGTGACAAAATGAACAGCAATTCTTATGTAGCTGAGCATCATTTTAGAATTTCTATATTAGGGGAAACCATATCTGAAACTAATAATCTTTTTGTCACGCTGATAAATATTTCTTTGTTTTGTTGGCCACCAAATGAAATCGCAGATAGGACCGAATAGTACAATAAAAGGTTGGAGGTGGTGTAACGTCTTTAAATTTTATTTGAAAAGCATCGTCCACAGATCATTGGTACACTACAGATAATACTCTCTTAACTACCTTCTAGTACCAGCTGTTGCAACGCCTCCTAAAGAAAGTGACAACTAAGCCACCATAAGTGATACTTTATTTACAGAAAACAATACTTGCACTCTCTATTGTCAGTCCGATGTAATATATACCACATTTTCATACACTTATTGCTTATGAATTTTCCACAGAAGTCAGAAATTTCTAAAATCGGAACTCATTTTGAGAATCCAAAAATCGACAAAAAAAACTTCTCAAAATTCAAAAATATAGTGATAGCGGGATAACACATAAAAAGTACTAGTTCAAATTTCATCCGCTGCTATATATACAAATTATACACATTTGCAATCGATTTTATGTACTTAAATATTGATATTTGAACTGTGGAGATCCACCGCTATCTTCTAAAATCAGACCGTATCACTATCGCTTGCAACCGCAGGCGTTGGTGATAGCCACACCGGGCCCCTTCTGTCATTGAATTACTTATATCTTTATATCTCATAAGCACACACAATGGAAAGACCTATTAATGTTGTGAAAGTGTGATCGTCTCCCCGTTCCACACAATTCTTCCATGCACGAATTAGCGCTATATCTACTTAATTTCTTACATAAGTCACTTTTACACATGCTAGGCAGCTACAAAATCGCGAATTTCTGTTTTTTATTAAAATAACAGTTGCACTAGTTTGTTTTACACTTCTGACCTTTTGTAATTAACAACTATGCATTTTTAGTTCATTTAGTGAAAGCCACTTTCTTCAGATGGCGCCCAACGTAGGGTACAAAGTCATGTATACTACTCACACACCCCTGGCATCTGTCCTAGTAGTCATAAGTCCGAATATCCAGTTTACCTTATCTAGGTATCATTAATTTTGGGTTTACTTTCTTTCTCTATAATTTTCATTTTATTTTCTCTTTATTGGGAAATGTTATTTTTTAGCGACTAAATTTTCAATCGGGCGAGGGAAACCCCTCGAAAACCCCAACCGCTGCAATCAAAATGTCCTTAAGATACAAGTTAAGTCTTGCCTTCAGATATTTCATTCTTTACCATATCACTTCAGATATTCCACTCTAAAAATATATCTACACGAGTGGCTACAGAATACAAATATGAACCTGTTGTAATTTATGAAAATTTTGACATAAATATCTATCTTTTCCATATTACTAATCTACAGGGTGACTTTGAAGTTGAGTCATTAATTTTCAGATAATGATTGTAGAAGGAAGATAAACCAAAATATGTGTGTAAAAATAAAAAAAAAAATTACATTGTTTTATAAAGTATCCTCCCGACAAGTATTTCAGTGGGGACCTGTATTTGATCGTGAGGTCTTGGAGCACCGGCATGCCGTCCATATGTGAGGTCTTAAGTCACCTGATTCACGAACCCGTTGTACTACATTAACAAAGGCAGGAGGGGTTGGTTGCACTCGATTGGGAAACCGATCCGCATAAACATGTGCCATTTTTTATTTCGTTTGAGCCACGCAACAGTTACACCACTATTCACTACCGACTGACACTGACTGTATACAACTGAATGAAATAATTGTATAAACATCGTTCCAAATTCTTTCGCTTTTTTGTTTCCGATGCGATGAACCGATAAGGCGGATTATATCCGTTGTCGCCAAACACGAGCACATAATATTATTATTGAGACAGGGCGGTACTCAAACTTCCAAAGGGCTATAACTTTGTTACTTTAATTTTACCAGAAAAATGGTAAAGGAAAAAAACATTTCTTTTGATCAGATCTACTCACTGTTAAAATAAATGACTCAACTTCGAAGTCACCCTGTATAATATAAAATTACTACATTATAAAATATGTTGTATCATGTGTTGGAATGATATCCACGCATAAGGATATCGATATATCCGCAGTTTATAATTTATGTGAATCAATATTATTATTATTCAATCAAGCGGTAGGCAGCAGCGGTGGCTGCAGTAGTAGAGTCTTCGGTTTCATGATCAGGTGCGGGTTCGAATCCCGTTCCAACAGAAATTTTTCTCTTGGCTATGGATGTTGTGATTCTCCGTAGGTGGACTGTCGAACGCAGAGGAACCACCCGGCGGATCTCGTAGGCTCACCCAGAATGTGTGCATGTTGCATGCACACGTGTTCCCTCGTCAGAGTCCGTGTGGCGTTCCCCCTTCCCCCTATAGCCCCCCGGTACCCCATGGGTGCTTAGGCCTTAGGCCTTCGTGGTAGTTGGAATATATAAAAAAAGCAAAATTAGTTATAGTAACATATTGATGACAACTGAACTGGTAAGATCTGTCTGTAATTATGTGGGGTCACAACATACCCATATCAGTCGCAAGCCACTCTGTTTTCTGTAATCTGTATCATGATGTAATTAGAGTTTTTTGAATACGTTACTACAACTTTAACTTTGTATTTGTATACTATTAAGTATCTTAAGTGATATGTTAAGGAATGACATTTCTTAAAGCATGTTAAATCTTGAAGACCCTGGTGGCTGAGGAATTTTAGGGACTTCCTTGGCCAAAGAGCAAATGCAGTCACAAACAAAACATTCCCGTAACAAATGGCAATGAAAATGAAAATAATAGAGAAACAAAGAAAGAAAAATTCAAGTGCATCAAAAACAATACATAGAGACAGGGTAGATTGGGCGTCAGACTCAAGGACTTATACTATTAGTTTTGTATGCATACTAGGACTTATAAATATCCAATAAATGTCAATGTTAGTCTGACGATGCTTTTCAGATAAAAGCACAGATTATTAGTCAAGGGCGAATTTAGAGGTGCGCCCCCTCCCCTAGATAAGAGTGTCCCATTTTAATCCCTCCTATTTATTTCGAAAACTGCACATTCTAGAAAAAGAAGCTTCAAACAAAAGGAAGGTTTTCTGAAATGCTAGAAGTAGAGGGCGCTAGTTCGGTTGGGGTCATGTCTAAGCTTACAAACAAAGATGTCAATTGCTGATCAGCTGTTCACAACAATAGACGTCAAAACGTGTTCAAGTTGTGAGTAATATGTTACCTTTCTATCAAATCTGTTTTTATTCTGCCTACTTTTGTTAGATTGACCCCCAACCTCGTAAGCACTGCCTAGCGGAATAAAAATTGGTCATTATTTCTAAATTTTACACAGAAGTTTTTTGCCGATTACATTTTATCCATGCGCGATGGTGATCATTGGAGGGTCGTCCGGCTGATAGATGACTTTTCTTTGGGCAGTTCAAAAATCGGATTAACACATTTTCTTTAAGCTCGTCATAGCAGCCACGGTGCCGTGAAATTTAGGCTTTTGCCTGCGTGGCTGCTTCGGATTATATAAAAAACCATGTTTTACGAGTATTAGCTCTTAATTTTAAGAATCTGGAAAGCGAAAAAACTTCTGCTCAAAATGCAAGAGGATATTGTTACTGGGATAACTCGCAAAAAGCGTTTGCTATAATCATTTAATTCGATGGAATTAAACTTTACATGTTTGCATGTTACATGTTCTTGCATTCATAATTTCTCAGTATTATCTCTACATATTATTTGAAATGTAGAGATCCTACGCTCTCTTCCACTATCAGATCTTATTACAATCGCTTTCAACCGCAGGCGTTCGAGGCGGTCCCCCTGAATAAAAGAGAAAGTGGCTTCTCCAGTGTTTTGTTGTGAAACTTTCACAACAAATTACTATCGACCGCATGTTAGATTGAAAGTTTACTAAGGTTTCAGCCATGGAGATAGTAAAAGTGTAGTGTATGATACAATTACCTCTCTGAAAACCATCCTTTGACCGGCAGTCATATACTCTGGGTGCTTTATAAACCTGAAGTGGATTAGAGCCTTGTCTCCTGTTCTTAAACATTCCTTTGACATACTGACTATGCTTGCCGTTTGTCTGATGCTTCCGCAATGAACTAAAACGAGGGCAGTTGTTAAGAAAGAATATACTCAACATTTATTACCAAGTAGAAGGTATATAACATACACAAATTTCATTTTCCAAATTATCTTCTAATTTTTTTCCTAAGAAAACATGTGACCTTCAACAGATAAAGCTGAGGTGAACATGTTATTGGTTTTATTTATCTTCTGTGCCCCATAGTATCAGATTAAGAAAATATAAGGCAATGCTCCCGATTATCTATATTTTCAATGTGATTATAGTTTCTTACCCATAGCCTGATATCTCGAACTAATAGTAGTAGGATGATGTAGAACCAAAATTTCTCCTTCAAACTCCCAACAGGCTTGAGGATTCAAGGCCGGCGAAACCATCACCATGCCTTTTCGTATCTGAGAGCGTTTAATCTGTAAAAACAGACATTAATATTCTACATCAACAGCAGTACAGTGTTTCCTACATATATCAGTGGCGTATATACTGAGGGGAAGGGGGAGTCTGCCCGAACGGTAAAAAAGTACTGATCTGAGCAAAATTGCCAGTTTCTAAACGAACTATTACTTCGTTGTGGCCAGCGACTTCAGACTGTAGTGAGGATCAAAGTGCTCTTGACATAATTCAATTTTTTGACAGCTCTGTCAAATTCGTAAATTTAGTGTTTATGAAATCGGGAGTTTTTGCAGATAATTCTGGTGTTAGACGATTTCAAGAAATGGTACTTCTTAACTTCTTACATAATTTGCAAAGAGCGGCACAAACCTAATGAAGGTAGATGTTTTCACTGGTAATATTATGTTGATATATACAACTATGTTACTTTGGTAGCCATTGGTAGACAAATGAGTCAAAGGTATGCACTAAAGAGAGGGCGTCGTGCTACAAGCAGTCGAAGAAGACCAGAGTATTTCAGTACATCAAATAGAAGCAAGCACGGGAGTGCCGAGAGGTACAGCCCACCGAATTTTGCGGAAGGACGAGCTCCACATGTAAGCCGTACATCGAGTACAATCTCTATAACCCTTGGATTATCTTCCAGAAGTTGAGTTTTTGTCATACAATGTTACAGAGACACCGGAAGTTCCGAGATTTTTATAGGTCATTTTATGGACGTATGAAGATGGAAACGATCTACATAACTTATACGAGTGGCATGTAGAAAATCCAGATTTGATGAGACACGATACATCACTATCATTTTAAAGTACACATGTTGGGGATTCTAAATGGGAGAATCATTGTACTCTTTGAGCTGTCAGATTTCTGGAATGGCGAAATTTCTTTAATTTTTTTACAAAATCATTTACAAAATTTATTGAAAGATGTGCCACTAAGCATTTACAGAGACATGTGGTACCAGCAAGACGGCTGACCGGCACGGGTATTATGTAAAAAACCTATAAAACGTCAAAAAAAAATCATCTTGCACAAGATTAGTTAGTTTTTAGGTATATTCCACGTTTGCTAACTACAGTATATTCAGATAAGAGATAGACCGGATGTAAACAAAAGGTTCGGGTGATTTTCACGCTAACGCCGCCGTCTCGACGTAAAACAGGAGCCCTCATTGGTCAATTCGCAATTAAATGCCTATGCCGAGCGGCAGAGCAGTCGTATCAAGGCAGAGTCACATTCAGGTTCAGACGTGTTACGTATGTCGTGTGCATCATTGCAATTTGATATTTCTTTGGACGTTTTCGTTTGTTATCTTATTAAGTTGTTGAGTTTGTCGTTGTTATTGTTATACCTTGTTATTGATTGTTATTGTTATCAACTGCTTGCGCAAAATGCCCAGTAGTACAGATACTGCCGATGAAGTTGTAAACTCCTGTAGTCCACCTAGGAAACGCTCTAAAAAAAGACACCTGAGTGCAGAAATGAAAGAGGTCATTTTGAATATATATAAGATCGAGCGCGAGGAGAACGAGGCATCAACCATCAAAGAAATTGTTGTGAAGGTTTCTCACAAAGTTGGGGTGTGTCGCGCATCAGTGTTTAATGTGTTAAGACAATACAAAAAAAATCACACCTTTTCTGAGCCAATGACCAGTAAACATCGCAAAAGTATTGTTAAATAATATGATAAGCATGCGATTAGGAGGAAAGTGCATGAATTCTTCTTTAGGAATGAAATACCTACTATAGATAAAGTACTGCAGGAGGTAAATGGAGATACAACGTTGCCAAATTTCAAACGATCAACTTTCCATGCGTTACTGAAGCATTTAAATTTCAAATGGAAAAAACGGGGTCGTAATAGTTTACTACTGGATAGAGAAGAAATTGTGCTATGGAGGAGGGATTATTTAACAAAAATTGGGAAATACAGAAATCAAAACAGGAAGATTTATTACCTTGATGAAACGTGGGTAAACGCAGGACACACTACAAGTAAAGTATGGGTTGATGATTCTGTAACTTCATCCAGGAGGGCCTTTCTAGATGGACTGTCCACCGGATTAAAAAATCCATCAGGTAAATACGAGTAATAGACAACAATCGGATGTTTTTCAAACCTTGGGAACAAGGTTCTAAACATTAATTCCAGGGGGCAGATAAAACATATTACAAGTAACAAAACTTTTATAACTTTCGATAAAGTGCGTGATGTTTTATTGTCATTTTCATTTGTTAGAACTTTTTTAAGCCATGTTTTTATGTGTTTTCGATATTTCAATAATTTTTAATATGATCTTAAAATATGTCGAATATTATAAACTTAAAAACAGTTACTAAGTTTTATATTGTATACCGTTCCTAATATTTCTAATCATTTTAATTCATACTTTAAGCTTTATAAAGTTATAATTTGTTAATATTAATATTTGCGCGTATTTCAGGTTCCTGATCATTCATTTTTTAAAGGTTTATAACTTTAAATTAAATTGTGAAGCGCTGAGTAATCATACGACGTTCAATATTCTTTCTTTCAATATGACTAAATAATCCCAATTATAGCAATCTGATACTCATGTCTCAATGTTTTTTCGCTGAATGTGATGAAAACATTTGAAAAAGGTTCGCTTATTGAAATTAATCTACACCAGTTAATACTTCGATTTCCAGGTAAAGGGAAAAGGCTCATTATCTGCCATATTGGATTTGCTGTTGACGGTCTGTGGTGCTTTGAGTCTAAGAAAACTGGAGATTACCACGAGGAAATGAATGGCGAATCGTTTGAACAGTGGTTTTCAAAAATTTTACCGAAATTAGAGGAAAACGCAGTAATTGTGTTGGATAATGCGCCTTCTCGAAGAATGGAGAAGGTCCCAACAACGGCTTCAAGGACAGTTGATGTTCAAAATTGGCTCCGCTCGAAAAATATCAACTTTGAAGAAGCAATGCTGAAAGTACAATTATTAAGAATTGTCAAGGATCACAAGGCGGTATATCAAAAATACGCCATTGACGAAATGGCAGCAAGTCAAAATAAAACTGTGCTCCGTTTACCTCCATACCATTGCGAGCTCAATCCCATTGAGCTCATATGGGCAGAGGTTAAAAATTATATAGCTAAGCATAATACAACTTTTAAATTTTGTGACCTCAAAGGACTTTTCAAAGAAGCACTAGAATTAATAACAGCGCAAAAATGGGAAAACTGTATTAAGCACGTGAAAGACAAAGTTGAAAAGAGAATGTGGGAACTGGACAATATTTTAGAGGAACAAGTCGAGCCATTCATTATTGACGTTGGTGCTTCAGGCAGTAGCGATGATGAAAGCTCATCAAGCTCATCTTTCCAATAAAAGATGTCGTTCATCAAATTCGGTAAGTTATAAGTAATTATAAAGCTACTGTATTTTTTAATTAATTATTGACATTTTTGAACCCATTTTGGCAAAACCTATTCAAGAATCTACTTTCTGACAATGTTCAACCATGCACATTTTTTTACGTTTTGAACGTTTTAATTTGGTTACATATTTACCTAGAAATCAAAAAATATACTAATCAATATTCTAAAAGCAATTTTAAGAGATATACGATTATTTTTAATTTAGGCTAATTTAAACGCCATTTTGAGATTATATTCGACTGTATTTCACCAAACATCAGGCGGCATCCGAAGCTGGAAATCGAAGCGAAAATTTTGAAACCCTTATGTATATTTACATCATTATATATTTCTTACCCCACCCCCACATGATCCTATATCCATCACCAATCGTATACACATCGAATTGTGCTAATTTACTACAAAGTTACGCAAAGCAGCATCTACTATCTAAAATATGTACTGCGTGACTCTTAATACGTCCCTGCCGAATGTTACAGCGTTCGATGATCACGTGGTCTTGTTTATGTCCGGTCTATCTCTTATCTGAATATACTGTAGGATCGTTGTGAGCGTCCATCTACGGAAGAATGACTAAACTACACGCATTGTTGGTTGTACATGTTTTGTGAATCCGAGTAGTCTGTAGTTTTCATCTCTGAGAAGAATGTTGGTTGAATAGCAAGATCGCATCTGGATGATTATGGGTATTGGTCTGCATGTGTATAATATGTCATATTTGCTATGTGAGAAAATCATTACTGAATATGCTGCCAATGAAGTATATCTATTAGCTGTGCCCGACGGGTTATTTATATGTTGTCCTTTTTGAAGATAGGTTATGTTCAAAGTTATAAATTACGATTTTTTACGTTTTTTTTTGTTTTCAAAAATATTTAGAATTACGGGAAATCACCACCGCGCCCGTGTAATTACTGTTAGCATGTATATGACTTGTAATTCGACAGTGTACAGTGAATATAATTATTTCTTATCTCTCGCATTTTTGGAATTCAGCAAATTTGCATATGCAATTCACACAATTCCTAGCTTTGAATCTCAAGTAAGTGTATTTGAGCCAAGAATCCAATGGAATTATCATCAACACATATTATTAGCATAGAAATCCTCACTATGCACCTATGCATTGCCGTTTACTTCTAGCTATAGTATACAACTTACAGCTTAGACCTCCAGTAATGCCATCTCTGAAGCAGATACAACTTGAAAACTAGTTCATAAGTGCATATCATCTAGTGCTAAATTAACAGCTTGTAGAAAAACCTACATAATGACACAAAAAACAATACAATGTCAAAAAAAAATCGACATGTCACTTTTCAAGATACGCAATACCCGTGCGGCGCACTATGCCCCTTCAGTTAGAGAATATCTTGATGCGGAATAGTCGAGCAGAGGGCGGTCTGGTACAATTTCTTGATTCACTTAATTTTTTTCAGGAAGCGGTGGAATAAAAAGCCAATCAAAAATTTAGCCGAGCTACGGGGCAGAATAACGGAAGCATCAGAATTTGTTAATAACGGAAGAATCGCCCGTCTGATAACCCGATAATTTTTAAGATGTCAAGCTTACATTGCTGCAGAAGGAAGGCAGTTTGAATATTTATTGTGAATTTAATAATACATTCGCGACTTAATAAAAGTGGCGTTACTATATGTCTTGCTGTCACTACGTAAAACGACACCGTCCGTCACTCCGTCTAAAAACAAACAAAAATTAAATTCGTAGTAATGAGAACTGACACTGTCACAGGGTGTAGATTTGGATTTTATAATTTGGAAAGTACACAACTTTGATTTTTTTGTTTCTCTGATAACTATTATGACTTGGCCTATACACCTATTTCCGGCATAATGTCTACTTCAGGGACACCCTTTAGAAACAAGCTCAAATGGGTCCATCGATTAGCCTATGCATCTGCTTGCCGCAAATCATAGAAGAAAAATAATGATGTGAGGAAGAAATACCCCAGCCATTAGGTTATGCAAAATACAGTGTTACTATATCCCTTCCAAGATGTGATAAGAGGACCTAAATTTCACATGTGTGTTCCCAATCACCAAATTTTCTTTGCCCATACTAAAGATGCATGCTCATTGAGGGGAAGGGGAGCAAAACTCTTCAGTTGGGCTGTTACACGTAAGCAAATAACAGCCCGCATACTGAAGCGACGAGGAGGGAAGGAACGTGTATATTCGCATCGCTTCCCCCCAGTGAGAAGCTACATATCAAAAACACGTGGCAAGCACAGTGATAAGACTTCTAGCAATTCGATATACTAGAACAATTTCACAGGGTATATATTTTTTCGAATTTTTTCTATTCTATAATTTGAAAAGTAAATGATTTAGACTTTTTTATACTTGTATTTCTCGGATAAATATCACGACACTCTGTAGAGGTGTCAATCGATCTCTAATTTTTACAAAACATTTCTTATGGTTTGGCAGACAGAAACTAGACTAGAACGTCATTGTAATCTTAAATGTTATATTATTTTCAAGTATTGCTATTATTTTAGACCTCCTTCTACCAGGAGTTTATTTTGTTTACCTTCTTGAGTGCAAAACTTGCGGTCTGCCCCGCCCTGACTTCTTTCACGGCCATCCTCTTCCTGTGAATACTCTTCACAGCGATTTGTTGGAAGTGTCCAAGTGGGTCAGGCCCTAACATCAGAGTATCATTGAGCCTGATCACTCCTTTGAGTGTTGTGCCTGAAACTACTGTTCCTACTCCCTACAATTCAAACAAAATTAAGTTCTGTTTAAACCACGTGGGAGTAGAATTTTTACCGGGACAGAATAGGTGTCATCGATCTGGAATTCAGCGGGTTCGTTCTCATGGTACTCCACTCTGGTAGTTAGAAGATTCAAGAATATTTTCAGCAGACCCAGATTCTCGCCTGTTACGTTCGAGACTTGGAATATTGGACATAATCTGAAAAGGTAAAAACCTCGTAATCTAGTGCAAGGGAAGGGTTTGAGAAATACATAGCACAAATAAATTAATAAATATATATATATATATATATATATATATATATATACTGTAGATTATGTTAAGACGAGGAAAATCCAAGTTAAGGGAATGGAAAACGCCAAATTGCTGTTACTGGGAATAAATGCAGAGTGTACATTTTCTAAGCACTCCAAATAAATAATAACTCATTTCTAGACTACAGATTCGTCGATTTGCTTGTATGGGCGGTGATGGTACAACAAATATGAACATTGATGAGCTATTGAAAGTCATTGGCATTGTCACTCGTTCTAAGGAGCAGTAGACTATTAAGTGTCAACTTTGAAGCACCTGTATTCAGAAAACCACGTATTAATTTTTTGAGAAATTTGTTCTACGTGTTGGGGAACATGCAAAATTTGCGAATCCCTAAAGCCATAAAGAGTCCGAACAACCCGTTGAACAGGTTTTAACAATATCACGACTCGAGAGCGCTTAATATCGGTTAGAGCCAATGAAAAAAGAGAATTGAGACTTAGTAGAAAGAGCCAGTCAAGGATATGTTTTGAATTTTTAGTGTTATTTCTCAAACATACGAGTGTTTTCAAAGAGTGGCACAAGCCTAATAATGAAGGTAGATTTTTCCACCTGCAAGTATTATTATTGTGTTGATACAACGCTGTCACTTTGGCAGGCATTAGTAGACAAATTAGTCAAAAGTGAGCATCAAAATTACGGAAATTCGTCGACAAACAATGCAATGAAAATATATAAGCTTGGCTCCTTTTAACTTATTCGAATTCGTTGACCTCTACCGATATATCAGATATTTCATTGATATATTTAGAACGTAGTGAAAGTTAATAGAGTTGCATATTTTTCAATGCAAAAATAATTTTTTGCTTTAACAGTGGCGTGCGTACGGGTATTGACTTCGATATTTAAAAAAAAAAATGGCACGCCAATGGTTTTTTGCCAATTAAAAATTATTTTTGAATTACCCGTTCAATTTAAAACAAATGATCTCTCTTGAATTGTTTTCCTTCGATGCGCCACTTTTGAGTAAAAACATAAAAACCGTTCTATTGTCCGAGAAAATTTATGTAATAATTGAAGAATGCAATTTAGCAATAAATATCTAGTTGCTCTGGAATATGTCACTGGCTTTTGACATCTGACAAGGCTCTGTTATTCAAATCTGTTCGCTGTGACATCTTTTTCATTATTTAGTTTTTACAATCTTGTTAATAATGGTGAATTATTCAAATGCAGAAATGGCGGAAATGCATTACGTATATGGCCTTGCCGACGGTAATGGTGAGCAAGCCAGACGGATTTAACACCAGAGATATCCCGAACGTGCTTTTCCAGATAGTCGAACCTTTTCTAATATTCATCGTCGTATTGTTGAAACTGGTTCTGTCCGAAAAAGAACATCTGAAGGTAGACCTATAAGTGTGAGAACACCTGAAATTGAGGAAGCAGTGCTGCACGAAGTCGAAGAACATCCTGAAACGAGTACGAGGAAGATCACTAGACACTTATTTGCCATAAAATTGTTTGGAGAATTTTAGTGGATTTTTTGTTATATCCTTATCATATTTTAAGAGTACAGGCATTACTTCCCATTGATTTTCCAAGGCGTGTGACCTTTTGTCAGTGGTATCTTCAAAAAATTACACAAAATCCGCAATTTGATTCAATGATTCTGTTCATGGACGAAGCTAATTTTTCTCGAAATGCCATTCAGAATTTCCACAATAATCATTTGTGGGCAGAAGAGAATCCCTATGCCGTAACCGAAACCCATTTCCAACACCAATTTTCGGTTAATGTATGGGCAGGAATTACTCTTCTTGCCGGCCGGGACGACTTGACGGACAGACTGATCTCAATTTTCTTCAAAAACAGTTGCTTTTGCTGCTTGATGATGTTCAGTTAGTAATAAGAAACAATATGTGGTACATGCATGATGGTGCACCAGCGCATTTCAGTGGCCACCAAGGTCCCCAGACCTCAACAGTTTAGATTTCTTTTTGTGGGGCTATCTTAAGACACTAGTGTACACAAGTCCCATTAACACTGTGGATGAATTAAGAGAAAGAATAGTTGCAGCTTCTGTTAGAATAAAAAACACTCCAGGGATATTTCAACGAGTGCGCAATTCCTGGAAAGGAGGGCGGAAGCATGCATACTAAGTGAAGAGGGCCATTTTCAACAATTTTTGTAATCATTTCGTTGGTTTTAATGTTATGTTTATGTGGTCAGTTGTTATTGTTCATTACCCCCAATGTGTTTAATTTTTCCAATTAAATAAATAATAATTTTGCAAGTTAGACAATAGAACGGTTTTTATTTTTTTACTCAAAAATGGCGCATCGAAGGAAAACAATTCAAGAGAGATCATTTATTTTAAATTGAACGGAGAATTCAAAAATAATTTTTATTTGGCAAAAAACCATTGGCGTACCATTTTTTTCTTAAAAAATATCGCAGTCAATACCCGTACGCACGCCACTGTTAAGCTAAAAATTATTTTTGCATTGAAAAATATGCAACTCTATTAACTTTCACTACGTTCTAAATATCAGTGAAATATCTGAAGCGGTTCTCAAAATATTAATTAATTTCCATTTTTTTCCTAAAACTTCAACACCGTTTTACACACAAGAGAATTACTCCGAAAATTATGGTCATAATTATGCCAAAAATGTTTGCTGTCGTATTACACGTAAAAGAATTCTTGTGAAAATTTTCATGGTAAAAATATAAGTAAAACCCGTTCTATAGAATATGCGCGAGAATCGGCGGAGAGGGTTATTTCCGTGCATGTCAATATCAAATGTCAACGTCAACAACATAACCTCACTTAACATTTGTGGGTGTGGTCCTGTTCGAGTCGTACGAAGAAGCGTGTATTGTTATTGTTTATTCATAATGTCGTGGAATCGGAAAGAAGTTACACTGCTGTTGGAGGAGTACCAAAAATGGCCAAACCTGTACAAGGTGAAGTCACTCAATTACAAAAACAGAAATTTGCGGCGTCAGGCGCTGGATGCGATAGTCCAAGCATTGAGAAATTTTATAATATTAACCAAGATCTTGATTTCAAAAATAAATTTAAATCAACGACGTCTGTTGTCTTTCAGATTATATTGGACGTCATACCCGTTAAGGTTATGTCCATTCGAAAATATTACTCTAATGCGCAGGCGTATCATATGAATTACTCTGAAATTTTGTTTGCTTGTGTCATACAGGTTGTAGAGAAAATCTTCAATTTTTTTCCATGCAAATTTTCGGCATAATTATGTCCATAATTTTCGGAGTAATTCTCTTGTGTGTAAAACGGCTCTAAGGAAACATTTTTAGACCATAGTTTATAAAGCAAACTAACATTGATTTTTCATGTAGATTCACACCCTTAAATATTCGCATATCATTAAGGAACACCCTGTATAGGCGTTAGCGGTTTATTGGCTGCTAGCTTCTATCCAAACACAATTGGAAGAACGACGTATCTGACACCTTATACTCATTTTCTCATATCCTTGCGTTTCAAAGGATAAATGGCGAAGTAGCGTATAGCGAACGTGTATAGAGCTTTACAATTAAATAAAAAGCCAAACTGAGAGGTAAACCTATTATACGTTTTAGGTTGGAAAAAAGTGGTAATCATCACCGAATTATCAAAAAAACCACTGCATCAGCACGGACCCTCTGACATTTTTTCGATCTTGAATTTGGTCATAGACTGTGTAAACTGTTCTGGCTGGCACAAATATGTAACTTAGGAGTTAGATCAATGTTTCCAAACTAACCTTCATAGTACCACTTCACGTCATCAACACCTACTGTTTAACCAAAAGGGGGCCTTACATCTGCTATTTTAAGCACTACATGAAAGGTGCAAAGCTAGTGATTCTATACTCATTTGAGATTTAGAACCTTTTGCTACAAATCCCGACTATTGTTCTGAAGAATTCAGAAACGCTAAAACTGCTGCGAAAGTAAATTTGAACTTGTAATAGTGCCTACATCTCGAGAACTGCGTTTAATTTACAAAGCAATGATTATTTACTAAATAATAATTTTGGATTCAATGAGACTTTTTCGATACCCAGCTGTGCAAGTTCTAGCCACATTTTTCGTACCTCCTGCTTCAGTGGGACATGTATATTAACCAATCAATCAATATATTATTCCCAGGACTATCACAAGTGGTACAGTATATATGATTGTCATATAAACACAGAACAGTTCAAATTATATGCAATAATAACAAAATGTAGTTGATGAGGCATGCCAACATAGGACAAAATATGAAACATATTAAAAAACAACTAAAAAACAAATGAAAAAAAAAGGTGGCAAAGAGGAAACATTGGTATCTGCAAAGTCAGAAGTCTTCATATTCTAGATATTCCTTGACCGAGTAAAATGTATGATCCGTAAACAGCTACTTTACTTCACATTTGCACTGGTTTATTCGGCGCTCTAAGAGCGATATTTCCATAATGGGGCGGCAAACAGTATTGCTAACCATTTTTGTACTCAAAATTCTCACAAGCAAAATTTACGCGCACGCGAACAGGTTTGGTTGACGTTTTAGATTAGCTGCCATCTTACAAAATGACGTCACGTAATCTGCTTGGCGCGTTTTGGGTCTAATTTGAATTTTATTTTTTATTTATAAATCACTTTTTATTAGCATTTAAAGTTGGAATAAAGAGGAAGCACGAACATTATAATACATATGACGCCCAAAAAGTAATTTAAAATAAGTTTTTTGTAATATTTTCAACTCCCTGATTACACATGGTAACTGTAAACTTGACAATTATACTTGTACAAATTGGTATAGATAATTAGCAGTACAAGTGGGCTTAAATAGTAACATCTCATAATTGCTTTGGGTGCCTTCACTTTGATTCCCATTATAAAAAAATATAATAAAAAAACGCAGAATCTATAAACTACTGGACCTGATCTGGCACGAACACATCTCGTCAATAGCGGCAGCTGCTGGGACAAAGCTAGGCTATTCGTTTAGGGCTAAGAAGTACTTCTCTCCTCATGACCTTCTCACTCTATACAAGGCCCAGATAATGAGTATTGCTCACATTGCTGCCGCCCCGACTAGATTATTTATGCTCGACGATGTCCAGAGGAGGGCTGTCCGACTGATCGATGACTCTTCTCTAACAGACGGTCTCGGGACCCTTTCGCACCGGCGGGCCGTCGGCGATCTAGCTCTCTTCTACCGCTACACCAACGGGTTTTGCTCCTCAGAGCACTCATCCATGATGACGCCGCGCGATGTGCCCTCCAGGCAGACCCGCCTGACTTTGACGTCCCATCCTAACCGTGTCAAACTTCGTACATCCAGAACTGGCCGATACGACCGCTCATTTGTCTCGAGGGTGTCAAGATAGTGGAACAATCTACAAGAGGATGCTTTTCCCAGTTCTACTAATCTTAGGGAGTTCAAAAATCGGATTGACAAAATTTCTTTTGAATCATCATAGCAGCCGCAGTGTCTCGGCTTCTGCCTGTACAGCTGCTTCGGTATATAAAAAAGAATACTACAAATATAAACAGTGATAATCTGTTCAAAACACAAAAATAGATTTGCAAAAATCTGCCGTGACCATACACCCCTAATACATTTGCACTTTCGCACAGAAGTGACAGGATCGAAATTCAAACATTTCTATAGGTAAAAATTTTCAAACACCTTCTGGTATGCAAGACAGGATACTTACTTGATCTATTTCGGTTGCATGAAATTTGATAATGTACGAAAATGCTGAAAATAAGGAAAACTAGTGCTGTTTGGGTATATTTCACCAAAGTAACTGATCAAAAGACTAACGAAATCGATTTTGCGACCGCGCCCTATGCAAAAAATTTTTGATAGGAAAAATGAGCACATCAAATATGAAGTATCACCTTTATACATATCACAGGGACGCAAGCATATCAAAATGCAATTAATAAACGATTCAGCGGTAAACTGAATACTGAAAATGATTATTCATGTAACAATAGAAACTTGCTTCAATACACGTTTAATGTGTTTTCCTATGCATTGTGATGTGGTTTTTCAATACAATAGCTTTAAACGTTATCGACTTTATAATTTATGTTCATATGTATCTCGGCAAAATAGCCCGATACTGCCGATATACATATATATCGGTATCGGTAGCACCCTAGTACTTATGCAACGTCCCTTACCTTTCAGAAACAAAGTTGGTGGCACTTAAAACAACATCGTCTTGCGTTTTCACCATTACGGGAACTTTCCTGCATCCAGGTGATTTTAGAATGCGAACCAGCATTTTTAGATTATCTTGAAGGACATTTGCAGGACACATATCGATCTTTGTAACCACTACAAAGACTGGTACTGAAAGTGCTAGTGCAAGTCCCAGATGTTCTTTTGTCATACCTATAATACCAGCATTTGCACCCACCTAAATGTTATTAGAAAGAGATATTTTTGTAATTATTTACTATTTAGGCGGCAAAGAATACGTCACAAATTATAAGGTAATAGGGGGAACAATGGCTGTTGACTGAATTTGAGTATGTTATGCTATATGTATATTATGCCCTACTAAAAGTCCCTATGAGCATAAAGTTCGACAATCGACAGTTTTTAAGCTATCAAAGGAATATAGGTATCTGCCCCTGTATATGTTCCAGCAAAACTGATGACAAGTCGGTCATAAGCAATGCAAAAAAGTGAAATCGTAAATTCGACAGGTACCTGCAAATATACATTAATATGTTATATTAAGGTATATACAGACGCTTCTTAGGTGAATTGGATTCTAACTTTGTGGAACACGGGAAAGATATTTGAATTGTCTATATAGATGTGAATGGGTGAGCGATTGCTATTAATATGAACAAGAATTATATAGTAGTATTAAGATACGTTCCAATGTGTAAATAAGTTGAAATTAAAACTCATTTCGTTATATGATGCCCTTAGCTATAATATCAGCAGCCTGATCTTTGTATGAACTTCTATATTTAGACAACTGCCCACTGTCAATCTTTGCGTCAAAGAAAACCTTTAATCAAGACGCCCTAATGTAAAACATATTGAAAATTCAGCCTTTTCCACTGTACTAACCTTCTCATATGATTTGCCTACATTTATTGAGAAACTGAGCTTGTCATCAACGACAATGATTAAACATTGATTATCCTACCTGCCCATAAATTTCTAAATGTGAATCAAACGTTTTTTCCAAATTTTGAAATATATGAATGAAGTGTGAGCTTTATTAAATGTTCCTAATATCTATAAATATGAAAATAATTTAAATATGGCATTACACCCTGATATTATGAGAACTGGTTGGATGAACAAATGTTGATGTACAACTAAGCATAAACTATTTTTTCAACAGGCTGAGGAATTATTAATTGGTGACTCACCATAAGCATACCAAAATCAGGCGCATGTCCAGTCATTCCAAAAACTGTCGTCTTTAGATATCTCTCATGTCCAGCAAGATCTATGAACGTGATGACTTTTGAGCTTTTCTCGCATATTTTAACCCAGTCTAGAGACCCGTGTTCGGGCTTATTCACAACATTCCCTGGAAATTGATTTTTTTTGTAAATTGTAATATAAAAAAACTATTTTCTTCTACCTTCTTCGTCAAATCCCAAGATGTCGTTCCCTACAGAGCTTGTCCTTCCTGATTCCATTTCATGCTTGTGCCTGAAAAGTCTTTGTCTAGCATGCCCTCTGCCATTGTCAAGTTCTCCATGAGTCAAAACACCTAACAGGGTAGATTTTCCTGCATCTACATTACCTACTACAGCCACTCGGATTTCTAGGAAGTCTGTAAATAATGAATCAACTATAGGTCACTGTTTGCTTTGGTGCCAATTTCAAGGAAGTGTTGATAAATGATTCGTGAAATCAAAGATTCGCAATTTTTTGTTCTGGATATTTGCAACAATAAATAAACGCTTGAGCTTGATAACTCGTCTCTGAAGTAGAGCTGATCCAAGCCTTTTCTTTTAATGAATCGATTCCATTGTTTTATTACGATTTCCGCAATTCCAAAACATACCATCGGTGTTAATGGGCACTACAAAGGAACTGCAGTAGTAATTGTTTATCGATTTCGATAGACTCGATTGCTGAACTCGCATACGATGCTTTCGATACCAGAATACCAGCACAGTCTGCAAGGTTGATTTCTAACAAAATGTTTGAAAGACACGCTTTTATTCAGATTCGGAAATTGCTTTTGATTTTAGATACCCCAAATAAAGAACTAGCTACTATCTGTAGTGTCTGTGGGTTGTGGGTACATTCAGCCATTGATCGGTTACAGGAATTGTGGTATGAAACAGATTGAAGGAGTCTAGAGGGGCATTGAATGATACCCCTGCGCAAGGGCTATGTCGATCTGGGCCTTCTGATATACAATTTCCGATATCCGGAATTTTTATATAAGTTGGACTTCCGTGGGTTCTGACTTGAGCATGAAATATTTTGTGACTTGTCGTTCGATTTTGCGGGTAACACTCAACCCAATGACGGATGAGTTATTTACAAATCTCCTTACCACTTATTGCGTTAGAAGGCGGTCTTGCTGCCTGTAAAGTTTTACAGTGTTTCTTCTATATCACTAAACCTTTTTTCACCTGTTCTTTAACTTGTAACGCAATGGTCGATCTCGATTTCAGAAGTCGGAACCATCGGAATCGATTCCTTCGAGATGATCGGAATCGACCTTCAATTCGCTCTGCGCTATCGTTATCGTTTGGAACGACTTGTTCAGAGCTGGACTACCTCTGTTCTGGAGTAGGCGGTAATATACGCTAACTATTACAAATGAAACGTTTTACTGGAGGGTCGCATACGACCTTGAACAAACCTGAGAGGGATAAATTTAATATATATGTAAAATGCGGGGGTTTTCCTCCAAAATATACTCGGTTTACAAAAACAATACTTTTGTTTCCTGTCACTTAAGAAGGATTTATGGGATGTGCAACTACCCCCACATATAATTTTGAAAAGAACATGATGCAATATAGACTGTGCCATAATAATAGCTGATGCATTTGTTTGTGCCTCTAGTATGGTGAGAATGCGACATTCTGTATTCAAATTAGTCAAACCTATTTTGCAGTCAGAACAAACAAAAAAATGTTATTTTAGTGGTGTAGGAATCAACAACTTCAGTATTCTATACCAGCATATCTTCTAAATATCTCTCTTATATATCTCTTATATTTATATCATTGTGTCATGAGTCGAGCCGTGCCATGAATATGTCGACGATTTGTGCTGGTATGTAGCTAATGGATATGTGAATTATAGCTAAGTAAGACACAGTAGTACCATTTGTAGAGACAGTGACAGACGAACGAACATCCAATAAGATTCTCAGATAGTCTGATATTGTAATAGTCTGTTGTTTCAGAAACTTACCACAAGCATCAAGAACTCGGCGAATTAGATACTGTGCGACCATACCACGATTCTCGTTGCGTTCTCTTAATTTAACACAACTGCATTCTAAAGTGTTTGCCAGTGACTGTAGTGTAGCCACAGCTGCTTCCATTTCGTCATCCAGAAGACCATTTTCTCCCCCATCATCAGCTAATCCAATCTTCAAATTGTAAGAGAATTATTAACATGGATTCATCTACTGCTAGAGACATGTGATTGATTTATTAGAATCAAGTTCTCCTGATACCTGACATCTCAAAATGCAGAATACATAAGAGTTGTCAACTATTAACCTTAATTCAAAATCCAAAATTTTTTTTGAGTGCAAGGCTACAAGTACAGTGTTGCCTAAAGTACCAAAATTCCCCTGAATGTAGAAGAAGTTCCATTCTGTAGCCTGAATTCACTTCTTGGAACATTGGTAAAACACCCAGGGAGTGATAAACCTGAGATGAATAAAACTATGAAACCACTGTGTACACAGATAACAGTGAGTATTAGGAAAATATTTAATTTTGTAATTTGATATATCTTGGGAATCATACATTTTTCAATTGGTTTTTTATTTACTCTGAGTACCATATAGTTTTTATGGATTAACTTCCTTTTCAGAATAAGAAATTTGGTACAGAATTTGAATGATTATTTTCCTTGATGACCTACTAAAGCAATTCGCCTAGGCAAGGTATACAAAAACATTATTTTAGCCCATCAAAATTTTAGTGGATATCAAAAACTATCAACTACAGTGAAATTCTCATGGATTACTTATTTATCAAGTTACCTGTCATTATTTTTTTGAAAGAAAATGGAGAAAAGTTGGAAAACCCTTGCACTGGGTATGCAAGAACTATATTATTTTGAACTTCTTTGCTCCCTTATGTACATTTTGTATAAAAGTATACCTTAATGATGATCTGTGCCATGTAAAATTTAACCTTATAGGCCATCAGAATTTTTGAAGGTTATAAGTGACTGTTTCAGAAAATAGTAAGATCACTTTTGTTTTCTATTCATTCCTAATTTAGATCTCAACAAATGAGGATGGAATTAAATCAACTATGAACCTCTACCGATTCTAAATTTTTACTGCTACTATCACTTCTCAATAAGTTTTATTCAACTGTAAATTTTTCAACAGTTCAGTTCAAATCTTAATGATTCACTCACTGATGTAAGTATTAAGGATTTATTTTTTCTATCACACTTTTCATGTAGCATCTATAACAGAACTAGATGAAATAAATATGCAGCTTTAATGCATATTACTTTATTATTATTATTTTTCATAACCTAGGAAGATATAGTTGGTATAAAATTCATGTAATGAAAGAATATATGAATATATATAAATATTAGCAGCAATATATCATTTTCTGCTGTAAGATATCTATGCTACATTAGAGATACCACAACCTACAGGTAATTTGATACTATCGAAATGATATCAATAGGATATTTTAAATAAATTTAATCTAACATAATGGTTTATCAATATGATTTAATTTGTTCTTTAGGGAACAAACTTAATAAACTCAGTCATTCCTTTTGACATCACAATGCATGCAATGAACTGTAGCAGATGAAAAGATATGAAAAAGTTAACATTATGTTAAACTAATTGTACTATATACTTCAGGGAGAAAATGTTTGAAACCTTACCTCCAAAATGACTTCACCTCTTCCCTCACCCAGCTGTTGCTTCATTCTATTGAGTAGAACCTCATACTGCTGCTCTGATGGAGCAACCAGGACTCCTCTTCCCAATATTTTATCATATGCTGACAGCTTGTCTCCTCTATCTACAAAGGCACTCAGGGATTCACGCTGGTCACCAACTTCCTTTGGACTGTCAGACATTCTTCAATATGTGTGCACCATCACTAGTTGGAGAATAACTGAACAGGTTAAAGGAGTTCCCTACATTCTATATAATAATAATTTGAATTTGTTGTATGATATCATTGACCTCCTTTGGTCTATCAGATCTATTCCAATGTTGCACCATTTCTTGTCAGGCATTTAATGATCAGATCGAGATATATATCTACCTTATCTTACAAGAAAATGTTTAATATATGAGCAAATGTTAGATACAAATGATACATGTATGAGCACAACACAATTGCATCATGCAGATGAATATCCTTAAAACTGGATGTAGGTTCCATTTTTAATTGAGTGAAACAAAAATACGTGGAAGTCACGTACAATAAATATACATTCGATAACAAAGCTATTATTCACATATGGTATTAATATCTCACTTAGGGGGGCTTTAAAAATATGATCATGCAATTATGTTTAGTAAAAGCATTGTACCATGAATATACTATAAATAGATGGGGTGCTATTAATCAGTTTGCAAGTACACACTTATAACTTGCTATTGTTTGTTTGAAAACTAAATAAAAATATAAACATTTACCTGATTCATTTAAAACCTAAATTTTTGGGAATAACAAAATCACTGACAAGATTTCAATTGACATCCCGGCTACACTGTTGCCAAATCACAAAATTTTAGCTGGCAGTATTTTCACTTGCTTTTATGCTTTTACTCACACGCATAGCATGACGCTTAGCCAGAGAGCACGAATGTTCTGTGCGTAAATGGTGCTGTACTGCTGTTTGCTGTGTGCCCGTTGACACAGTGTGCTATGCGTGACTATGCGCTATATAGGCTCTTGGCTACCTACGAGGTGTAAACATTGCCATTATTTGCCAGACAGAGGAATATATTCTTGCCCAAGCTTAAGTCTGTCTGGCAGAATTATTATGTAATTTGTTACTTCTATAATTTGAACAATAGTTGATGCCAAAAGCACCATCAATCGCATCTGCCGTAGCGTAGTTTTTGGCGGTTACGTCACGATGACATTCGAAATAAGTAAGCAGATTGACTAATTATTGTACCATGTGCGTAACTTAACTTCTCTAAGGGAAATGGCACACTGTTCAAGCCGATTTTTAACGCATCTGCTGCTCGATTTCGCGGGCACACATGAGTTAGGTGAAAGAGGACCATTGTTTTCACTCATTTCCTGAAAATAGTTCTAATATAGACTGTCGACATTGTAATGATATCTTCAGGTAGAACTATGTTTTATATTGAAGATCAACATAGTTAAATACAAATCACACACCTACGACAAGCAACTTGCTATACTGACACATGTGGAAGACTCATACGAAAATTTTCATGGCAGTGAGACAAAACTAAAAAAACGTATTATATGAGTTTACACAAGCAAACGTCCGCGCATGTACTCCGATTGCATATATGTGTGGATGAATGAAAGTAATTCCTGTACTTTTACTGTGACCTACCACAAACCGTGAAAAGGCCTATATGTATTATTTAAATATCTAAACATGTTTACCTCCATTTACTTCTGGTGATTTTGTGCTTGTGTCTGGTCATATAATAATTGCAAACGGATAATGTATGTATTTTTTCACGATAATGATAAAGGTTTTTTATGAACAAAATGCAATAGAAACACTATATACCTACATATGCTTTTATTTTATGTCTAATAGACGTACGCATAGCTCAGTGTGGTGTAAGCATATGGTAAACATGACGTGAACATAACGATTGTGCATCTTACAAAATACGGATGAAATGTCAGCTGAATCATTTTTGGATTATTTGTAAAATAAAAACCGCAATTAAGATTGTCCGCAAGCAGATAATTTTTAAAGTAGCAGCTATTGTTATCAATCATAAGCTCGGCAACCTGGTATACTTTGTGTAGTGACGTGAACACACGTGACATTTGACGTAGGGTTGGATGATTGCCAAAGTTGACGTTTATAATGTTATATCACTACAAAAATACGTTCCCTTTAATTCCACAGATGTTTGAAGATTGTTCTTGATTAGGGTGCAAAATGAATGACCAAAGTAAAAAAATGAATAACCCTTTATTCAACGCAGCTGTCACAGGTAGTACTTACGAGGATTTCTCACAACATGCAGTCCTGCTGCCAGCAGAAGAAAAACCACCTGCACCTACTTTGAATATATCACCTGGTGAGTTGTTTTGCCAAATATACATTAATTTTAAAAGTATGTGGACTTGGAAACGTGTCAAGCTTCCTATATAAACTGATACATCCCCACGATATTGAAAGTAGCACATCTTTATTTACATGAATTATAAACCATATTGTACATAACTATTCAAAAAATAACTTATTTTTTAGCATTAAAATGATCATTTTGAATGGACTCAATTAATTGTCAAATATTTCTGCTAGAAGTACCGCCTCGATACCTTGGCAAGTCGAGACTTTCTCTTTTTTTCCTATATTTCTTCACGATCAACACTATAATAATTATAATGACGATCAATAAGATTAGTCCTATTACTAGGGCAGATATTTGAGCAGGACTCCAAGCAGCACCTGAAATAGAATGTTTGTCAATATGCTGTTTATAGGTTTATGGATACATTTGTTAATCACTGTACATATTGGAGTATTTAAACAATTTTCTTAAAAAAAATGTTTTGCTGTAGAAGCAATAAAAAGCGCTTGGTAGAGTATGATTTGCTGAAAATCAGTATAATTTGCTAAGCCATGACTTACACAATCTGTCCTCAATGACAGTAAAGCTTTAAAGCTGCTGAATGATATTTAACAGATAAGGTTAGACACCTGCTGCTTTATGCAGCTGCCATTCCTGGTGGCTTTACAGAAAAGTACTACAAATAGTCGAAGCTTATTCCACTGAAACTGGATTAGATCCACACAGTGCTTGGATTAAGCTGCTAAATATATATATATATATATATATATATATATATATATATATATTACAAAAAATAGGAAAATGATGGGCAAAATCCACAAAAAGAAGGAAAGTGGATTTGAGCAGAAAATAGAATAGAAAATAGTGGTTGTGGTTAGATGTCGTCTTGAAAATTTAAGGTCTTCTAACAATTTCATACTACAATGTGTAGGTTGGCTCTTGTTATGGACTTCATGTGTGATTTTTTTCCCTCTCCATCTTCGTTTCCTCAGGTTACACCCATATCCGGATCTATGGGCATATGTATGTACTATTGTAGTTGCATATATGTGCATTCATGTCAGGGTTAATGGAGCTAACCAGCGTATCGCTCGAGTTACCTATGCTATTTTCTGCTCGAATCCACTTTCCTTCTTTTTGCAGATTTTTCCCATTATTTTTCTTTTTTTTTGTTATAGTAGCAACTTTGTCATCAAGTTCTCATATTAAAAAAAATGAAACCTCAAAAATCATATTTATATATATATACGTGAGTAGTAGTCATTGCCAAAGCCAACGACCAGTTGGGCACAAAATACAATTAATTGTTAATTGGGAAATTGGCAAATTTTTATTCTTAAGTTGACAATTGTGATGCTAGCAAAGAAAACAGGACAGATTTAAATTGTCAGACAATTTACTCGTCGTTGAGGTTGCAGCCACAAGGTGTTTCAAAACGAACGTAGAGAAGATAGAACTTGTAATCAGTATATAAACAAAAGGACAGGGACCTTGGGCTTGTTGAAAACGACAGATACCTTCGTTACATGTTAAAAATATCAATCCACCCGAACAAATTAAAAAGTATTACACGTGAGAAGACATTTTAGTGAAACAATCGGAATGCAGTCTCTAACCTCCTACTTCCGCTGCACGTGGAGAGGGGGACGGCACGGAAAGATAAAGCGTCGACAGATGACAAGTTATTGACGCGACGGACCGTGGAACTGTAAACCTCCTTGTCCAAATTTGGGTATGAAGTATACTAGGGACGCTCGGTAAACCTCCACCCAAAATTACTAAAATGCTGAATTAATTTGTTTTGGAAAAAAGTGTATAGTTCATATGAGTGTAAGAATGTATGATATTGATACAACCTTGAAAAGATGGGTTATGTGAGTTTATATTAAGAAATGTGAGTGAGAAAATGTATTCTAATTTTGTGGAGATGTTGGTTCAATTTGGATATGTAGCTGTTCTAACTTTTTGCAATTCACCAGGTTGGAATAAATGACACTGAGCTGCTTAACATCAGCCTTTTTATTCATGCAATGATCTGTCATGAAAATGTGGGACATTTCTAAAAGAGAGTCTTTTTTCTTTATTAAGAACCTCAATACTGCCATAATACATAGAGTGACCTGTGTTGTTAATATGAAATGCCAAAGCACATCTCTCTGGATGTAATCTGGCGTCACTTTTGTGTGAAGTTATCCTGCCTTTCAGCGACCTAGAAGTTTGGCCTATATAAACTAAATTACAGTTGTTGCAATTAATGCGATAGACAGTGTTGGTTGAATCAAGCAACTGAACCTTATTCTTCATTTTGGACAACAAACTGTTTACTGTGAGCACTGATTTACAAGTAAAACGACAATTAAAGGAATTATACAGCCTGATCAATTTTGGTGTTAGTTCTTTGACGTATGGCAGGACAACATAATTAACTCTGGAAATAGGAGCAACTACTGTAGTGCTGTTATTCTCATTGGTTGAAAAATTCATGGGTATCTGGTTGGACTGAACAGTGTTGTCATTTTCACTATTGTTATTCGTCATTGGCAAAATATTCGGAGGAGAGCTGAACAAGATTCTGTTAACCATATACTTAGGATAGCCATTGTTGATAAATAAGACGGAAAGCTTCCTTAAATTGGAAAGATGGAAAGTACTGTCAGAGATTTTTATAACCCTGTTCTTCATTTGTTTCACCAGGTTTATTTTTATTTTAAGTTCGTGGTACTTCCTGCCTGTTGAATTGCGAAAAGCTAGAACGGCTACATATCCAAATTGAACCAACATCATGTAACGAAGGTATCTGTCGTTTTCAACAAGCCCAATGTCCCCGTCCTTTTGTTTTTATACTGATTACAAGTTCTATCTTCTCTACGTTCGTTTTGAAACACCTTGTGGCTGCAACCTCAACGACGAGTAAGTTGTCTGATAATTTAAATCTGTCCTGTTTTCTTTGCTAGCATCACAATTGTGTTTTCAGAATCCTGATGAAGGCTCCATAGAGAATCCCGAAAGCTTGATTTTAATATATATATATATATATATATATATATATATATATTTATGATCATATTCTCTTTGTAGATCCTTTGGGCTTGAAGTACCACAGCAAGTGGCTATAACCGGCCGCGTGGTGGTGGTTAGACGTCTCCTTGAAAATTCGAGGTCGTATAGCTATTTTATACTACAATGTGTAGGTTGGCTCTTGTTGTGGACTTCGTGTGTTGTTTTTTCCCCTCCAACTTCGTTTCCTCAGGTTACACCCGTATCCGGATGTGTGGGCATATGTATCTACTTTTGTAGTTTCATATGCGCATTCATTTCGGGACTGATGAAGCCAACCAGCAGAAATACGTATCGCTCGGGTTACCTATCCTATTTTCTGCTCGAATCCACTTTCCTCCTTTTTGCGGATTTTGCCGATTATTTTCTTACTTGTTGTTATATACCTTTCTCCGCATGATCATAATCTCTTTATATATATATATATTTTTTTCCTCTGAAGTAGGTACCCTTTCTGTGATGTTTACAAACATGTGTTACTTGGCAGAAATAATTTCTAATTCTACATAGTCTTAGCATGAATGGTGTAATATTGCACTGCATTTAAGATATTATGTGGAATTATCAAATAATGTAATAATATTACGTTGTTCCAAAGAAACTAAAGCTACTCGTAAAGTACTATGAGTTACTTACGGTATGCATTAGCATATAAAACTTTTCGGTTATTTGTCCTATCAGTGGCAGATAATTGTATATCTGCATTGCAACAAGAATCACTGTATACTCCTCTAACATTTTCTTTTGTCCCAGATACAAATCCATTTGGAAAATACAATCCAGGCGGGTTAGAGGTCACATCTAATAAACCTACAATAAATGTGTTGTTTCAGAATATTTGAGCAATTCATAGGTGACTGATTATGATTTGAAGATGTTGATTTTCATTCGGTACACGTTTTGTATACCCTCGGATATTAATAACAATTTCTACTATATGTAAATTAAGGTCCAAATCTAAAATCTCTTACATTTTCTCATAAAGTATTGTTTGTTAGCTGAGAGGCACTTGACACAAATGATAGAGACTTTTTACAAGGGGATTTAGTAATCAGTTATTACAAGGCCTAACTGGTGATGCAAAACCAGACATTTTTATGAATATGCTGTACTAACATCTTATTTTATTCATATTGAACCTGCAGAGTTCTGGGAATGTCTCTATACTCTATTTTATCAGAGACATCATAAATAAAACTTGTCATTGCCTTCTCAATCCATTATAAAAATAACTATTATCACTGGAGGTGGTAACTGATAAATCTACCTATGTCAATAATATTACTTTGTTCTTGAAATCCTTTTCAGTAATCATTAAAACAATAAAATGGGTAATTCGTTAGGAATACTTTTTTCTAATCTCTCTTAAGCGTGTTGTGGTTCCGATTTTTTCACTTTCAGTGTTCCCTATCAACTTAAAGATTGTCGACTAACTAGGAACACTTTATTTGGGATATAAAGGGTGTCCCAAAATTAACGCAAGATTTGAATTAAATAGAAAATGAAATTTTTAGTCTTTTAATTGTTATATTTTTATTGACTCATAAAGTACATAGGATAGGGTTATGTATGGAATAACACATCGGACAAATGGCCTCCAGGGCTTTGCATGCACATGCGCACTCTTTTGTCGAAATTTTCCATGACCCTTCTGCATAAATGTGGCTGAATTTCGTTGATGCAGCGTTGAATCTCCTCCTTTAATGCACGGGTGGTTGTGGGCTTGTTGACATAGACTTGTGATTTCAAATAACCCCATAAAAAGAAGTCTAATGGTGTTAAATCACACGATCTAGGAGGCCAATTTTGATCACCGAAACGAGAGAGTACACGACCGGGAAATGTCTCATGCAGTAATTGAATTGTTTCACGGGCTGTATGACATGTGGCACCGTCTTGTTGAAACCACATATTGGGTACATCAATATCATTCAATTTTGGCA